CAGCAGGAGGTGGCAGCTGTGTGTGTAACCTTAGGCACAACCTCCCCTGTATCCCTCCTCTGTGGGGCCGACCAGCTGTCCTGTACAGATCACACCTGTACCGAGAAACAACCAGATCAATCTGCCCGCCTGCCACTTCTTCTGGACAAGCTCATGTGTCACCACTCATCAGTTGTGTTGTTGGGATCGAGACCAGCAAATGGGATCCTGGGAATTCCTACAAAAAAATACATATTATAGTCAGTTACTGTAAATGTGAAGCTATGTGTGCTATAGCTTCTTTACACCTTTGCACAGTCAGCATTTTGGCTGTTTTCATTTACTTTCGGGAAGAGTAAGGAGAGCGAGACTAGTTCACGAGTACAAAGTAATCAGAGATGTAACCTTTTATATGTAGATATGTTATATAAAAAAGATTTAGCCTGCAGGGATTCTACATGAACTGATGTGTCTGTGTTGTGGTAGAGAAAACCCCCAAGTGACTCAATTTCCATGGAAGATACTAAATGTACCTGGATGGCCAATAACTATGTGTTAGCAACAGAATGTAATGTGCAGGTCTATGCAGGTCCACAGTTAAATGCAAGTTACAGTATTTGTTTATTAAACTGTGTTTTTGCTTAAAGCACCCGTACATTTACACCCTTTTGTGTGTGTATGTTTTCTTATTGTTTAATTAAGCTTTGAGACGATCCAGGGACTGTAAGGCTTTTTGGGACTGGACTCTACAACTGAGTTGTTTGCGAACTCTCCCAGGCTTCATTTGAGACTCGTTCAGACTCGAGTGTTTGTTCAAAATGCCCCAAAGGCCTTTTGAAAGCAGCAAAGAGTTTAAGCAATTTAAATGCACCCAAAAGATGTTTACTTACCAAATGCTTTGCTATGCATTGTCCACGATCTGTTTTTTTTTTCCTGAGTAAAAAAAAAGTCAAGGATTTTGGAAACTTAAAGACCCTACAGAAATTGAAAGGTTATGTTATATAATATTTGATCATGGTATTTGTAGAAACCTCAATTGTAGAGCTCATCTCATTGTATTCTGCAAGTGACTTTGAAGTCACTGTGTATCAGAGAGAATCAAGAGATGTGTGTGTGTGTGTGTGTGTGGGACTGTTGAGTTTTACAACCGAGGAGCCGAACTTCGCCCTTTATGGAAGTGTAAAAGACACTTTACTGTTCATCATGCTGGCTCTGCGGCCTTATTACACTGAATTTTAAGGGGGGTAGGGGAGGAGATTTCCGAGCCACTGGTAGTAATCAACAAGTTAAAAGGTGTTGTGAATAATCTGGTGCATTCTGGGAATGCTGAAGTGTCTATTTCCAACACTTTTTCTGTTCACTTTGTCCATCATAAGGCAATACAAATCCAGATATTTGCTATCAAACACTCGTTATATTGTGTTTGGCAGGTGTACTTGAGTACCCAGGGGCGTGTTGTGGCCTCTGCAGTTTAAACATAACCGGGGGGGAAAAACAGTTTTTCACTGAGTTCATTCAGATTCAGTGTAACAGACATTACATCCAATGACATCACCACCTCATAACTCTGGACAGCAGAAGGCGTCCAGCTGCGGAGAGAGAGTCCTGAGAGAGGGGAGGGATCGCCCCCTCTATGGTGGAGGGTGGATACTGAAAGGCAGCCTACACAACTACAGTACAACAGAGCACTGCACTGTGTTCAATGTATTCTCTCTGTCACTTGCACCCTGTTCATTTCTTTCTGTTGATGATGTCATTTCCATGCAAGGCCAGACTTTCGGTGAACTCCAGTGGAAGACTTGAGGGGTTGGGGGTGGGGCTAGCTTTCTGTCCCCCGAACTGAGGAGAGGCAGTGAGAAGGATGTGGTGGAGAACTGAATGGGGGGGGGAGAGGAGACAAAAAAAACAACCTCTGTGTGCATGATAAACAGCTGAGCAAGCCACAGTGGGGCTGCGATGGTGTCTAAGGGCCTGTATCGATCAAGGCGGCGGTGACTCATTATGCTGATGTCACTGCGCTGCTTGACTCTGGGCTGGGATTGTGGAGTTGCAGCTGTAAACTCACACACACACACACACACTCCTTTTTGGCTTGTTAAAGCTGGGATTGAGCGAGAGAGAGTCCAGTCTCAGTCCCTGCATTTTGCCAGGAATATGTGAGAAACAAGGTTAAACAGAGAGTATAATGTGGGAGTATATTCATATGGAGGCTGTTGTCAAAATCACAAGCATACGGTCTGCTCGACACACTGCCATAAGGTGACACTTTGTCAGAATAGACTCCTGGCTTGCGGCAAAACTGGCTGACACAGGTATGTATATCCTCAGGGTACAGAAAGGAAAAAAAAAATCCCCTTCACTGTCAGCTCTTGGTCTGCTATCCAGGCTCTAGTTAGGTGAAACAGCCTGGATCCCTTGTGGCACAACTATAGAGTATTGATCCAGACAGCTGTTGAGACAGCTTGTCACCTTCTGCGTGATCCGCTATGTGTTGATTTGACTTGTCTGACTTTATGACAATCACATAAGATAAGATAAACCGTTATTTTATCCCACAATGGAGAAATACGCATCATCATCATCATCAAACATTACATCTTCCTTCTTTCTCTCTTAATCCGGCCTGGCTGACAAGTAAATCCTGCACAAAATAAGGAAAAGCTCTGACATGTTAAAAAAATTATGCAATGACTTTATGCCACGAGATAAGACATACTGAAGTGTGTGCATATACTCCCTTTTATCTTAAAGTTCCTGTCTTTCTCTTTCTGCTGTTCTACAGTCTATGCTTTAAAAAAAGTCCCTGAGTCAATTCTTCTCAATCCAAAATAATCGTAACCATCTTGGCTCTCCCTCCTTAATAACTGACGTAGCTAACAGGGTTTGAAAATGCACGGTAACTCTAATTATGATGCAATGCGCAATACAGAGCTAACAATAGAGCGATTCTGTGATAATAGATAGACTGCGAGACAATCAATGAGGCATTCGGATGACTTTACAGCTGCCTGAAATTATCTTGCCGTCGTCGTTGCTAATTCTTTTATCTCACTGTAAAATGTGTCTTTTTTTGCCACTTACCATCTGTTCACATTACCATCATTCATTTCATAAGTAAGTTGTCCAGAGCAATATATTTTCTATAATTCAAAATATCGTTAGAATGCACCAGCCGTTCGATTATTGTAGCACATGAGTCTGGACAGTGGTACATTGCTGTATCGATACTTTGTCCCACCCCTGATAGTAGCTAACCTCCCAATTGCCGCCAAATTGGCACCATCATTTGGGCATCTGATAGCTAGCTGGGGCTTCATGTGATTGGCCAGTTAGTCTGAATGCATGGCGGATTTCTCCATCTGCACCATCAGTCTTTCCACCATCAATGTGAATCCTTGGCACATGTACAAAAGCGCCTCGATATTTCATTCCAGACGGTTTTGCCTTTTTATTGTGCATGATTATATTGTTATGAGGCAAAAAAAAAAAAACATGATAATAATGCAGCACTAGTGACTAATGTTTCACCTCTTTACTCTGCTAATTGTGTGAATTGAGGAGACAGAACAATCAATTAACCATCCCCATTGAGAGGCTGTTATCTCTGTTACATGATGGTTTCCCCTTTGTAGTGACATAACTGGGTTACTTATTAAATGTACAAATATTCTACAGTTGTCTTTTGCATGTCTCCTCAAACGTCAGAGTTATGTTGTATTCTAACAAAGCTAATTTGTTTACCTAGGAAAGCATATTTGCCTGTTGTGTTTATGTGTGGGATTTTGACCTATTTGGATGTTAGAAGTGGGTCGAATGCAGATTAAAGGTGACACAGCAGTCATGAGATACATTTCCGGTTGCTTATTAAATCAGTCAACAAACCATGAGTAACCAGCAGAACAGCCGGTGTTGTTTATTTTTTGCACAACTCTGATATAAGGTTTATTTTTCTGTGTAAAACCAGAGCCTGAGGGGCCAGAGTTGCTTCATCATCACATGCAATTGCACGGGAAGAGGAAGCTCAATTGGAAGCGTTCTCATCAACATTTTTAATGAGGCACACAGGCGTCCTTGGCTGCCTCAGCAAACTTTGGCTTTTGCTCTGAATCAGGGATGATGAGGATTAGGGGTGGGAGTTGGGATGTCACAGAAGGGTGGGATATGTGCGGGGGCTTTGCGATCGATGGTGTAGACGAAAGTGCTTCCCTGTTGGTAGTCTAGTTTGTGTGGCATGCTCAAGCTGTGTATGGCTTTAAATCTTTAAATTATTCACTTTTTTTCTTTTTTTCTTACACTGATTGTTGTGGAATGTCAGATCTTGGGTTGTCATCAAGTACAGGGGTGATCGCACCACATAGTGATTCTGTCTCTGATAACACCTCATGCTTCCTCTCGACTCACATTGCTGTTATTTGTATCTCCTGTCCTGATTCAGATCGGTGTGGAGATAGGATGAGGTGAGCAGTCTATTCTCATAGGATTTACAAAGCGGGGGGGACTGTGCTCTCCCTAGATTCAATCAGCGGCTCCCCCCCCAGTGAACAAGTGGGATTCTGCAAAATGACTCTGCTATTACAAAGCCCCTCTCAATAATGTACTGTAAAGCAATTTTCATCCCAGCACTAACCGGAGTATTTTATTATAGCCACACTCCTCTGTTGTCTCTCTTTGTGTGCTCTAACATGTGTGTGCGCACATCTGTACACACAATGGACTCTTGGAATAGACCTTATGACTGCGCCTGTCCTGCAGATTTATGGTTTGGATCCACAAGACCAGATGAAAACAGGATGTTGAAAATAAAACATATTTACGAATGTCTGCCTTTTCTTTTAAAAAAAAATACCCCCCCCAAAAAATGTGTATTCCTGGGGAGCTTTTCAGCCAATGGCATTGTGAGATTTGATACCAACCCTCCAATTTGCTTGTGCCATCTGTTTTTATCAAATTTCTACTCCCGCTTGAGAATCTCTCCTTTTCGACCGACCACTCAACTTTGTACTTTTCCCTTCTGTCCACAGACTCGCAGCGGTCCCATCTGTCCTCCTTCACCATGAAGCTGATGGACAAGTTTCATTCTCCCAAGATCAAGAGGACACCATCCAAGAAGGGCAAGCAACTGCAGCCCGAGCCAGCAGCCAAGAGTACTGAAAAACCTACCAACAAGGTGTGTGTGCGCACGTTCAAGTGCCAAAAAAAAAATCTGTGTGTTGTGGGAAAGCCACCTCTTTCCCACCTAGTCTGTGAGTTTGTTTGCCTATTTGTGTACAATTGTTTTCCTGTGCTCCCTATTGTGTCTGTGTGTGCGAGTATCCCTGCTGGTTCCCACAGCTTCCCAGTGGCTGGGACGGCTGGCTGCGCTACAGCAGGTGTCTAAACCTATAAAGACATGAATGGAACTGGGACACTTCCTGAATGAGCTCCACCACTGCCTCCTAGGGCTTATGGTGTAATGAGTATATTCAGCCCTCCTGTGAAGAATGGAGACGCTGAACGAGCCTGTTGCTGTATTACCTGGATGGCTCCAAGCCACATCACTTGATGTATGGAGCTTGGAATTGCAAGCAAACCATGGGAATAATAGAAGCAAAGGAGAGAACCCAAACAGTCATTACTATAAGAAATACTACAAAGGTTGCATACTAGAGCCAGAACAATGTGGATTTTTTTTTAAACACATACAGAAATAATGAGGAAAAAACTTCAGATTACAAATATGTTGGTAGATATGTTTTATATTTCTTACTTGATTCTGTGCCCATTTTGTACCTATACAAATATGCAATAGATGACTACAGGTATTATTATTTTTAACACATGGTTTATTGTCATAACTTTCTAGTGCAGGGAAACCTCGCATTATATTACTGCAGACAATGATTAGAGTATGGTTGCCTATGGAATTGGGCAAAATGTTGTTTTCTGCATTAAATGGTCTGTCAAATCAACATAAATACATCAATACCAATAAATATTTGATCGGGCCGTAAGAGCCAATAATATCTGCTGAAGAATATACCGGTCAGGCTCCTTGAATGCTCACTAAAGTGTAAAGAAACTGTCCATCACTATCATGGGAACCATTAGCAGTCTGTTCTAAATTCTAAAGTACTGTTCCCTGTTTTCTGATTGATCCCACTGTAGAAGGTAAGCCGGCTGGAGGAGCATGAGAAGGAGGTGGTCAGTGCCCTGCGCTACTTCAAGACAATCGTGGACAAAATGGTTGTGGAGAAGAAAGTGCTGGAGATGCTTCCGGGTTCGGCCAGCAAGGTGCTGGAGGCCATCCTGCCTCTGGTTCAGGTGGAGGTCCGGATACAGCACAGGTGAGTCCCACCACAAAACAATGAGATGGAAAATCTATGGACATATTTTGAAAACTTTCATTTCCTACTCTTCCTGGGGTGAAAAAAAGAATGTAGCTATTTTGTTTCTTATAGATTTTTAAAAGTCTTCTTATGATTATAATTATATATTAATATTTGCCTGTGAACTTTTTAACATTATGTCTTCACTGTTAATGTCATGAAATAGTTAATTCTCTTCATTCTTGCCCCTTGATGTAACTTATGATGTAGCCAGTATGCATGCAAGACATGCTCGAACCAGCATGATGTTGACCTACACTTGCTACAGCTTGTAAAGATAGCTAGCATGCTGCGACACACGACGTCACTCCTCAGTGGAATCATGAGCTTTAAAGTGAATCACGTGTTAGTCAGTGTCACGTTATCAGAAATGTTACCTTTGAGGGAGGAAAATAAATTGCGTCTTGTTGAGTCTGTTTGTTCTCTTCCTCTCCGGGTAAAGGCAAATGTTGCCTCCTGTAAGTGTAACCTTAGCTGCACTTTTGTTTTGGACTGTCAAGACATGTTGGAACTTCTCTGTCTTTGTCTTTGTGCCTCTCCCCATCTGTCAGTGCCGATGAAGGTATGGAGGGTCATAGGTGACAGATTTTGTAGCTAGCAGCTCTGTGTTTAGAAGCGGTTGATGGATCGTTGAGAAACCGCCATCCGCCGGGAATTTGACCTCCAATCTCGATGGAGTCAAACCCCAATAAATCAAAGTAGGAGCTTAGATGTGTTTTTGGCAAATAAGCTCCTGCACATCAAGTCAACATTGCGTGACAACCATTGTAGAAGAATTTTACTCTGACTTGCTACTGCACAGTGAGTGTTAGATTGTCTGCAGTGATTTCAATCAACATAAACTAGGTCAACAGTGGGTGTTACTCCTACTCGCTGTCTTAGCACACAGTGGTAAGTTGATCAGAGCTTATTTGCCAAAAGGTTCTTGTATTAATCCTATATCTGCAGACTTTATTATAATAGCACCACTTAGTTCCAGTGTAACCTACAGCCCTTAGTTAGTCTTTCTTGGTCAGACCTCTCCACCCTTCCATCCCTCAAATCCTTCTGCTAAACCCCCCCAAAAAAAAAGCTGCGGTCGTCTCCTGCTCACCAAACGGCTAAGCCGCGAGGAGACAGTGGATGAATGTTCCGGCACTGTGAATCAGCTGCAGCATGTCTGTACAGGCCTGCACCACACCTTTTTTTAGTTTTGGCTCTGAACACATCGTTCACTACAGGCACGGACGACACCCCGCTCCCCCGTGTGGTTACACATTTCTCTTCCAGGCACTTCCCCAACAAATGCCTCTTAGATATGTAGTTTATCGGATGTTAGATAGTTAGATGTGTAATGGGTGGTTTTGTCTGTATGTGATTTTTGTCATCTCCAGTCTAATGCTGGATTCACATGGATTCAAGCGGGCAGGCAACCTCTTCTTAACAGCATGAGAAAACACACACAAACAGGCCAATGAAATGGCAGAACCAAACGGGACAACATGTTGCTTTACTGTTGACAAAAACTGGAAAAATAAATATAAAACAAAGTTATGGATTCTGTCTATTAAGTATGGAATTTTGAAAATATATATTTTTTTTATTTGACCACCAAAACAACATCATTTATATCCAGGAGCCTAGTTTTTCTTTAATCTGAAAATAAGAATATGTGTTGTTGGATCAACATAATTATCTGTTTTTTTTTTCCATACTCATGTTTCCTCCGTGTTAAAAGGCGATATAAAACATTGAGTTGTAAGATCTGACGGCAAGAATTCAAAAAGTTATTTCAATGGCTAAGTCGTCTGCTTCTGGGTGACCTCTGCTGACCTCATCAGTTTTTACCGTTCTCCTCTTGTCCACTGAAAGAAATCAAGTATGCCATCTACAGCTACCTGAGTCCACGTGAATCCACTATGTGCGCTGTTTCTTGTTCTTTTATCATTCTCCTCACCTTCTCACCTTCCTTTTACTTTCTCTTCTTTGCCTTATTTCTCTCGTCTTCTTTCCCCACAAATGCTTTGTTCTCCTCTTACTCTCATCCAATCCCTGTCCTTTCATCAGTTCGGCGCTGTCTTCCTGCCACAATCGGGTGTATCAGAGTCTTGCCAACCTAATCCGCTGGGCCGACCAGGTGATGCTGGACGGCATCGACCTGGAGGACAAGGAAAATGTGGCTTCAGTCACCATCGTCATCAAAGCAGTGCTGGACGGAGTAAAGGTACGTAGGAACCAGGAAATATTCTCTGTGGTGTTATCAAAAAGAGCTGCTAGAGCTGACTGTGTTGTGTTTGTACATGAACAGGAGTTGGTGAAGCTGACCATAGAGAAACAGGAGCAGCCGTCGCCCACCTCTCCTAACAAACCAGCACCACCTGCTACCACAGCAGAGAGGTGAGTACACAGTGTGCCTTCCAGAATACACACACACTCATTCTGACACTCAAGGCAGTTCACTCAGTCAGCAACTTTTATGTGTGTGTAGCAGCGTGTCGTCAGAGATGCCCTCGATAGATCGGGAGCAGGAGGTCTCCAGTAAGACGGCTCCAGCAGCTGCTCCTGCAGAGGCTGCCTCCGACGTCCAAGATGAGGACGTCGCCCCTCCCAAACCCCCTCTACCTGAAGCCAAGATGGCTGAACTCAGGTGAGGCTGACGGACACAATTATATTCAGCATCTGCTCCACGTCGAGATTTCTTTTTTCTTTTTTTTTCTTTGGTCGGAAGTATAGTGTAAGTTTTATCAAAGTAAAACGTTGATAACAGTCTCGTTCAAGTGTTTGTCAGAGATTATTTTTCAGTTCAAGGTTTCTTTTTGTCTGTTTTGTCTCCGTCCAATCAGAAGCCAAAGCTGTGCGACAATGTGGTCAAAGGTTTCTTTATAGCCTTTTGCACTTTAGCCACAAATGAAGAAGTACCCGATATAGATGTTTTCATCATTATTGTTTTAAAAATAAGTTAAAGTTGAAGTGAAACAGTTTCGTAAGATGAGGAATGAAGAAGGCGTTAAAGGCGTACTTTTGTGCCTTAGGGGGATTTCCAAACTTTTCTTTCATTTTCACCTATTTATACTTTGAGTGGGATGATGTTTTATGATGTTGTTTAAAAGTTTTTTTCAAAGCAATCCATCCAAAGGTCCATCAATCCAAACCTTCTCCTTGAAACTTTCATCACTTTCATACTTAAGACTTTACATTTGGCACACTTTGGTTGCTGCTGTCTCTTCCCATCTTACTCTCTCTGCTGTCTCTGTCGGTTTGTCTCATCTCTGGTTTCCCCGTTGGATTTCGGGGAACAGAGCACAGTTGAGTGCTGACGCTGGCCAAAGGAGACCCTCTCAGAAGGAGAAGTATGTCAGCCCTCAGGATCATCCGTCTCCATTATAACATCCCAACAAACCCCCCCCCCCTTCCTTGTACAGCTTCTGAATTGGATGACTGTGGTTTTTTTTTGTTTGTTTTTTTTACTTGCATGGTTGCATTATCCCAACATTTGTGTCAACCTGTGCATTCCCTGAAGAACCCGTCATCCAATCAGAAGACAGTCCCAGTGCATGAGAGTGTGTTACTGACCCATGCAGTGTTTTGTTTCTGCTGGCCTCCATGGCATGGCGCCTTGTGTTCCCCATTTTTGACTTTGCATTAACTCACTGGGAGAATTTTGGATTGACATTGCGGGACAGCTTCATGTTACAGCTACGAGAAGCTGACATGAAACAGTCCCATCTCACTATTCCACAGGAAGGATGATAACGTGTGTGTTCATGTATACATACAAGGTTTCATGTGTGCATACATGCCTTTGAAAGCCGTGGTTTTCCTGCTTGTCTGATTGTCTTTATTGATTTTGCCTCGAGGATAAAAAAAAACAAAAAAAAACATTATACATTCCTGGTATTATATTCCGCTCTTTCTGTGTATCTGCCAACAGTCCCCCACCGGCTCTTCCTCCTAAGAAGCGTCAGTCTGCCCCCTCGCCCACACGAGTCGCAGTGGTCGCCCCAATGAGCCGCGGCTCCAGTCTGCCCTGCAGCGTCCACAGACAGGTGAGGGATTCAAGATTCGAGTCTTTATTATCATTGTGCAAAACAATGAAATAGCAAAGGCTCCCCCTGAGCTGGTAGTGCGGAAAAAGATAAAAGCAGTATTAAGAAACTGGGAAAAATAAACAGTTAGAATGACAGCAGTGTCAAAAGAATCTCAAAACAAAAATTCGACAAAATAGACTAAAAGAAAACAGGAATAAATATATGTAAACATATACATTCTTTGTCTATGCAAAGTGTAAAATACAGTGATTGGTCATCTGTTGATACTATTTGTTCAGACTAATGCTGATATTAGTGAAGATAATAATCCATCTTGAGGTCCCTTTTTAATATCAACATAATGTACATGAAATAAACTAAACAACAGTGAAGCTAAATGTCTCTCTTTTGACTTTGCAGCAGCAGGACTACGAGCAGGAGTTCCTTCAGAGGCGTTTCTCCGGTGGGAGCCAGTCCTACGGGGGCGACTCTCCGCGCCTGTCTCCGTGCAGCAGCATGGGCAAACTCAGCAAGTCGGACGAACAGCTCTCGTCCATGGAGCAGGACAGCGGTCAGTGTTCTCGTAACACCAGCTGTGAGACGCTTGGTAAGACTACAGAGACAAACAGAGGGTCAGGACTCAGAGGAGTTTCATCACATTTTCAATCCCAGTCCACTGGTTACACTTTAATAAGTGTAGCTTTCAACATTTCCAAAAAACTAAAAATGTCTCATGTCAGAGAGAGATGTTGGCTTAGGTGATGGACATACTTAAAATTTCTATATTTATATTTTTAATTAGTAGTGTACCTAAAGGATTTCACATAATAAGCAGAGACTTAAACATGAGTTGAGCAGCTCCAAACATTCATGTGAATGAAATGCTCACTTCTATGACTTTCTGTAGTGGCACCCTAACTCTGCCAACATGATGAGCGTCCAAACATAGCTTCTCCCCAATCTCTCTTCTGCTATTATTTTGATTATTGGATTGAATTTTGGTCTCCAAAGTACTTCAACACCCAGAAATATCTTACAACATCCGGACATTAATTTAAACCTTTGTGTTGGTATCTTGTCAACCGTCTCAATTTGGTCTTTGTGTTTTCTTTTTTACTGTTTGTCATCACTTGTTCACTAGTTTTTCCAGTGTATTTCCCCAAGAAAGGCAAAAAAAGAAAAAAAGAAAAATGACCTTTTAAAAAGCTGATTGCTTCAAGTATTGATGATCCAAATACATAACTACATAAGTTCAGAGTATATTTATGATATACATGAAAGTTAAACTCTCCTGCATTTGATGTTCCACAATCAGACGATCATTTCTCTGGAGAGCGGTCATCACTTTGTTGATCTTATCGAACCTGCACAACACATTATGCGGTCTTAAAGTGGCGCTACAGAGTGGTGGATCATTTTACACACACAACCCACACGCAGACACCGACATTCAAAGAGCACACAGACAAGACCTAATACAGAAAAGTTTCCTAAACTGAAACCATAATGGAGTTTACAGTAGCTGAGATAGTGGACTCATGGTTACACTCTGATTGTAAGATGATAAAAAGTAAATGTTTAAAGCTCCTGTATGGAGTTTTTAGCTGGTTATAAAACAGACTGAAGCTAATATGTATGTCTTTTTATGAGCAAACAAGATCATTGGCATAACAATTGTTTATTTCTTTGTAGTTCTTTTAAATGCCTGAAACAGCTGCTGGAGGGTAGGTGTCAGACCAAGAGATTCACAGCACGCTGCAGGAAAGACAGACCTTTTTTACATTTTCAAGATTCACAGTGAGGGAAACATTTGACTGCTGAAGTTAGCAGGTTATAATATTTGTTGTAAAACACAACTTACACATGTATAGGACAAAAACAGCAAACAGATAAGAGGTACCACTTTGTCCACAGGATCGCCAAAAGCATCAGAAACTGAGAGATTAGCTTTAATTATGTAATGGGCTGTTTTATTTCACTTCATGATTATATTTTGTACCTTTTCCCTACTTTCCAGACAACACAGAGAATTACGACCCAGACTATGACTTCCTCCACCAGGACTTGTCAGTAGGGGAAAACCTTCCCCCAATACCTGTAGGAGGATGTCTGAGCCCCCTGCCCGAGTCTCACAGCGAGTCCTCATCCCCGGTCCCCGGACAGCACCCCACACATCCCCGCTTCAGCGCACCTCCGCCCCAGCAGCCACCGGAATACTGGACCCCGCAGCCCAATCAAACCAATCCCCTACTGTCCCGCATCAGTGCCCCCCCTGCCCTGCCCCAAAAGAAGCGTCGCAGCACCCAGTCATTGCCCTTCCCCGACGGAGGATCCCGCGTGCTTTACGAGCGCTTCCCTTCCCATTACGACAACCTGTCGGAAGAGGAGCTGCACCCGACGCCGCCGTTCCCACTTCTCACGCCCATCTCGCCCATGCCTCAGACGAACGGGGGCGTGTTCGTCGCGCAGTACATCGCCAGCGAGTGTGCGGATGTCCCATCAAGTCCACCGCCTCTGCCTGAGAAGAAAAGCAGACACAGTAAGTGGGGAAAAAAAAGAAAGAGAGGGGATATAATGAGGGAGCGATGAAGGCAAGGAAGGAAGGAAGAGCTTTAAATGAGACGACTGAGCAGAGGTCACCGAGGAAGAGAAAGGGACAAAGGGAAGAATACAGAGGGGCATGAGATGGATTTAGGAAGACACTTAAGACTTTGGCTCCATTTCATTCTCAGTTTGTTGAAAGCATAGCTCATGTCAAAGAAATATGTCACCGTGATTAGAGTCAGGAAGTGAATACCAGGATGTGCTACAATGGGTCCGGCTCCAGGGGCACAGAGGGCAACGTTTGGTCATTTCCTGACACACCTGCTACATCACTTCCTCTCTCACTACTGTATCATGTCATTCCATACAGCCAGCCCTTCCTGTTAGCTGAAACACTTACTGTATGACGATGTAGACATTATTTTTCAAGTGGAAATCGTCATGAGTTCAGTTTACATGAATACGAAGACTTGACACAACTTGCCAGTTACTGCTGAATATATCTTCTCTTACTCTGAAAGGTTTTTTTTTTTTTTTTTTTTTTAATTCCTAGAAATATTAACCAATGATATCATGATGTCGTCATTGGGCTGATCTCTTTTTTTTTTGGCCCGAGCTGTTTTTGCCAAAAGCAGTCATTGTGTGTGGAATTTGCAAGACATGGGTGTTAACAGAGCGGAGAGGATCTAATGAAAGATGCTTTTGAGTTGCATCATGGGATGTGAAGGAGTTGGTGTTTTTGGAGCTTGACTTATACAAGGGGGAAAGAAGTACAGATGAATCTGCCTTTGGTGCTTCAGTGTTTACTGTTCTTTTTTAAGACATGTCTCTTGTGAGTCTACTTCTAATATTGGTGGAGTGCAGGAGCAAATGATTGTACAGTACTGCACCCTTAACAAGAAGTGAGGAGTAATTTGATTCAAAAGGGATTTAGTGTGGTTCAATTACTGAAGCGACATGTATTTTCTTGACTCTTTGAGTTTGAAGTAAACAGTTCTCTTCATTTAATAACGGTATTTATTTTGCGTCTGATCCACCACCCTCCTTTCAGTCCTCCAGTACATGCAGTTTGTCGAAGACTACTCGGAGCCCCAGCCCTCCGTCTTCTACCAGTTGCCGCAGAGCGAGAGCATCTACGAGCAGCGCAACAAGCGCTTCCAGGAGGTCTACCGCTTCAACGACTCCTTCAGCAGCACCGACTCAGTCCACGAGCCGCTGCTGCCGCCGGCGCTGCCCCCGAAACAAAGGCAACTGGTAAGAAACCCCCTTCCAAATACGATGACAGGGACCATTTGCTTTTTGGGTTTGGACTGTGGAAGCAAAGCTGTAATTATAATTCTTTAAATAGTTGGGTTCCCTTTTCTCTAATTAAGAGCAGAACTTTGAGGCTGTGTGGATCCTGCATTGGCAACACAGTTAATTTAAGGGATTATACATAGATCAATGAGACGAAGAGCTTTGTGAGAACAGGTTTACTCGTACATTTCAACAATATAAAAACAAATGTCTGCCGTACAGCTCAGTGTTGGTCACAGGCTCTTCATCCTTAACGCTGGGAAGAAAACGAGTGTGAAAGAATGCAGATTGCACTCTGCAGCTGAAGTACATTCCAGTGGTAATCCTCATCAATTTTCTCTCGAGCCTCCTCCTATCTTGTTATCTCTCTCACCTATTCAACCCCCCCTTACTCTCTCCATCTCCCCTCCGAGCTTTCCTTTTTTTTTTTTGTGTAAGGAAAGCAGCCGTCTGTGTGAACATAGAGGTGTTTGCTTGTTAGTGAGAGATAAGACCAGCCTCTATCAGGCCCACATCAGATCCAGTCCACTTATCTCAATCCGGGTCGGCATCGGGGTTAATTGAGACGACTGTCAGAGAGAGAGAGAGAGAGAGAGAGAGAGAGAGAGAGAGAGAGAGAGAGAGAGAGAGAGAGAGAGAGAGAGAGAGAGAGAGAGAGAGAGAGAGAGAGAGAGAGAGAGAGAGAGAGAGAGAGAGAGAGAGAGAGAGAGAGAGAGAGAGAGAGAGAGAGACTGTGATGTGTCAGAATTTGAATTAATACATTTGAAGGCTCAATGCAGAATAAGTAATGGGGGTCCTTATGATAATACTACCTCAGGTTAAACCCTGTTTTATTTGCTCCCTTTTGGTCTTCTTACTTGTTTAAAGTGGGAGGGAACCATCTAAAAAATGATGTCATCAATTCGGTGTATCGGTTGTTTTGTCATTTTCACACAGTCCCGATGGAGGAATTGCCACTAAACTTAATCAATAATATCTTAAGACGTCTTTTAACCTTGAATGTTGCTTGTATAGGAAAACGTAATGTATTTGTCACCCAGGTGGATTTGTAGGGATGCATATACCGGTACTTGGATTCTTGCAGAATTCCAATATGCACGTTTTAATAGTTTGTTGGCTAATTACAGGTAATAGTCCCTGCGATAAGGTAGAAAACAATTTGTGCATATCTATCGTATTTATAAAGCCTCTCCTGTAGGGGAATCAACATATTGATGAGCCTACTTACTCACTGGCTTACATGCTGATAAGAATTGTTCAAAATGTACACATTCACTGTGCAAAAACAGAAAACTACTTTAAAGCTTACATGTCAAACCTCAGGTATATATTTGTATACAGCATTTTTAATGTACATACTTCAATCTACTGTGACGCTTCTAAATGGAGCTGAATGAAGAAACCCTTAATTGCTGTTCTTGGCAGCAGAAATATTCAGTTAGAGCAGATTCTGACACTGAATTTTAAAGCCTTTATCGGGCTGTGTAGACGTCGTTCTAACTTGTGCATCCCTACTTATTTCCCATAAACAATGCTACATTGCAAAGATTTAGGGTAACAAGTTTTCATGTTGGGGATGCATCAGCCCATTTGACACAAAGACAGCAGTTAATGGGAAGAAGATCAGGTTCAACTATACCGGAATTTCCCTGTAAGGATCACCAATGTGGATCTACACTGAGAGTCTCATGTTCACTAGAAGGAGCTTCGTTTTGCAGGACTGTCACAAATAAGATTTCCCACAAAGAAACAAACATGCCCATTTTTCTTGTCATTCATATATGAAGGTGACAAACGAATGTAAAGTTGGCCTAAAGCTCTGTAACAACGAAGAAAGTACATTTGTGGATAGTAAACAAATGACACTTCTCCAGGGTGCAGCTACAGTACATTTACAGTATCACAGCCCAGTGAGGAGAAAATAGACTTTGAGTGTCAGTCTGCCCAGGCCACCTCAGAGAGTCTTTCTTCTTCCTCTTTGTCCATTGTCCTCTCTCTGCCACCACAGCTGTGTATTCTGAGCCTTGTGTGCCCGGCTCTTTATTTTTATCACGCTTTTGTCTGCGCGTACAGTCCAACCGCACTCATCTCTGCTCCCGCCGCACGACCCTAATCTGGCCTCATGTTTTGGACTTGATGAGCTCGTGGCCCAGTGGAATAAGCCTGTTTGCCTCCTGCATAAGCCCGTGTTCCAGGCTTACACGCTTTGGCGACTTTACAAGGCTTTGCAGCAAAAAAAATACAAAAATACAAAAAAAAGTAATTTCAGCTGCAGTGTGGATAAGGAAATGGGTGAAAAAACCAAAGCAGATAATATTGGCAGTGTTTAGAATGTGCTGTAGTTGGCCTGGTTTCAGTAAAGCTCTTAAAGCTCGGGGCGTTAAAAGAAAGGTTATTGGGCTGTCACAGTCTACATTATGTGTGTAACCTTTACACATCACTTGACCCCCCTGCTCATTAGGGCTTTCCAGGGAGAACCTTTAATGAAACATAACGGTATATTCAGTGGTAGTCTGTATTTATTTCAAAAGCCAGTGAGCTGATACTTCTAATTCAAACTCCCAGAATCCTTCCAGCTTCTCACCACTTTGACTACTGATTTTCTGCTGAACTTTGATTAAATCTGCTCAGATTCACTCTTACTTACTAGTGTAATCAACTGTCCACTTTTTTTTTCTTCTCTTCCTCCCTTAACACCCCTAATTTTCCCCTTTTACCTGCTTTAACTCTCTCTACTCTTACTCTTTCTTTCTTTCTTTCTTTCTTTCTTTCTTCTTTGTTTCCGTCTCAGGCCTCCCACACTTCCTCCCCCTCTTCTTCCTCTTCTTCCTCTCTCTCCTGCCACCTCCAGCCGTCTGTAGCGGCGATGGAGGAGGCGGGCTCTGGGCTGGGCCTCAGCATGTCCGTTTCTAACTCCTACCTGATTGGACAGGCGTCTTTGACCACGCCCACGGTAAGTTCCTGACCCCTCTCTCGCTCTCTCGCTTAAACGCCATCCCTCCACCTCCATTTCTCTGCTCCGGTTGGTGTGGGTGCTGTGTGGTCCCGGTCTGGTCCAGGGAGCCCGACCTGTCTGTGCACCATATGTGATACATCCTCCCTCTGACCCTCTGAGGTCTCCGATGGGGGCCTTCCATCCCTCGAGGGTCGCTGGTTTGCTTGCTGTGTGGTCCTTCGTTTAGCTGCATCGCCCCTCCATGTGTGCATTTGTTTTGACAGTGTGAATTTGTTGCTTTGTTGTGTGTTTTTTTTAGCTGAGGCATCAGATATGCTGTTATTAATGTGTGCTTTGTGTGGTTGTGACGTGAGTGTGTGCAGTTATCTGTTGTGGTTGTGTGCAGCCTTTGGCTACCATAGTTTGTATGTTGCACTACAGCATTCCCCCACATGATAAAGCAATGATTTGACCCTTTCCATCTTTTCATTTCGCCTCAGAGATGCAGCAAAAACAGTTCCAGTGCACTGGAAAAAGTTAGCTCTCTAAAACAAGGAAAAATAAAGGAACAAAAAAAAAAACGGGGAAATTGTTACTTGTCTGCCGTAAATTGTCTGCCGTAATTTACCTGGTGATAATGGTCTGAAAAACCCAATTGATGTTTTAAAACTTGCAGGGCCAGACAGAAAATATAGATACTGTAGGTCACATATGAAGAAATTTTTTTTTTCTAAAAATGTAGGAAAGAGTGCTTCAACGAAGTTAGTATCCAGTGTCTCAATAGTTAAGTGTTAATAAGTCATCAGGAATAAATGTACCAGTAAAGGTAATCCGAGTCACTTGGTCAAAGAAATCCATTTCAGGCTAATTTCCTTGCCAAACTTGGTTCAAGTCAAATACCATCCTGGTGATGTAACAGACTTGTTCAATCGTTGAGATGACTCAGATGAAAAGTGTATTGTCATAACATATGAAATAGAGGGGGAAAAAATCTTTTTATTTAAAAAAGAGAGATTCTTATCTTCTGAGATTTTATATCTATTCATAACTTCCAAATAAAATTGGCTAATCAGTCAGTCCCTGCTAAGTGCTAAGGCTAGTTCTTTGACTCAGTAGGATACCAAATAGAGCAGCAAGAAATTCAGCCAGTCTCACAGATGACTGGAGTATTTACTAATTCAAAAATAGACTTTGAATCATTCATCCAGAATTGTTTTGAATCGAAAAAAAGGATTCTGAATTGAATCGTGAGACACCTAAAGATTCCCAGCCCTAATATGAAGGTATAATACGGATAAAAATGCTTTAAATAATACATCTAAAGCTGCTTTGTAATTGTCACTGTTGATCAAACAGATTTCTAATTCTGATAATCCTAATTGAAGCCGCTCAGAATCAGGTCAAAATCTCAATAACAAATTACAATAATTTATCAAGTTTGTTCAGAGCGAAAAAGCTTGAAGTAAGGCAAATGAGTAAATACATTGCCCAACAAGAACTGCCTTGTTAGAAGAAGTCTGTGGGTAATATGCTGCCTTGATTTAAAGCTCGTGATGAACTTTGATTTAGTGTCGCTTTGGTGCCCCATGTGGACAAAGTGGGACCTCTTATCTCTCTTCTGTGCATTTGTAAGTAGTGTGCTTTAATGAAAAACACCCACACATGGCAGTGGTTTCAGGCATTAAAAATAGCTTTATAGAAAAAATCCCTTCTGTTTCTGATGGTCTTGTTTGCTTTTGTAAGTCATAAAGAGACACCAATAGTCATTTCAGAATTTTTCACAACCAGTTAAAAACCCTTCACACAAGTCTTCAGATATCTTTTTTTCGGTTTCACTTTCTTGGATGAGCTGTATGTCCACATATCACAATAGATTGTCTCCTATTTGGTTGTTGAAATAAGAAATCACGCTTCCATGAACAGCTCCTCGTTAATAAGTCAACTCTTGGTTAATAAATGCTTTGTCATAGTTACTTTCGGCCTTGACCCTCAGTGCGTATCCCACTATGTGTTACAGTGGTTTATTTAGGGAGGGGTTGACCCATGATGACCTCATGGTGAGCTATGCACCCTTAAGACATGCTGTGGATCTCTCGCAGTATATCCTTGCTGGAATGCAACTCCAGATGGACCTGATTGAAAACACATTCCTCCCATTTTCTGCTCCTCTCCTCCCTCCTCCTCGTCTTCATCTTCTTCTTCCTTTGGCGCTTTGGTGCCCCATGTGACAAAGTGGGACTCTTATCTCTCTCCTGTGCATTTGTAAGTAGTGTGCTTTAAAAAAACACCCACACATGGCAGTGGTTTCAGGCATTAAAAATAGCTTTATAGAAAAAATCCCTTCTGTTTCTGATGGTCTTGTTTGCTTTTGTAAGTCATAAAGAGACACCAATAGTCATTCAGAATTTTTCTTTGCTTTGCATAGTTAGTGGAAAGAAAAAGAAATATTCCGTAAGTCATATTGGTATTAGAGAATTTCCCTCTTTGTGTGTGTGCTGCTGCTTATTTTTACAGACTAGAATTTCCCAACAGCATTGGAATTTTGAGAAAAAGAGGAGATTAGTTTCCAGATGATCCTGCGCGTCTGTGCATGATCACGTGCATGCATATTGTGTGTGTGTGTGTGTGTGTTTATGCCAAGTGTGTGCAGTGTTTATCAGTGATCTGTATGTGCGCCTCCATGATGGTATGCAGGAACAGGGTAATATGTGCAACAAGTTCGGACAGGTTACCACTGCCTCCCTGCAGACACACATCTCCAAAGCTGGCCACACACAAACACACCAGCACACACATCAAGACATGGCTTGTCTAAACACACATACATACTGCAAGTTGATGCTAGCTTATCTTTGAGGTTCCTTGTTAAACATTTGTGTCTTCCTTGTTCTCTCACTGGAGATGCTTCTCTTGCCAATGGGTGCATTTTTTTTATTTTTTAGATGTGTGTGTGTGTGCATTTCTTGTTCAGACACATCATCCTCATAGTCCACGCTTAACGGAGGTGTTGGAGAAAGATGTGAACATTTTTTTTCCCTCCTCCGCTTCCTATAATTCAGCCTCTTCTTTTTTTCTTCTAACTGCTCTGTCTTCACCTCTCTAATCCCTTACTCCTGTATTTTATGTTATTTTCTTTCTCTATTTTTTTTTTTCCTGCTTTCCTTCTTTCCACCAATCGCAGAGCTTGGACCAGGTTGCCTTGACCAATGCCACCAATCTGGATGGCGGCGGGGGCGGGCCCAACGGTTTGCTGGCCGGCTCAGTGGGCTCTGTGGCTGTCTGTCTTCCTTCTGAGACCTCTCTCACTGACTCTCTCCACACCTCAGCGGTGAGCTTACACAGACTGATGTGTGGACTCAGGATGCCAACATGAACAGGCTCTCTCAGACTGATAATAAAATGTGATGCTGGAGCCGTTCCCTCGGCAGATTGTTGTCAGATTACAGCAGTTTGCTGTCCCGTATTGTTGCACAGATGATAATACAGTGACTCATTCTCTTGTTGTGATTATCACTGCCCACAAACTGTCTGCTGTCTGAGTATTGCTCTTAAAAGAATCCCAGTGGAGCATGTTGCACTGCTTTTTTTTTTGCCTGTAAATATAATTACCTTTACAAATGACGCTCTCCAGTGCCACCTGGTGGTCGGCTGGAAAACACACCGCCCACTGTACACAACTAAAACCTCGACTAGCGGCCGTCTCTCTTCCTGAACTATATATTCACACTGTTAAGCAAAAACTCTGTGCCCCTCTCCGCACCCTCACGCCTGGGTTTGTGTCACCCCTGTCTCCCCGTAGAGCGAGAGCGCGAATGACGAGGGCGGGGAGGGGGAGTACGTCAACTTGTACTCGTCCAACCAGGCCAACGGGGAGCTGTCTCTCTCCCTCAGAGTAAGTAGCTGACCGTCCGCCACAGGTTGAAAGGTCATTTCCATTTACACGTCGCTCCATCGTTTCAGGATATGAATCAATGTGAGGTCAGGATGCCCCCGTTTGACTGGCAGAGCCATTCATCTGTTGCACTCTGCAGTGCTCATTGATTCATCTCGTGGACTGATGGCGCTGAAATGGAATGTGAATGTAGACAAAACCTGACCGAGCATGACTTCAGGTTCATGGGTTTGCCTGCAAGAGGACTTTCTGTTTCCGTGGAGAGAGGAAAAAGATGTCCGCCTGTATGTTACTCTGACTGCCCGGCTGGTGATTGCTCGCTCTCTCTCTCTCTCTCTCTCTCTCTCTCTCTCTCTCCCTCTCTCTCTCCCCCTCTTTGGCTGTGCTTCAACTGTAACAAGCATTTAACCTTGTTCCAATCTAACACCTGACATGTGGCTGCTCCTTAAGGGATTCTCAATGGTTCACCGGTTTTCAATTTTCCAATAACATTCCTCGTAACGGCTTATGTGCATGTGTGACGGCATCAGTGTGTGCTTGGTTGTGTTACTTTGGGCTCGTGTGAATTCAAGGTGTATTTGAGTCCTGTTTCGGGGTGTTTAACACAAGTGAGAGTGACGGCAAAAGAGATGATATGTGATTGTGTTCGTAGTGTTGCGTTCGGTGCGGGTTCAGAGTGTGTGAGTTCACCCCTCTGGTTTCTTTGGGTTTCCCCGCTCATACTTAGAGGAAAACTGCATTTTTACCAACACTAATCAGTACAATATCCTTACTGTGACATTTGTACAAAGCATCCATCTTCCCCTCCACCCAAAAGTGTAGCATGCACACTGGGGGTTCATACGATCTCATCAATATCCTGCCGCCTGTCACTGCATGGAATCACTCGCCAGTGATGGTCCGTGTAACCCGCAGCACAGATGTTGATTTTTGTTTTTCCATCCATCGATTAGGAAACGATCACAGCTGACGATGTGCTTCAAGACCCCGCCCCTCAGATGCCAAACAGCAACAGCAAAGAGGCTTTGGACAAGGAGCGGTAAGAGTCATACAAAAAGGTCTACAGTTTGTGCTGTACACTCAGTTTCAGACGACCTTAATTTATCCCAGAAGGGCAATTCAGTTTCACAGCCTAACAGGTCTTTATTTAAGAATAATCAAGACAAAAGAAAGGAAACAAACAGTCACGGCAACATTCAGATAATTACATTCACATGCCAGTAACAGCAGATCAGCAGATGAACATGTCTTTAAACACTCACCTTTTATAGTGTGTTTCTTTTGTAGTAATATATAATACTAAGGTTGTCACTATACAAAATGCTTAAAAGAACACTTTAGTCCTAGACACCCAATATTGGGTTATATCTTGTTTTAAATTGCCAAAAAATGAAAGAAAACTCCTGTTAGCATCAAATCATCACATTTAGCTTAAACCAATTAACAATTGCTTAATAATGGCCAAAACATTTCATGGATTACAAAAAATATTTCTACATTATCTTCAAACATGTCCATGATTATTGCTGTGAAATAAAAGCTTAGGAGTATCTGTGCTAAAGACATCTTCCTGTGTTTGTTTTAGGCGGCAAAAGTCGACAGAGTCGGCCGGGAGCGACGAGGAAGACGTGGACGAGCTCTCTCTCATAGATCACAAGGAGATCATGAGCAGGATAACATTAAAACAAGAAGTAAGACCAACAGCAGAGCTGCTGCTGCGGCTGCATGCTTTCTGTTTTTAGGAATCTGCTGTGATAGAAGCATGCAGCCCCTGCATACAAAGCACATTCTATCCTTTTAGTGCAGCGCTGGCTAAAGGTCACTGTGAGTCACTCTAATATAAAACCCTGATCCTGAGATCCTCCATTGATAGTCAATGCTTCCCTCTGCTGTGAACCCATTGAAACTGCAGTGCTTAGAATCGACAAACCACCCTTCTCCTCCTCCTCCTCCTCCTCCTACGCCTCTTCCTCCTCCTCCTCTTCCTCCTTGTCCTGTGTGGTGCAGTCTGATAGACAGATGTGTAGAAATATTGCTCGTCAGTCTGCAAGGTTAGGGCCAGTGGGACAGCAGTGATTTACAGATGAGATGTGGAGGGATCAGAAGTGGAAAGGAGGGAAGATTCATAGCCTGTGAGGACATTTTTAGAGCTGTTGCAGGAGACATATTGCAGTGGTGAGGCTTTTATCATACACAAGTCTGACTTTTTCTTCGTCATCAGAGGAGCTGGTGCAGGACGGGAGAGGTGGGGGCCTTTTAAGAGGAGGTTGGGGGGGGGGGAGTGAGAAAAGAAAAAAAATACAGGCAGAAGAGAAAGGGGCTGCTACATTTGGGCTAGACTGCATCACTACCCATCAACTCTCACCACTCTCTTTTCCTCTCCTGTTTTCACTCCATTTCATCTTTCATCTTTTCCTCTTCTTTAATTCTTTGCTCATTTTTTTTTCCAGAATGATGACGGCCCTGACGTCCGTGCTGGATCAGGAGATATTCTATTAGTGCACGCTACAGAAACAGACCGCAAAGGTACAGTACAGCACACATCAAGGCTGGAGTATACAGGGCAGTATGTTAGTGTGCTTCAGGGTCACTGGTGCAGCTTTGTTTTGTTTTCATAGCGTAAGAGCCATTGGGCATTCAAAGATCTTTTTTATTTTCAGTAATTTGACGAGTCTGAGAAGCATTTTAAAACAGCCTCAGTCTCACTCTCTCTCTCTGGTTCTCTTATTTGCGATGTGTCAGTCTGGATATGTAACCTTCACATTTTAATAGATGTGTTTTTGGCTTAATTAGGTTCTCTGATACATTTCCACTCAAATATGTTGTTTTTATTCTCTCCTGTTTTTCCTTGACAGATCTCGTTTTGTACTGTGAAGCCTTTCTGACTACATATAGGACTTTTATAACCCCCGAGGACCTCATTAAGAAGCTACACTACAGATATCCTTTTCAGATCACTCAACATGTCACTGGGAGCTTAAACGTCTGCTGACTGAAGGCTGTTATTAAAATCCTCATTTACCAAGGAAAGAGCCCTTTATCTGTTTTTTGCTTTGATTCAGCTCTTTCAAAGACTTAGAGCTTCAAAACAAAATGTATTTCTCTCCAGATGGATACTTAACTTCTTAAAGTGTTTGGATTTTTATGATTGTGTGCAGTGCTTAATGGCACCTCAAGAGAGCAATTTACCAAGAACGTTTCCCTCCAAGATATTTCCATAGATGCTGCCTTGACAGCTGGCTTTACAGTAGCAAACTTCAGTTCTGTGTTGTTACTGGTTTAACCAGTGAAGCCTCACAAAGCAAGCAGCTAGCATAGCTGTAGTCCTGCTACTCCAGGTTGAAGTCATGGCAGAGATGCTGTGTAATGATGTGTGTTTTCAGTGCTATGAGGCTAAAGCGAGATCTATTACAAGCTTATTTTTAGGCTATGAAATTGTTCCCTAAATTCAAATCTATTTTAAACCAGAATTTCTGAAAATAGTTAATTTTTTTTAGATTACTATATTGTTTAAACTTTAGAAGAATAGTACATTGTGTTGGTTAAATGCTAACTAATTGTTGAATTAATTTGAACAACCACATTTGAGCTGCAGTACTTAAAAAACATATTCTGACACATCTCATCTTGTCACTAGATGAAACATCACTCATGTCCGATGTGTAGAGTTTAGCATGTTTTATTTTGAAACCGCATATAGTGTTTTTTTTGTGTCCTTGACCACTGAGCACATACACCAGGTTCTGCCACAGTCCAGACACCTTCAAGAAGCGAGTCAGCAAGAACACGTTCTTTGTGCTGGTCCGAGTGGTGGATGAGCTGTGGTGAGTACGACTATGTTGTTTTGGTTCTTAATCTGGGAAAGAACTTCTTCAGAGTGCGTAGTGAACCTCCTCGGGAAACGTGGTATTATAAATAAACAGATATATGAATTAGTAGAAGACTGTGAAAAGAAAATCAGGCTCATCAGAAAATAATGAATCAAAGTATGTGTACGTTTTTATAACATAGAAGTTACCACTGCTTTTAGTATGCTTTTGTTTTGAAAGTATGTAAGCTATATTTTGACAATCGACATACTGTTTGCAAACATTTGCAAAAAGATCCCCCACAGGGTCAAGATTATTAAGAAGATAGGGGGGAATTAAAAAAACCTTCTTTGTATTATTTCTTAATGTCTATAAATATTCTTCAAAGACATAAACAACTAGTGTGATGCACATATACGTCACTTTAAAGGGTCATGAGACGAACAGTTTAGGGAGTACTAGGGAGTAGCTCTCACTTTATTCAACCGTCTCTTTAATGCACATTATATTTTAAAAAAACAATTAAAAATGCTGTTTTTCTCCTGTGTGGTGCAGTTTGGTGGAGCTGACGGACGACATCTTGAAGCAGCTGATGGACCTGGTGTTCACGCTGGTGTGCAACGGCGAGCTCAGCCTCGCCCGTGTGCTCCGCAAGAACATCCTGGACAAGGTGGAGCAGAAGAAGCTGCTACGATACACTAACTCCCTCAAGCCGCTCGCTGCCCGAGGGGTCTCTGCAAGGTACTGGGGGTTCACTTCTCTTATTTTTATGGCTTAATACCTTTAAGGCTAACCAACAGTGTTTTTTTTTTCTGGTAGACTGACTCTCAGAAAACTACAACACCACTTAAGATTCCTTTAACTCATATTCAGATATTCTTATTATTGTCCAAGCTAATGTTTGCTCGTGTTTCCAGCCTCTAGCCTCTATCAGGGCAGAGTACCTGAGGTAGCTGTTTCATAATGTACGTTTAATTAGCTTTGTGACTTTGCAACTTCCTAAATTAGTAACTGCTAACACTTCAAATGCTTTTAAAAATGCAAAACTCAGACACAGCAACTAAAGGATATGTTAGAATAATAAAGTAAAACAAAGTTTGAGGCCTAACAAAGAAGATAGTTTGTTGTGGTGAAGGAGACCTGCACCAAAAATGACAGATCAATGAGTGCTCGTTATTTTTTCGACTCACGTCTTCCACCTGAGTAGACGACCATTGCATCAGTTGAAAATGTATTGCTTGGTAAGCAGTCTGACACAGATTGAGACAATTGAGTGTATATCTGCATATATCAATAAGCAGGGCTCTGACTGGCGGAGCCATGTGATTACATCACACCCCTTCTGCTGACCACAGCACTTATTTCAATTATTCATAAAATGGCAAAGATCCTTCAGGTCGGGACAGTCCACAGGCAGAACAGATTCTTGTGTTGGTCTGAAGCAGACACTCACTCTTACTCGTGTTGTAGTCTGCGATAAGTTTGCTCTGAACGCTCCTCCTCAAATAACTAATGAAAAAAAACCAACACTTGGACATAAATTCACGTGACTATATCTATCATGGCAGAATCTGGATTTGAGAAAAATGTGTCCAACCTGCTGTTTTAAAAGTTTGCCCCATATCCCATCTGTTCACATGGAGGAGACGGCTTTATGACCTATATTGCAGCCTGTCAGCAGGGGGAGCTCTAAATGTTTTGGCTACACTCTCAGGAGGCTGTTGAATATTTATATACAGTTTATGATTGAGACAAAGATGTAATATGACTCGCCTTTCACTACAAAGTAGCACATTTTGCACTTTTATGCTTCACCTTTTTAGAAATAGTCCTGAAATGTATTTAAGAAATAGACTCCTTGCAGCACAAGGAACTACAATGAAAGAAACAGTCCTCTCCTTTATTAGTATCCTGTAGGTGCAGCTAACCTTCAAAGTCAAACTTTAGATTGAAGACATCACCTAATAGTTTATGTCTCCCTAACAGGCCGGGAACCCTGCATGACTTCCGCAGTCACGAGATTGCAGATCAGCTCACTCTCCTTGACGCTGAGCTCTTCTATAAAATTGAGGTACAGCAAGTTGCTTTGTGTTAATCCTCGCAGCATTTGCCCACATCGATTTGTGTGTTTCCACTCTGAACTCCATTTGTTTATTCCTCCTTTTCCACTCAGATTCCTGAGGTGCTGCTTTGGGCCAAGGAGCAGAATGAGGAGAAGAGTCCGAACCTGACTCAGTTCACAGAGCACTTTAATAACATGAGCTATTGGTAAGACCCCCAAACCAAATCTATCCCCTCATTTGTCTATTATTGATATTCCTGACTTCCCCCTTAAAGCATCTTTCCCTCAATGTTGTTACGCCTCATTTATATATTCCTCCTTCACCTGCAGGGTCCGCTCTTTAATAATCCAGCAGGAGAAAGCTCAAGACAGAGAGAAGCTGCTTCTCAAGTTCATCAAGATAATGAAGGTTAGTGACATATAAATATCCACTTCAGACACTGGTTATTTCCCGACCTGTGAACCAGACAACTGTGTGAGCACATGCTTGTTTATTACTCTGGAAAGTATGAGCTGTCCCCCTGAAGTTCAGACAGATTTTTTATCAGGCCATAATCACGTCGGGCAATTCACAGGTGTTATCTACTATGGGGCGAGTTAAAAGAGCATGGGTCATTAACGGCTGCTGTTGAAGAGGAACCAACTAAATCCATTATTAGGTCGAAAGTTTTTAAGAGTTCTTTGGGCGTCTCATAAAGATGCACAAGTTATGTACGCGTCTGTTGCAGATGGTGTTTACATTTTTATGTGTTAAGTGATTTTTTTAAAATGTTTCTTTTAACTGATCAAGCACTTTGAGGTTGCTGATTTAAAAACAAGAAATTGCATTCATCATTTTTGGGTGCCCAGGACAGACAGTATATTTGTTGCCATGGTATCAACACAGTTAGCGATATTGTTGAAATGTTTACAGGTTTTGTGTCAAAGCTTAAAATGTTGGTATGGTGACAGATAGTCTGTCAGCCTAGAGGTCTGCCTCTATAGCACATGTTTCTGTGCTCTTTGGGCCAATGGTAACACCACCACCTGACGCCCCCCCCCCCCCCCCCCCCCGAAATATAAAAATGAACAGAGAGGTTCTGATCTTATTCAAGTTTGCTGGGATTGTATTTTCTCTCATGTTTTTATGCTTTAACATTTCTTATTTCTTTTTACAGCACTTAAGAAAGTTGAATAATTTCAACTCCTACCTGGCTATTTTGTCTGCCCTTGACTCCGCCCCCATCAGGAGACTGGAGTGGCAGAAACAAACCTCAGAGGTGAGGGGATCATTTGGTTACGATGGGAGGAGTTACATACTGTACATGCATGCCATCATGTTCATAACAGAGAAGATCTCTGTTCATAGACGGTGTAGCCATAAAGATGTACTATAGGGAAGTTTTCTCAACATGTTTGTCACTTTTCCTCTTACACTTTTTCATTCTTCTTCTCTCAGGGATTAGAGGAGTATTGCACATTGATTGACAGCTCCTCCTCCTTCAGAGCGTACAGAGCAGCTCTGGCTGAAGTGGAGCCTCCGTGCATCCCGTACCTGTAAGTGCATTCACGTTTTAACATGCATGTTTCTCCACACATTGTGAAGCTCATCTTGACCTGACTCCTTCTCCTCCTTCCAGCGGTCTCATCCTCCAGGACTTGACCTTCGTCCATCTGGGAAACCCTGACCTCATCGACGGGAAGGTTAACTTCTCCAAACGCTGGCAGCAGTTCAATATCCTGGACAGCATGCGGCGCTTCCAGCAAGTGTAAGTCCACTGGGATGAATCTGCGCTATGATGAACTTCACATATTACTAGAGTGCTTTGTAAACATCCCTCACAGTAATAAATAAATGTCAGCTTTTGTTTGCACTGGCAGGAAGTGGAATGTATTTCTACTTAGTTTTTCATTAAACTGTAATCATAAAACAGCTCTACGATCTCCACATGGGCTGTTTGTTTTCTCACTAATGAATCACTGCAGTAATCACACTCCTCCTCCTCCTCCTCCTCCTCCTCTCATCTCATCTCAGGCATTACGAGCTGAAGCGCAACGACGACATCGTCTGCTTCTTCAATGATTTCAGCGATCACCTGGCGGAGGAGGCGCTGTGGGAGCTGTCGCTGAAGATCAAGCCCAGGAACATCACCCGGCGCAAGACAGACCGCGAGGAGAAGACCTAGGACTCCCTCCCTCCCACCCCAACCCCCGCTTGACTGAGACTGACCTCCAACTGTGCTTCATGACACTAACTCCACTTTACTACAGACTGAGAGAAAGACGAATGGAAGCTTTCCGCTAGAGCTAATGGGAGACTCAAACGACAGACAAGTGAAGCGTGGCCGAGGTTTACAAAAGAGCGCTGCTGCTCCGGGAAATTTTCATTGGGATTACTGTGGCTCTGGCAGGGGAGAGATGGAGTGGTGGAACAAGAGGAAGCCTGGTGCCAAGGAGAAGAAGAATCACACAGAGCGGACAGGGAGACACTACAGAAATAACCAAAGTCTGCTCCCTGGGCTCTCTGTTTTAGAGTGGAGCTGTTGCGTGTGAGTGAGATTGAGCTGAATGGTCCATTACCCTCAGAGTTGCTCCTTCCTTTTATGTATGTGCCATTTGTTTGGTCATCTTCTGAAACCCCCCCCCTCGAGTTTCCCCTCAAACAGCAGAACATGGACGTGCCCTGAACTATGACTCGCAAGCTGCAGACACAACACTCTGCTGAGGGATCACAAGAGGGGGTTTGAACTTACAAAGAGGATGACCGTTAGAGACTGAGTTTGTTTTAAGACATTTTTTTTTTTTCTGTGTAAGAATCATGTATGGTTATGAAATGTATTATATACAGTGCTCCTTTTGTTCTCGAAAAGGATGTTAATGCTTATGAGAAGAGCTAAGCTTCTCCCAAAGTGCCATACATATGTGCACTCAAAAAAAAGCAAAGCAAAAAAAAAAAAAAAGACAAAAAGATGAATTACTAAAGATGCTGTGATCTATGTATGTCATACTGAATCATCGTGTGCCGTGTTCAGGTGTAGAGAACCATCAGGCAGTCACAATCATGTCCCCGTCACGTCGCCGTGTGAGAGCGTGTTTGTGAAGTGCGACCGAAGTCCTCAGAGGCTCGAGTGTTTGTCATTCCAAAAAATGTGCTGTAGAAAAATCATTTGAATTCCTTTTTTTGGGGAGATAAAAAACCAACACATCACACTGTGCTATCAAACACCAATAAAACAAACAGCTCTGTTTCTATACACACTGTTTGGCTCAGAAGCTTCATTTGGATTTCAAAACTCAAAACAAGACTTTAAAACTTTTTCATAGAAGTTCCATTTATTGTTGGACAGATTGGTCAGTGGAAAATGAACTTAAAAAAAAATTAAGGCATGTATTCAACTGTAAATGATTCAAAGGAAGCACTCAATTTGTCCGACACTGCTGAAACGTGGTTTTAAATAAGTTAAAAACAAACATCGAAAGCGACAAAGCTGACAACAGATGACTCTTTATAACCTTTTCATTTAAAGCCAGTATAAATATAAGGTGCAAAGCGTGACTGACATTACAAGTTTAAATAATGCTCCATCCCTCTAACACATTTTCATCTGTTTCAGTAACGGCATCTGACGACAGTCAAAACTGAAAAAAATCTAAGACTATCATGGAAGACTGTTACAGGTTCTCGATAAAATTACTGGTTATGCACCAATAAAAACTGTAAAATGAAGAGGTTGCAGCACTGAGAGCCATCCCGCACAAATTTGCAGCAACGACCTCAGCTCAAAAGATCATATTCACAGCCTGAACACATCCAGCAAAGTCTTCTCTCTCAGTGTGGTCGACAACTGGGCTCCAGCAGGACTCTTTTCCCTCCCGGAGGGTTAACTGCTCCGTTCTGCAGGTCGCCCTGCTCGGAAATGGCGCGCTTGAAGCCCCTCACGTGACTGTTAATGGATCCCCGCTGCCATTTACAGATGTCGCCGTTCAGTATGTCTTGAATGTGCTGGACGATGAGGTTAATGGCAACTAGTAAGAGACAAGAGATTTGTCAAAATTCATGCTGGAGTAATTGGCAGGTATGCAGCTTTATTAAGGGATTGAAACGTACCCATATTGTCAACTCCCCTCGGAATGATGACGTCGGCATACTTCTTCGTCTGAAAGGAAAAATGTCTTTAGAAATAAAGTAAAGTAGCATTTAACAAAGGTTGTCACATTTTCTAAACTTCAATACCGCGTGTTTCAACATGATTAAAACTTTTATTATTCAGCTTCAAAACAAACTTTAGATCTTCAGTGAGGTTTTAATCAAAAGCTGCAGTGAGCCAATGAGAGAGAGAGTACTGTCTCATTTGCAAAACATGTTGGAGCAATAGAGACAGTGTGCAGGAATCTGCTTGCATTTATTGTTAATTAAAAATGAGAAATTACCCAATATTGGATGCTAAGGACAGATATGGATATTGTATTGTAGCTCATAATTCAGGTATACTGACAACCCTAGTACTCAATCCTATCTGCTAAAAGTTTGTTGACACTAGAAAAAAAAAAAGCCAAAAATCATTATTGTCATACTTACAGGCAAACAAAACTCCTCAAAAGCAGGCTTTACAAACGTTGTATACTGAGTGAGAATCTGCTCCAGGTCTCTACCTCTGTTCATATCTCGCAGAACTGAAAGGAAAATCAGGTCAAATGATCCTATAGAGTGGTAACTTTTGGAATATACTGTGTGTGGAAAAAGACATTAATACCTCTGCGAGACAGTCTGACGTCTGAATCCGTGTCCACAAACAGCTTCATGTGAAACATATCCCGCACCTGCTGCATGTAGAAGACCAGGATCCCCTCAAAGAGGACCACGTCAGCTGGGTAAACTGTGATCCTGTCCTCCAACCTAGAGAAAATATGCAAAGTTTTCAGTAAAAAAAAAAACGATTTTGAGAAAAGCTGAAAAAAAAAACAAAAAAAAAAACCCCACCAAGGTTCAGCATTCGTCTTCCTCCTACCTGGAATGGGTGACGAAATCATACGTTGGAACTTCAACCACCTGTCCCTCCACGATGTCCTTCAAGGTTTTGTACATTAACTCGTTGTCAAACGCCTCTGCAAAACAGACACAAACAACGCATTTACTAGTGATTTTAAAACTGTATTCCTCCACATCCTGAGAGCTAAATAGATGTATAATACAGTCTGCTTTTTTTTTTAAATTGCAGAAACGTTTTACTTGTTTTTGTCACTGCAAGTGAAAGTAAAAGGCAGAATTGCAGTTTCATTTCTGAAATATGTGAAACTTTCCTTTGCAAAGAGAAAAGGACCATGTGTGCATATGGACTGTACCTACCCGGGTGATCAAAGTTGTACTGGCCCTTCAGCGCTTTCATCTTTTGCTCTGGAGTCAGGACTCTGTAGAAGCTGTCCTGGCTTATAATAGCCACCTGCCTCTGGCGATGGTCCACCTTGTTCTGGCCCAGGAGCTCCATGATCTTGGCGCACACTGTTGACTGTAGGAAGGAAAAACAGTAAAACTATTGATTCACAAGACTAGAATGTGTTTGTTTTTTAGGGTTAACTAACGTGTGCAGAATGAAAGGCATTTTGTGTTAAGTTTGTTAAGTCAATTCAGGAATCCTGGACGTTGTGATTGAGTGTGAAATAAATAATGTCAGTGACCTTAACTAGTGCTGATCAGCTGACTGCTGCTGCTGCTCTTTGCATAGCTACAGAATTAATCAATACAGCTGCTAGTTGTTGGCGCACATAGTGAGCAATTGTAGTAAAATCAGCAGAGAATGCATTCAATAACAGGTTTACCAATAAATAAATGAGTGAGTAAGTGGGCGTGCCTGCTACTTTGACAGCTTGGTAAATGCTAGTTAGCAACATAAGCTAAGCTACGCCGGATACTTACAACGTTCTCGGGTGATTCTGTCTAAAAAAGAAAGAAAAGAAAAACGAACTGACCTTGCCGCTGGCCGTTCCTCCACTGACCCCTATGAGAAAAGGTCGACGTCGGGGCCTTTCTGCCTCTTCTTGGGCTCCGAGAGCATCCATCGCAGTGCCCGCAATTTTTGGAGAGACTGCGGAGTTCTTGAAAGCTAGGCTGTTAGCTTCGCTGTCTTTAGCAACAACATGCTGTTCTCGCGATAACTCAACTCAAATCGCATGAAGCGTTTTTAATAACAAAGAATACAATCAACACAATTAATTAGCCTAATTGTAATCATTAATAACTTAATAGTAACAATAATAAATATCAATAACATTCTTACAAGACTAATAAAATATATATATATATATATATATATATATATATATATATATATATATATATAATAAACACATTATTAGAGAAAATAGTGTAATTCCTTGTTTTGGTGTATGGGTGTGTTTAAATTTGTTTTTTTGTGTGTTTAGATTGGTGTTGTGTGTGTAAATATATTCAGGGCATCAAAATGATTACAAAAGAGTTAATTTAATGTCAAACTAAAACGTAACTTTCCATTATATACAGTATGAAGACAGCGTTATTGTTTCTCTTCGTCATTGTCTTTTTTATCTGTGTCTTCACCACGTTGAGAATTTTCTTTGATCGATTCATCCAGTACTATCTCCAAAGCAGCACTTCCTTCAACCCTCTTCACCGTCTCTCCTTTGGCAGCGAGGATTTCCTCAATGTTTCTGAAAAAGAAATTCAGCAATAAAGAACACGAGTCATTAAAATTAAAATATATTACACAATTATTGGTAAGTCAAAGATGTCTGTTTTTTTTAATGGATTATTTAAAGCTCTTGCTTCAATGTGTGAAATGTGTTTGCTCAAATCCCCAGAGTTATATGATGCATCTTAACATTATCAGAAACTTGCATCAATGCCTAAACAAGAATTTGGAAGTGTGCAAGCGCATACACGTCTTAAATCCTAGCTGCTGTTTTGAACAATAGATTTGTTTTTACAGTCAAGGATACTGACAGTGTTATCAATCTCCTTTAATAGTACAGGCAACACTTCTAGAGCTACACCATAGACTGTTATTGAGTCACACTAAGACCAACATATCACTATCTGCATTTACTTTATGTCTTTCAAAAAGAAAATTGTAAAACAGAAATTCCAGCATGTTTCAGGCTATATAGAGACAGCTGCCATAGCACAATTTGTCCACCAGAGTTCACTAAGAAGTCCATTTTCAAAAATGTCCCACATGGTACCAAAAATATATTGGTAACATGTAAGGAGGGGGTGCTTGTTATAAACGTTATTTTCTGTTCTGTGATTTGGTTGTTGTTGTGTTTATAAGCATCACTAACCTCTTGCCTTCCAGGTCAGAGAACCATTTGAGGTTGTCAGCGATGATGTGGTGATTTTCACATCCTGGACATGTCACTATGACGACACCTTTGTGGTAAGCTTGTTTGGATATTTTCTTCGAGGACCTCGTGGAGCAAACCTGAAAAAAAAAAAAAAATCCAGTTAGTCAGGATTTAAAGGGCGTTTAAGGGCGTACTCACACTCGCCTGGATCACCATCAACTCCAACGCCTGCAGATTATACAAAACAAAAGCACTGAAACTGGCCCATCGACAACCACTACATCCATTCCATATCTGGCATACAAACCAATACACAAAGACACCAAGCAATAGCCCTCAAGTATCTATCATCTGCCAGAAACAACCCTGCCCTCCGGAAAAACCATCATGGAAGCACAACAAACAGTCAACACCCCCCCCCTTGTCAAAGAAACCCAAGCAACTCGACCCTCCATAACCCAGTAGTTTCCTCCCAGCCGATGCTGCCTGAACATTTATCACACATCATGCATCACGCCTAACACTGGACCCAACATTAACATTTAAAAAAAACACATCAAACAATTAACAAAGACGGTCAATTTTAATATAAACAATTTTAGACAGGTAAGATCCTTCATGAATATAAATGCTGCTTGAATGTTTTTACACATATTGAATACTGTATAATCACTTTCTGCTGGCACAACACTTAAACCAACAGGCCATAAAAGGCCATAAAAATCTTTGATAATAAGCCATTTTCGTTTCACCACTGCACCGTTTTAGATAAACATAATTTACTAAATTTTCATAAATTTGGTTCATTTTAAAAATGCATGTTTTATATCTATCAAATTTTGCACGGACTTGCTCCTCCTCCTTTGAAGGACTTTATAAAGCTGAAGTCTGTCAGTGGGATCGGCACCCGGGGCCACAGCCCGAGGAGACTGTGAGGTCCCACACAGACGCACTACATGCGGACAATAGAATAGAATAGAATAGAATGTCTTTATTGTCATTATACAATTGTACAACGAAATTATTTGGCTTCACCTTTAAAGTGCACACACATACAAGCATCCACAGCTAAAAACAACAAAAGAAGAAAAAAAAAAAAGGAACTCTCATTCAGGTAGGATGGGAAATGTATGGTAGGAGTTATTTACAGGCGGTAGCATAACAGAATATAAATAGATATTGCAGAAATATAAAATAAATATTGCACGGTATGAAAGGTAAAATGTAAAACTGACAAACTGTTCTGTCAGTCATAATAACGAACTAAATGTTGGAATATTCTCCCACTCACAATAAGAGACACACAAACATGTGCAACCTTCAAAACACACCTCAAACAGTGGATAAAAAGAAAACCAAGTCTGTGACCACCTTTAACCTTTAAACTCTATTATTGTCTTGTGTCACTTGTGCCTTTGTATGTGTCTTTCTCTGTTACCTGCCTATAGGGACAACAGATTGGAAACTAGCACTTCTGCTATAATCTGGCATTTTTACAGCTGTAATTGTTACAACTGTTTATTAATATGCACTGTCCCTAACTAATACATGAATAAATAAATAAATGAAGATGCACACAGCCAGACAAATTGACAATTGATCATTTTGGTGCCTCGGTCTGCATGTGTCCTGTAAACCTCCTCAGCTGACATAACTGAACCCACCCACCCACCCTATGGATAGATAAAGCCCTGAACTATCCCACCAGGATCCTGATGGTTCCGTCTCTCAGTGTCACACCAGGCACTTCAGAACATCTACTGTCAGAGCAAAGCGGTTCCGGTACCTCGCATGTGTAAACGAGTTGATAATGGGTTGACTGAACTTTTCCAATGGCGTCCTTTCGCACACTTGATGACGCTGAGAATCCTCTCGCACTGCCACGACACGTTTCATATCGCTCAGCCGGTAACAGTGTGCGGACACTCCGCCGGTCCACAGACGGGAACAGTCCCGGTGGTCCGAGGGCGCCACGGTGAAACGCAGCACGTGGTCTGAGCCGTGTTAAAAGACGATGACGACACCGAAACAACCGACTGACGGGGAACATCTTCCTGGACGAGTCTCAACAGACGTTTGGTACAAAAAAAATCATAATAATTATGCAAACTCAACATGAACAGCAATGGACGTTTCGTCAGCGTGAGGTGTGTCGCGGTCTTGTGACGTCAGAGCGAACGTAATTTCACAGTAAGGCAAGTTTATTTACGTCGCACATTTCAACGACAAGGCAATTCAAAGTGTTTCACACTAATATTTACAGTCTGTGGTTTCACACAAGACATCAAAAGCGTCATGACAGAGGAAAGAAAATAAACATTAAAATAGAACATTAAAAAAATTAATTTAAAAAAAAATCACTGGAATTATTAAATCTGAACATTATAAAAATAATTTTATAAAATAATAAAAAAAATAATAATTTAAATGAAAAAATAAAATAATTTAAATGAAATTAATTGAAATAAATAAAGTAAAAATATTTTTTAAAAAGAGTTAAAAGTTACAGTGCAGAGTAAAAGTTTAAAATCTTATTAAAGCTGTTTAGTGAAAGGCAGCTGTGAACAGGTGTGTCTTCAACCTGGATTTAAAAGAGCTGAGAGTTTCAGCACACCTGCAGTTTTCTGGGAGTTTGTTCCAGATATAAGGAGCATAGAAACTGAACGCTGCTTCTCCATGTTTGGTTCTGACTCTGGGGACAGAGAGCAGACCTGTCCCAGACGACCTGAGCGGTCTGGATGGTTCGTAATTAATCAGGAGGTCACTAATGTATTTTGGCTCTAAACCATTAAACGCTTTATAAACCAGCTGCAGGATTTTAAAGTCTATTCTCTGACAGACTGGGAGCCAAGTGTAAAGACCTCAGAACTGGACTGATGTGATCCATTTTCTTGGTCTTGGTGAGGACTCTAGCAGCAGCGTTCTGGATCAGCTGCAGTTGTCTGACTGATGTTTTAGGCTTTTAAGTTTTTAAGTTTTTCCAGGTCCTGCTGGGACATAAGTCCTCTAATTCTTGATATGTTCTCCAGGTGATAGCAGGCTGACTTTGTAATTGTCTTAATGTGGCTTTTAAAATTGAGGTCTGAGTCCATCACTACGCCCAGATTTCTTGCCTGGTCTGTGCTTTTAAGTCTTACTGACTGAAGCTGATCGCTGACTCTTAGTCGTTCCTCCTCCTTTGCTCCAAAAACAACAACCTCAGTGTTGTCTTTGTTTAGCTGGAGAACATTAAACTTAAAAATAAACTGATCCATAATGTTTTTAAAAATCATCCTGTGATCTGTTTGCATACGTGCAGCGTTTTGCTAATGCAGTATTAATAAAATGGTTAGAAACATGTCAGTTGTGGAAAATTGGATGGGTACCATTTTAAAATACCTATGAGTATTTTCATTTTATGCAACTTCCATTCAATAATAGTTATATTTATTCCTCATTAATCTTACAGCAGTTTTTTTTTAAAATGCTAATATACTGTCACAAATACAATACTAAGCAATTTTATAGGTTTAACTAAAAAATGTTGGCCATTATAAAATATGGTCAGACTGGCCTGGACCTTCTAAAAATTTAAATCACTGCTTACGTGTACAAAATGATGAGCCAATTAATTAAAGTCAACATTAAAATACTTGAGGAAAAATAAATTGTATATCAGCCTCTTAGTGGCAGTGTAAGGGTAAACAAACAAAAAAGAAAAAGACATCTTAACAAGTTACAGGCAGTGCCTTTTTTACATATGATCAAATAAGCAGTATTCATCTGTTGTAGGCATTATTGTATTTGCATTGTATTATTGAAGGGCTAATGGAAGGGTTGATGTATTTGTTGATGTACTGAAATATTTGTATACTCATATAATACTATGAATATTGTATTTCAAAACCAACAGCAGATGACAAAAATACTTTGATGTCAGCTCTTAGATTTAGATCTATCCACAGGCTGGAGTTGAACTTGGACCGTCGCTTGGAAGACTACAGCTTCCATACATGGGGGGCGTGCGCACTAACCACCGTGCCACCAGCTCCCCAAATGCTAGTATTTATGACACTGCTGCTAGACTATCTGATTTGGTGCACATTTTGGTTTTCACATCAAGCATTCATAACTTTTTTTTTAAAGACCTTACTTGGAGGACACTTGTATTATTTAGTAAGAACATTCATCTCTGGAAGTTTACATTGTTTTAAATGCATCTTTTCATAAATAGGTAAATAATGTTGAAATGAAGATGGTCACATTTACAACAATACTTTCTGTCATGAAGATGAGACTGTTTTGTGCATTGTACACCATATTCTGGATATTATTATTCTGAAATGTTTTTAAAAGCTTTACAGATGTCAAGAGGCTGCTTTTGAGATGAGATTCAACTTTATTGTCATTACACATATACAAGTATAGAGTAACGAAATGAGGTTTGGCATCTCACCAGAAGTGCAAATAAGCAGAAAGTGCAAGAGTCTGTGCTATGTACAGTAATTACAAAATTTACAGATGTAGACTAAAAAAAGTGAATTATTAGGTATATATGGATGGCTGGATTAAGGTTTAGGTTGTGTCGGAAGTGATTACATCAAGGTTTATTGTAATGTATTGATAATTGTAGCAATAGCCTATTTGCCATTCCTCACGCGTAAACAGGCTGGTAAAGCAACTTTTTTTTAACATTTGAATATCTACCAGCAACTGGCAATTAAATATTAAAATTGACCAACCTGAAGGAAATAGAAGTCTATATGATTGTGTGTCTCTTTTTGAGTCCAGAATCTGGCCAGCAGATGTTGCTTGATTTCCAAACTCATTCTAACATTTTAAGAATTGCACACAACCAATCTGCAACAATTAGTAATAAAAAAAAGTACCAGCATAACAACACAAGCATGACCCACACATCACTGAGTAATGGGGAAAAGAAAGGAAGGAAGCAAAGAAAAACCCTGCAAACAAATGTGTCGTGTACAATGTTTGAACTTACAAATATAGAATCAGAATCATGTTTACACATACATTTGCACAGTATAGAATCAAAAAGCCTACATTGGCTCTATGAACACAAATCACTTGTGCAATATTACAAATAAAGTAACATAGCCTATTACAAATGAATATTCAATTGGAAATATATTGCGTTAGTTTACATTACTGTTAATTTTACGTTCTATTCACGTAACAGATGAGCAACCCTTTGATTTTTTTTTTTTTTACATTTTGGCTCTTTGTTGCGTTACCTCCGTGCTTTTATTGTGACAGCGGCTTTACTTCCGCCAGTATCGTGCAGCAGCAGCAGCCAGCAGCAGGCAGCAGCCAGCAGTCGACTTCGCGCGAGCCGTCGGCCCGTGCCTTCATGTGCGGTTTTCTCCTCCGTCACTGTCGTACGGGGGGGCTCCGGCCCGGTGTCCGACCTGCCACAGCCGCTGAGAAACGTTTGAGAAATGTGTCACCCGTGTGCGGAGGAGGCGAGAGACAGCAGCTTTAATAAAACAGGTGGGTCTTTTATTCATTTCTTAAATTTTTCCTAATGTGTGGTTGACTGCCTGACTGCCTGACTGGCTGACTGGCTGGGCTGAGTGTGATTTCCCTGCCGCAGTTTGCTCACTGGGCATCGGTATGAGACATCGTTTCTGACTGTTGACTGTTGTTGTGGAGAAGCCCTCCTCATGAAAGGTCGCTCAATGGGTTAGATTACATGTTGTTTCATCAGACTGCATTACTGTCAAGGCTCTAAAATCACCGAAGAATGATTAATTAAATACTCCCGGTCGTATATTTCTGTCCACTGCTGAAGGCCAGCATGTTATTCTAACACAAACAACATTGTCGATGTAACTCTGGGGTAGTACACAATGGGTTTGATTCTTTGGACAAATTCAGTCTCAAACCAAAATCCTTAAAAACCAAACCTCACAATTGTTATTTCAGCTACATGTCGAATTCTTAATCTCACCTCTGAGTATTTTCATTATGACACCTACAAAGGGGTGTAAATATAAAAACGAAATGTGCAGCCTAAGCTTGCTGTGATACAAATAGTACATATTACCTTTTATAGCATTATTGCTGTGCTTTCTGATAAGAGAGGAAATCTGTCTGTGCAGTATGCAGCTGTAGAGTCACAGCAGTCAAATGATTAAAATCAACATGTGTTTTCCCTCTGGATGCATCTGACCCTGGTGGTTAGATGCATTTTGTGATCATCATTGTGTGTGGAAATGACATCACCAGTGCTGTCATGAAAAGGAAAGTTGCTGTAGCTAAGTAAGAAAGAACCAGTTAGACCTGGTTAGAACTGCAAACACTCTCTCCATGGTTTTGGTGTCGCAAGTAGCCTATGATAACAATGCCAGTGTTGCCCAGACGGGGCTGAGAACAGACGCTGTGATATCTCTGGGGTTTTTTTTTTTCTCTCTCCAAGAATTGTTTTGTTTTTGAGGAACAGGATACATCTTGTGATCTGTGGTATACGTGGGTGTCTGGGATCCTATATCAGGTGCTTAGAATGAAGAATGTGTTGCTGAACACTTTTTACCTACAGTGGTGCACCTTTATATAATATATTTATATATACACCTGCAAAAAATAAAAAACAACACACTTAAATAATGTGCTTTAGCTAAACCACGCAACAGGCAAATATAAATGATTTTAATGTGACTATTCTATATTTTGGTCGCTGTGTAAATGATGTAAAACGTTAACAAATTCAACACGAACAAATGCCATAGAATCTTAATATCCAATCATAACTGAATATGATAAAATCTCTTTCCCTCTCTTAATTCTGCAGAAGATCTTAAGCGCGCCAGTGATTATTGTTTTCACGTGAAACTATTTAATTCTCAATTCTTGGATTTGACCCATTTCAGTGGCTGGTATTTTGTTAGGTCTGATTAAGGTCAAACTCTCTGCTAGCACTGGGACGTTGTTGCTGTTCCCATGTAATACACACATTTAATTTCTCCCCTAATTTCTCCCCTGTGCTCTAAAATAAGTTGGAGTTGCATTTATAAAACATCCATTGTGGTAGCGTAGTACATCGTAGAATACAGTGAGGTGACAGGTGAAACAGGTATTTAATGATGTAATTGCATCAGTGCTTAGTTGTATGATTTTTTTTTCCTGATTAACCTGTATGTGTGTCGACAAGACTTAAGATAAACATGAATCATGAGAGTCTGTGCCTTTATAGAGGTGGGAATTACATACATGGCTCATGATAACAATTATATCCTAATACATCTGTAATAATTGATGTATTGTATCCAATCATACATCACAATATGAGATGAAAAACACTTCAATCAGGTGTCAGTTTCACCTCTTATCATGCTTTTATTTGAACTTCTTTTCACTGCTGCCTGACATTATCCTGCTGTCTTCTCATTTCCCTCATACATGTCACAAGTGCCATTCTGAGGAGACATGAAGCGGTGATGAAGTGATACAAATTGGAAAGATTGCTGTTTAAAGCGCTGTATTTAATTTAAAAAAAACAAATATTGATGTTTGGCACCAGATATTTGTTAATTGTGTCACACGAGAAAGTGCGATGATATACAGTATATTGCTGCAGCACTATTTTGTTCCACCCCTAGTGCAGCAATACGCCGGGTCTCATATGTTCAATTCTGGACTAAAATGGTTTCTGAAAGTCACTTCCATCTCGATAGTCGAGGCGCTAGCACGGCTAAACTTCCTCATTTTTCTGTTTGACAGTAACTTCTCTTAAAAGACACAAGTGTCCTTGAGTGAAATAAAGGTTGGCTCTGTAATAAATTGGCACTCACAGCGTCCAGGTTCACCTGCAGCTTTTTCAGCCCACGTGTCAGTGTATCATGGGCAAAGACTGCCAGCACAAAAGCTGCTCTGTTCAGGGAACAAATCCAGGAAAATGTACCAGGGAAACTCTACAAACAGGAAGCCAAGAGCAGAGTCATCAGTACAGTCTTGATCTTTTCTTTTCTTTTTAATCCAGTTTCATATTCCTCTGGGACTATTTATTGTCATGAGAGTGATCAGATAGCTTCAGTTTCTCAAAGGGGAAATCCTTGGTGGAAATTGATGTACAAACGAGAAAAGCTGCTTGCGGACGATACTGTGAGATCTTGCATGTTTTTGCGACTGAAGACGTCTGTGAATGTGGTTATGTTACGCTTGTGTACTCGAACTTTATGCTGGAGTGAACCTCTTCAAAAGCTTAGACTTTGTTGTCACAGCTTACATGACCTTATATGTGCTGTGATGGGACAGGCTTTTTTATCTATGGTTGGAAAAAGGGAACACGCCTACTGCTGCAAGTTTATCTAACATCTGTGTTTGGACAGGAAACTGCGAAAATCAGCAGATTCCTTTTTTTATGTGTGAACCTAAGCATATTTAAAGTTCACTTTTGCTTTTGGATGTATGATTTTACAAAAATAAAAGGTTGTTTTTAATATCACTGGTATTGTTACATTCAGAGGTGTTTTTGCAGCGGTCAGGATCTCCGTGTGTGCTGTTATTTCTCTGTTCCAGCAAAGCAGCAACCTTACACAGGCCCACCGGGACTGTACTGCCATTCTGGTTTGAACCGGATAAAAGAAGGCTTTTTTTTGTGACCACTTGACCAAGTATCCTCTTTCATCCTTTCCTTTAAATAAGGAGTGCGTTGAACATATAGGGATACATTATGTTTTAGAATAAGAAGCAGATGTGCAGAGATCATGTTATGTGTGTATTATCTTAGATATACAAAAAAGGGTGGGGGTTGTCCACATCTAGCTGCTTAATCTGTAGATATCATTAACTTTGAAACAACTTGAAGAAAGAAAAAAAACTGCTCATGTTGCTGTTTTTCTGACTTTAATCACACATTAACTGTTTGAGGAAGTAGCACAGCTGTGGTCGGATGCACACACTCAAGCATAAAGTATAACATGGAGAGAGTATTTCAGTTATAGACGTGAGTTGGGGCGTGGTCAGCCGCCTGATCCCATTGGGTAACACTTCCAGTTTGCTGACAGAGTTTTTAAGTCAAAGTTCAAGTGGTTGCTACTGACTTGGTTTTTCATGCCCACTCATCTGATAGTTACCTCATTGTGCTTTAAGAAGTCAACTATCCGATTACGCTCATCTAGAAATTAGAAGGGAAACAAACATAATCCCTGTCTGTATTTTTTAGATCTTGAACTATGGTTTGACAAGATTAAACCAGGGGAACAATGGCCAGTGTGAACATGTGCTGTGTCAGGATCTGTGGTCCTTTTAGCTTCTCGCTTGCTCTGCAGTCTGTGACCTGCGGTGTGCTGTCTGCACATGCAAGACACCAATGATTTTCCTGATGCACAGCCAGGGGGGGGCGGGCCGCTGGTATCTGCGGTGATGTCTTCACTCGTGCCTCAAAGATTTTTACCTTACCTTCTCCTAAGTCCTTAGGAAATGCTGCCTTACGCTGTCACTCTAAAGATAAACAGACTGGAGATACACAAGGGCGATTGGTGCTGTCAAGTCCATAATCTAAACAGCTATTTCAACAGTGAATCGATAGTTAACAAAAACGTAAAAATGTTCTCAGGTATTATAATACTTCTTTATTGTTATGACTGTATATTAAAACTTCCTTTATGTGTTTGAATACTGGTCTGACTAAAAAAGGTATATTGAAGTTGTTACTTTCGGCATTGTGAACTCTCAACTGATTGCCTTTTTTCTGTCTTTTATAGATAAACCATCATGATTCCCATCACAGAGCTCCGGTACTTTGCTGACACCCAGCCAGCGTACCGTATCCTGAAGCCATGGTGGGACGTTTTCACGGACTACATCTCCATAGTCATGCTGATGATCGCGGTGTTCGGTGGTACGCTGCAGGTCACGCAGGACAAGATGATCTGCCTGCCTTGCAAGTGGGTAGTCAACAAGTCCTGCGAGAAAATGCCCATGCCAAATGTGAGCATCCCCTACGCACCAGAACCCAAAGGCATCCAGTATGACCTCGACCGCCACCAGTATAACTACGTCGATGCTGTCTGCTATGAGAACAAACTCCACTGGTTTGCCAAATATTTCCCATATCTGGTGCTACTCCACACTCTGATCTTTCTGGCCTGTAGTAACTTCTGGTTCAAGTTCCCCCGCACAAGCTCCAAACTGGAGCACTTTGTCTCCATCCTCCTTAAGTGCTTTGACTCCCCATGGACAACAAGGGCTTTGTCTGAGACCGTGGTGGAGGAGAGCGACCCCAAGCCTCTGGGGAAAATGAACGGTTCTTTAGACAAGAAGGCCTCGTGCGTGAGCGAAGACGTGGAGGCCAGCGTGCCAATGCTCCAACGAACAAAGTCAAGAATTGAACAGGGAATCGTAGATCGCTCTGAAACTGGAGTTCTTGATAAGAAAGAAGGGGAACAAGCCAAGGCTCTTTTTGAGAAGGTGAAGAAGTTCAGGATCCATGTAGAGGAGGGGGACATTGTGTACCGCCTCTACATACGTCAGACCATCATCAAAGTAATCAAGTTTATACTGATAATTAGCTACACAGCCTACTATGTGCACTACATCAGGTTCAGTGTGGTGTGCACGGTAAACATTCAGAAACTAACAGGATACAGCACATTTTATTGCGCTCACCCTTTGGCAACTCTTTTCAAGATATTAGCCTGCTTCTACATCAGCTTGGTGGTAGTTTACGGTCTGATCTGCATGTACACTCTCTGTTGGATGCTCAGCCGCTCCCTCAAACGATACTCCTTCGAATCAATCCGTGAGGAAAGCAGTTACAGTGACATCCCCGACTTGAAGAACGACTTTGCCTTCATGCTGCACATGATCGATCAGTATGACCCTCTTTACTCCAAGCGCTTTGCCGTGTTCCTGTCAGAGGTGAGCGAGAACAAGCTGAGGCAGCTGAACCTGAACAACGAGTGGACGCTGGACAAACTGAGGCAGCGCATCACCAAGAACTCGCAGGAGAAGCTGGAGCTGCATCTGTTCATGCTCAGCGGGATCCCGGACACAGTGTTTGATCTGGTTGAGCTGGAAGTGCTCAAGCTGGAGCTTATCCCCGATGTAACCATCCCGCCAATCATCGCCCAGCTCACCAACCTGAGGGAGATGTGGCTCTATCACACGCCCGCCAAAATTGAGGCTCCAGCTCTAGCTTTCCTGAGAGAGAACCTGAAGTCGCTACATATCAAGTTCACAGACATCAAAGAGATCCCACTGTGGATCTACAGCCTGAAGAACCTCACCGAGCTGCACCTTACTGGGAATCTGAGCGCTGAGAACAATCGCTTCATTGTCATCGAAGGTCTACGGGAGCTCAAAAGGCTCAAAGTTCTACGTCTGAAGAGCAACCTGACCAAGCTGCCACAGGTGGTGACAGACGTAGGCGTGCATCTCCAGAAGCTCTCCGTCAATAACGAGGGAACCAAACTGATGGTGCTCAACAGCCTGAAGAAAATGGTCAACCTGACAGAGCTTGAGCTGGTTCGCTGCGATCTCGAACGCATCCCACACTCCATCTTCAGTTTGCACAACCTGCAGGAGATCGACTTGAAAGACAACAATCTGAAGACAATAGAGGAGATCATCAGCTTCCAGCACCTGCACCGCCTCGTGTGTCTGAAGCTGTGGTACAACCAGATCGCCTACATCCCCATTCAGATCGGGACGCTCACAAACATGGAGAGGCTGTATCTGAACAGAAACAAGATCGAGAAGATCCCCAGTCAGCTTTTCTTCTGCCGCAAGCTGCGCTTCTTAGACCTGAGTCACAACAATCTCACCAGCATTCACGCTGACGTGGGCTTCCTCCAGAACCTGCAGTACTTCGCAGTCACGGCCAACAGGGTAAGACTCATCATTACATCCTTACATTTGTACAATGTACCAGGGAAACTTTACAGACAGGAAGACCAGAGTCCAGTTTCATAGTCCTCTGGTGCTGTTTATTGTCATGAGAGTGATCAGATAGCTTTAGTTTCTCCAAGGGGAAATCCTTGGTGGATATTTAGGGAGTGAGATGTACAGACGAGATAAGCTGCTCGCGGAAGATAATGTGAGACCAATCCGCAGTACTTTGCGATTAGGGCAAACAGGGTAAGACGCATTGCATCCTTACATTTGCAGAAGTGAAAGTTTAAAGTAAAGCTTGCTGGTTTTTGGTCTCCACCCCTTTAATCTCTCCGATTGATTACCTCAGGTTTTTCACTGCCTAGTCCTACAGATTTCAAAGTCAAGTCACATTTATAGTATGATTATGTTTATTTTTCAACATTTAGATGTGAACACTTCCTCCTAACTATTTGGAAATTGCAATCCATCCTCAACCCTTTAGAAAAACGAAAGAGGCTGATTAAGATTCCTACAGGCTTTCCAGAGAAGTAAACAATTACTTTTCAAGTAAATACTTGCAAACCAGCTTTACAAAACATGCCAAGATTACCTTGTATGCAGGGAGGGCTGTGCCACATTCTCCTTTTACGGCTACAGCTTGGCTAACCCATTTGGCTTTGGGTGAAGTAGTCAGTCACTTTGTTCCTTACAAAAGGCTGTTTATTTTATTTGCAATGAGAAATTTCAGTCCTTCATTAAAAAGTGAACAGCATAATGTGTTTTCACTTGTTGGTGCCATTACTGCCTCTTCTACTGCGTTATGTGTGGTTGCACACTGAAAATAGATTCCAGCAGGTTTGTTTGCAGCCAAAAATAGATGCATTAAATGGGACCCTTCTGGTGTTTTTGCCTTAATCCTCTTTACACTGTCAGCATGTTATCAATTGAAATGTGTTGCATAATTGAGAGAATTGGGCTCATCTGTTTAGACAAGATGTCATTTCTGCAAACATCATCAAAGAGGTTTTCGTTTTGTGAGCAAACATGATAGATGCCATTATTTTTCTGCATCTTTTTCTATTCTCCTGAATTTGTTGAGATTTTCCTAACTCTATACAGTAACTTTTGAGTGCCTTTTATCCTCGTTTTGACTTGCTCCCTGTGCCAAGGTCTGAGCTGCATTATGTTTTTTTAATTGGGTAACATTTGAAAATGAACTAGAGCTGAACCATTCTCCAGTCACGACAGTGGAAACAGCTGCTCATTTTCTTAATACCCTTTGCTTACATCTCAGATCCCTGCCTCATTTTAGCAAAGCATATGGATTAAAAATGGAGAACCTCAACCTTTGTAATCCATGTAATTTACACCGCTCTTTATTCTCCCTCTTCAGATTGAGACTTTGCCCCCGGAGCTGTTCAAGTGCAAGAAGCTGCGAACTCTGAATCTGGGAAACAACTGCCTGCAGACGCTGCCCTCACGCTTTGGGGAGCTCACCGGGTTGACACAGTTGGAGCTGAGAGGGAACCGGTTGGAGTGTCTCCCAGTGGAGCTCGGTGAGTGTCGGCTGCTGAAGAGGAGCGGCCTGGTGGTGGAGGAGGACCTTTTCAACACACTGCCGACAGAAGTCAAAGAGCAGCTCTGGAGGGCTGACAAGGAGCAAGCTTGAGCCTAAACCTCCTTTTCTCGTAAAAATACGAGAAGTTTTGACTGAAGGAACAAACAAGCAATCATTTAGTTTTTTAAAGAATGGCAGATCTCTCAGTATTTGCAGCAGAGTCGGACATGCAGGGTCAGAAAGGCGATGGCTTGTTGGTGCTTCCTTTGCAGGAACTATAGAAGCACCGATGTCAACCTTTAAGACCTCAAAGGATGTCACTAGTTTCTCATAAAGCTCAACAAAGACAGGTGGTTCAGCAATGTGGCTTTCCTGTTAAATCCTCCGATATTTAATGCTGCAAGGATGCCAGCAGCTGATGTAGAATTTGCATGTCACTGCAGGACCACGCTCAAGCAAACCTGTTTTCATTTGAGAGATACAAACAAACAAATATATAAACTTTGCATGGATCAGCCCCGCCACAGTGAGCCCAATGTGCTCACTATTTCTCATTTGCTGATCATGCACAAATTAAACCAGTCCAAAACAGTATTTGCCTAACCTTTCTCTGGCCTTGAGACTTCAGTCTTACTCCTGACATTTTTACTTTTGCAGCTGTCAGAGTACTGGGTGCAGATGAAGATGTAGGTAAATAAAAGAAAGTGAAACCAGCAGCCAATTTGTTGGGGCATGAAGGTTTGCTCCTGTTGTTTTCTCCAGACGTTGTGGTTGCTCAACATGCTTGGAGGCTTCTTTTTATGTGAGTGAAAACCTACTCTGAAAGATGAACAGATGAACCTGCAGCTGATCTCCCAGCTTTGGCCTTAACTCGGAGGGAGGGACTGATGCAACGGCATCACAGCAACGCTGTCAGATATTCAGCGGAGCACGAATGAGAACAAACTTCACAGTACAATGTCTAAATAACCCACGGTTGTTAATTTATAACGTCTGCCTATGTGGCAGGAGATTTCTTAACAGTGGGGGAGTAACACTTCATTCTTCTTGGACTTCTTATTTTGCTTCAATCTTTACCTTGTTTTTGTTTATTTTTTGCATGACTAAAAGCATCGCACATTATTTGCGTGTCTTATCAATGTTTATGAGATTGACAGAGATCAGGCCTTTTTTTAAAGGAGGTTAATAATTTATTTAGACGTCAAGTAACATGATTTTGTATTTTCTAATGCTACCACACACTAGTTTCATGTTGGGCCCGTTTTTTGGCCACTTTTTTGCCTTTATTAGATCGGAAAACTGAAGAAAGAGATTGAAGGGAGAGAGAAAGGATGACTTGCAGTAAAGGGCCGGGATGAGTTTGTGCATTAGTGAGGTTTGGCATTTTTAACATGCTATTTGGTGAATGGATAACATTGAGATAATACCAGATCAAGTAGAAGTTATTGACTGAAGGCCACACATAGAACACAAGACATTGAGTTTATTTTGGAACTAAGTCAAAATCTTAAGTGGAGTTTGTTTATTTGAAGGCTTTACTGACTATATCAATGAAAAAAAGGTGTCCCATGGCTGGTTGTCCCTGTACCGAAAAAACTACAGGTTCGAAAACATTCAGAAAACTCTCATTTTATTTCTTTGTTTTTATGAGATAAAATAAACATGCAAGCTTGCACAATTCTTATCACGCACCCTGTAGTTGATGCAGACCAATAAAACAAGGAATCGTAGTACTTGTATGCCCATTATGATCTTGAATTATGAGACTTGAGATAATGATTATCCTGCAGATATGAGACAGGAGAGGTTTAACTCGCTGCCAGGTACTGCCAATCTGCAAAGGAAAATGTGAGGATGTTTGTGACTTAACGTGCTGTTTGTATGCTTGGTCCCTCTATTTATCATGCTCAGTTTACTCCAAAATGTCCAATTATCCAAAATGAGGACAAACAGGAGTGTAGGAAACTGACGACTAACAAGGGAAACATTTGTGAGCTTGAAACACTTTTCTTGTTACGGCCTTGGATTTACTAGCATCATTTGGAGTAACCCTGCTATGTTCACTCCACCCCGGCATCTCGTTGCTAATATGGCCTTAATCTTTTACGAGCTCTACGCCCTGTTAATGATCACAAACATCACATTCATGTCTTGTTTTTCATGTGTTGTTGTTAAATGTATAGCTTGTTTTGTACATTTCAGGGGTATGGTGTGTGCTCTTATTGTTACCAGCTGTTTTACTTTGAGTTCAGCTTTTTTCAAGAGATTTAAGGGAAGTTTTTTTACTGTGATGAGACAATTGCACCTTTGTTCACAGTGAGGTTTTTTTTTTTTTCACTGAGGCCTTGGCTGAATCCAAATGCCCTTCTTGGGGTCATTAGTGAAGTGCTCCCTACGCAGTCCTGCTCTGAACGAAGAGCCTGAATGTGTTGACAAGCAACCAGTTTCAAGTTAAAAGACAAGGTCACAGACAAAAATGAATGAAACAAAAAAGGAGCAAAAGACAAAAGAGAACGGTCGTAATTCAAAGGAACTCTAAGCTTTTCCAGCACGTGAAACCATTTCAAACCTGAAGATTGTTTTAAGTTGCTTATCTGCCTTGTTGTACTTGTGCTCTGGTTAACTTTTTTTTAGGGCCGGATCTAAAGCACAAGCATGTTTTTTTGTTTTTTGTTGCTTAATTCTACACAAGGTGACCTGATAAATGCCAAACAATGAATGTCAAATAGGCAAATATCTGAAATACGAGCAAGTTAAAGCTCCTGTGAGGAAATGCTGGTGTGTGTTGATTTTGGCGCCCCCTGTGGACAAAGCAGTACGTCTTCTTTCTTTACTGCCTTTGTCCTGTTCATATGTAGGTTGGGTTTTCTGTAAAAAAAAAAAAAAAAACCTCATCTAGCTTTTCTTATTTCAACAGCGTGTTGTAAAAATGTCTGACACCTACCACCACGACAGCAGTATGGTTTAGAAATAATCAGTGTTCTTGCTGGTTGTATTGTTTGCTTTTGTAGGCCATGTTAATTGATCAGTATTCATTTCACTCACCAGCTAAAATCTCCTTACAGGAGCGTTAAACTGCAAAAATGATCCCGTATATCTTGCCCTGTAGCGTCCCATGGATAAAGGGACAGTTTGTGAGAAAATTTTAATGTCACTTCAATCTAACTTTGCTCTGTAGCATTGCTCTCTGTAGTGGTGCAGTGCAGCTGCTAGCACTGCTGACACCAAATATCTGCCTCCTGCAGTGCAGCACCATCAGAGTGTCACATTGGGATGTTTGAAAAACTGCCCGTCAGTTATTGTATCAAGTTTGTTTTGTTTTTAGCGTGGTGGTTGGAAAGTCACTGCTAAATGTACTAAGTATTTCTAACCCCAAATGCATTCTTAGAGTTGTTAAAACTGCTTTAAACATTTTTAAAGAATATTCACTTTTCGGCCTTTCTCCGTTTTATCTGCAGCATCATCAGTCTGACAACACACCTGAAGTCAGACAAAGCTTTCTGTCTAAAGTTTTCCTGCTAACTTTACATTTTTCATTCTACAAATAATTTTCACCTCAGTCATTTATTTTTCTGACCTCCGGAGCGGTGACATCGGCAGTCCAGTCCTCCACAGTCACTTCCCCCCTGAGTCACACGATGAGCACAGTCAAACCTGTGGCCCCACTCCCTTTTCCCGCATGTCAGGAGAAAGGGTTGGTGAGTCACTGGGGTGAAGGTCTGAGATGAGGTCAGCCAGTTGTTAGTGGAGCATGACGGCAGGAAGTTTTTGGTTACGAATAAAATCCCCCATGACTATGTGAAAATGACTGGTGTCAGAAGCACCCCATTTACATCCAAACACCTAAAATAATCTCAATGAATACACTATAAAGCTTTATATTCCAGTCTATTACGACGCACCAAATCTGTTTATTTGATTGTGTGTTTTTTTAAGTGCACATTTTTTAAAATCTGTTTTTTTATGTTATTTATGCCTTAAGTAGTGAGGTTAGTGTGAGAAAGCATGATTTATTTGAATTCCCAGTGATTTGTCTGATGTCTTTAAACACAGCTTTTGTCCCTCCACAAAACAGAATGTCAGAAACGACTCTCAACAACCTGAAATCATGTAAATGAAAGTGAGCTAACTCTCCTGTTTGGGCATTGTATGTAACAGTAACCCTTATCCTGTGTTTTTTTTCTTTTTTCTTTTGAAACAGTCATGTGAATTTCACTTGAACACAAACATTTTCTAAACTGCCATGATTGCAATGACATCTTATCCCTACTCATGTGTGATTTCTTCAAAAAACACGTTTGTGTATTCTGCATTCTGCTGCCTGTAGATCAGGGATATATGAAAACTGTTTCACATCCATTTCATCTCTAAGAATGAGCATTTTGATGCTGAACGTGTGTGTATTATAGCCATACAGAAAGCTACCCACTTCACCTCCCAACAGCAATCACTGTTGAATCTAAACTGTTAGCTGGATGGACAGACATGTTCCAATCCGCTCTGTCAGTATCACACGTGACACAAGGCCTTTATTGATGAATCGTTGCCAAGTGGACTGAACACTGGCTTTTTAAAGCAGGTCGTCTGTAACAACGGACAACTGAACTTTGATTTCCTAATGTCCAGACGCTACTTTTGTACCATTCTGACACATGATAATGAAATAAACACTTAACACTTCACTGTTGCAATTCCTCCTCTAATGGACAGTTCTGCTTTCAGAGGAAAGTCCTGATCACTGCTGAGCTCGGTGCTGAGAAAAGAAATGTAACTACCTACATGTTTTGTTATACTGTGTGTAAGGCCTAATGGTGCCAGTGTTTCAGTACTAAATGCTTGCTAAATTCAGTGGTATTCAAAAGTGGAGAAGAAGTCAAAACTATCAAAATATTGAAATTATGATGCAAAGTACCTCAAATTTGTATTCAAAAGTATGGTCACATGATGGCGCCGTTCCTCCTCTCACCTCTGTTTACAGTAGTTCAAGGTATACGTTTTCCAAAGCTTTGGGCGACATCTAGAGGCCAGGCTTGGCTACTACTACACGCCTCTGAGGCTCCTATGTTGCAACCATAGACTGTAAATATTACTGGACGAACCCTGACCCGTCTGTGACATAGGCAGAAAATGAGTCCAATCGACGGCCGCATCCATATTGGATTTGCAGTCTCAACCTAACTTCGGATCAACCTAGCGACAGCAGTAAGGCGGGACCGGCGGGACTTAGCTCCGCCCATTCAGCTCGACGTTAGCGGTCCACTTGACAGCATAGCTAACAGCTAGGCTGCTATCATCAACTATTCCTGCTCGTCCTGAGAAAACTCTACAAACAGTAAGTTAACATTTAACTTTTCTACAACACAGTTAAAACGAATTATATTCAACACAAATATTTAATTAAAGTCTTAAAACTACACTTTTTTAAATATACAATTATGTTTATGAGTTATTTGTTAGAGAAGTTAGACTTTGTCAGTGTTAGCAGAGAAATACATTAACAAAGTTTTATCCATAAACTGTAAATAAATGAGACATCCAGAAGAAATCAATATTACAAAGCATACAGTTCATGTTACTGTTCTGACAAAAAGAGGAATGTCTGTGTCTTATATTTACTGATGTCAACAGTGATGAGGTGAACATGACAACTGAAAAATAATTATTTAGTATTTATTATAAGATATTTGTTTTCTATTGAACCCTGTGAAGTCATGGAGTCTGTGGACAGTGTCAGCTTCACAACAAAAACTTTTAAGTATTATAAAAAATAGTATTTAAGACTGGCATCTATTATTATGAGTTGCAGCTACCTTGTTCAATGTTATTCCTGCAGATGTGGCTCATAACAAAAAAACAGCCTGAGCTGTCACATGTAGTTAACTGTACATTTTGTCTTGTCTGAGGCATTAATTGAACACCTTTGTATTTCTCTTATAGACACAGTGTGGATTATTGGTGACTGGTCCGTCGAGGTGCCCAGAGAGCTGCAGAGACAGAGGAAGAAACCTGAGCCTCAACAACATCTGCATTTGTTGGTTCTTCTGGGGTGGACTTCAGTTGCTTCTCTTCAACAGCTCGCTGTGAGGGAGGTCTCCCCCGGATGGCCTGAGTGATGTCACCCACAGGCTGAGAGCTGAGGCGGGTTTTAAGCCTTTTGACAAACCGTTACACCGCGCCCACCTGTCAAGCTGGTCAGCTACACGCCTTATTGTGAATAACTCTTATCCTTCATCAAAACATTCACCCCCCCCCGTACAGTGTGTGTCCATCGAGACATGAGCTAATCACACCTATTTGTTTGTTTTGTACCAAGCTGTAAACATGTTCATCTCTGCTGTAAAAACAGACTTTTTTTAATGTTGTTTTTCAGATTAAATAAATATTTCTATATAAATGCACTCCTTTATGTCTACTTATGAGTATACATTTCAGATTAATGCTCAACTCAATAGCTTAGGGAAGGAAGTCTACTTTTACACAACTTCTTATTCTTTTGATAAATACTAATGTAGTTCATTTCTGAAAGTGGGATGGAACAGAGTCATTGCAAAAATGTGCCCTTAAACACAGCCCCATTCTTAAATCAAGATACATGGAGAGTAAATAAGATCAATAACTTGTGAATAAAAACACAGTTAAAAATGATTTAGAAATGTAGTCTTCCCAGATCAATATCACATAATATCAACTTCTCCCATCTAAACTGGACAAAGGGTTTTAAAATGGGAAGAAAATAGTTTGATTGCAAGTTGTTTGGAGGAGATCTAGTTTTATTTGAACAGCATGAATACAGTCTTCCAAGGTGCAAACCCTCCTCTCCTCCTGAAGCTTGTGGAGCTCCTTCATGTACTGCTGTCTTATCTGCTGGCCATCTTCTCTCAGCAAACTTTGACTGTTGAAAAGTCATTCTGAAGAAGCTCGAGCATGTGACATGGATCCAGGAGAACATGGACTTTTAGTGCGAGGTCTTCAGGATGACAAAGAAAGAGAGAAAATATCAGTTATTCATTAAATCATTTTGTTTGTTCTCATCTATTTTTCTGTATTCATCTGTGTGTAAGAGCACATTTATAAATTCAACAGTGTACTACCCAGACAACAAAGGTACAGTATTCAGGTAATCAACATCTATTCAAAGTTAAGAAGATAAACATTATTGTAATCATGCTGTTTTCAGCTCTCTCTCTCACATAATGATATTCCACATCAAATTGTCTCAGATTTTGTGAGGAAAAATTAAGCAATTTATTGTGGATAGTACTTCATCTTAACATGAAACAAATATAATCTGAATTATTTAAATCATTAACAGATCCCAACTCTCTGTGCTTTAGTACAGAACATACAGTAACTCATTTATTATTAATATGAGCTCAGTACATGGCTGTATTCTTCAAACTATTTCTTATACTTTATATCTATGTGCTTTAAATCTTATTTTCATTCCATGTTATTTATATTTTATATTTCTACTGCTATATTCTGTGTATGAGTTCAGTGAAATTTAATATGGTTATTAATATAGTTCTTAATGGTTACAGATGCTCTTACAAAGTGAAGTTTTTTAAAGTTGTTAACAGTTTGCTCAAATCTTAAGACAGCACATTAGGTTCAGTTCAGTTTATGTTACTGACGGATAATTACTACACACAGTTTGTTTTTTAATGTCCACATTTACGTGGAGTATAACTTTCATCATAACGTCAGATAACCATATTTACAGTCTGTGGTTAACCACCGAGGTGAACCTTTAGCTTCTAACATCACACAAACTCATTATTTTCAACAACAACATCTTAACAACAAACATTTCTAAACCATTGTAAATAATGTAAATAATGTAAATAATGAGCTACACAGTTAGCCGACTGGTTTACAAGCTAACGCTAAACAAGCTAGGTCCGTAAATATAAACACATGAGTAAGCAGTAAATATAACACTACTATATCACTTACCGAAGAAAACTGAAGCATCAACTTGTTGTATGGTCTGTTAACCGCACAGCAAGCCATGTATGTTGTCAGATATGTGTTAAAAAACTCTCCAAACGAAGTAAGAAAGAGGAGAAATCAGACGGATCAAGCTGTTAGCCTCCTGACCTGCTGACCTGACAGACAGATGCAGCGCGCACAGCTGTCAATCAAATCTGACACAACCAAATATGGGCATAGTCGTTTTCCTTAATAGAATAAAATCCGATGAGTTATAAAAAAATTCACCCCCCCCACAGTGTGAGGAGAAGGGGCCGTCAACTTCTCAGATATATCTCGTTTTTTGAACCAGGCTGTAAACATGTTGATTCCTGTGGTAAAAACGGGCTTTTTTGGCTGTGGGCTTATGGCACTTCCGGCGCTTCTGCAGCCAGCCTCAAGCGGAACCTCGAGGAACTGCAGTTTTTTGTACTTCCGCATAGGCTTCATTTTTCGAGACCGGAGGTTGCCCCTTGGTTGCAACCAGTGTCCTGCTTATTATAAGGCTCTGGTTGCAACGAAAGAGTTAAAGTCCCAAATCCTCTTACAGCTTCCCTCTGTTTACACTGGAAATGATTTAGATGGGTCACATGGTCGGTAATCAGTGCCTGCTGGCTGTAAGGTACCCGGATGCTACACAACGTTTATGTGACCCATGAGCTGGACCGAAGTGAGAAAACAACTATGGATTTCATGACGGATCGGGATGTGCAAAAGGTGAACATAAGCCTACTTTATATTTAAATAAAGCATTTATTCCGCTGTGCAGCATGCATCCACTATCTCCTAAATGTTAATTTGTACATTTAAGAGATATTTGATGCGCGCTTGCATCTAGAGTCTCTTAAAGGTTACTTTGAGATGAAATTCAAATAAAGGTGTAACTTCATAATGTGTTCAGAGATCTTTTACGTGTACCGATAGATCAATTGTTCTGCAACACTTAATTGTTAATCCTTGTGTAGTTTGTAGTATTTGAGGGTCATTACATAACATACTGCAGCAGCTTACAAGCGGTCCAATGAAGGCAGTCAGATCAAATCAGAACTGCCTCCACTGTGAGTACATTTGTAATTTATTTACACATTGAAGAGATCCTTTCTTTATCTCTGTGTTCCTCCTGTCTGATCGATTGTAAACAGGAAACAGTGTTGAGAGTAAAATACTTTAGAAAGTTCATAAGTCTCTGTTATGTTTAACATTTTTACTTAAAGATTGCTTTTGTATATGAAATAAATAACAATAATTTCTTGAACAATTCAGATCAACAGTAAATATAGAGACGCCTATAACATCCTTTTTTTCTAGCTTGTGAGGATTTGCTGCATTTCTTGTGAAATTCTAGTGAAATGATGATCTCTGGGTCTATGAAGGTTGCGTAAGATAAAGTGACATTTGTTAGCTTCACTTAAGGTTTTCTGACATTTTCAGACCTTGCTGAGAAAATGTTTAGCAAATCATTTTGCTTAAAATACAATTAGTAAATAGCTTGTCTGCTCAGACTGCAGAACAATAATAAAATGAGTGTTATTGCTCTTAATATTTGACAAAACAAAGATCTCTCAATTACAGGACTTGTTTAAAATAGTTTAAATTATAAGAAGGTAGCCTGTTCTACTTAACAAGGTTAAAAGATTAGATTTTTCCCACACTTAAAACTCCATTTATGGACGGAAGAGTTCCACTTTGGTGTGTAAAAAGCTGCACATTTGCCCCTGGATTTGACTTTGAGGATGAAAACTGACCCATCAGCTTCCTCCTCCCTCCTGACAGTACTTGGAGGATGGATATGTGGTTCTGGACGACCTGCTGACCTCACAGGAGTGTGACGAGCTGAGGCAGAGGATGGCAGAGATAGTGGACCGATGGACGTCCCAGAGCACTGCCGCATCACCTTCTCGACCTATCACGACGAGCAGTTAAAAACACAGGTGACACATTGAATACCACCGTGATGAAGCGCTTAACTCATGTCTGTGACTCACGGGCTGATCATGATACACTTCTTTCTCATGCTTCCCTTCATATTGTGATTAAAGATGCAGGTAAGTTCATCTTTATAACGCAGAGAGTCACTGTGTGTTTCCCCTTTATCCAGTCTGTTTTACCTCAACCCTAAAATGTTCTCGTTTCAAGCTAATGGAAAACTAATGTCAACAGTCTGCTCAGCGCCAGATGTTTGTGTTTCTCTCTGCTCGATCATGTGACTGATTACAACACTTTGACCTGCAGGGAAATGCTGACTATTTCATCACAAGCGGAGATAAGGTCTGCTTTTTCTTCGAGAAGGGAGTTTTTGATGACAAAGTGATTCCTATTGTTTGACTCTTTTAACCTGTATCTAATTGTGTTTTTCATTTATTTTAGATGTGTTGCTTTCAGCTTCATCTTTCTTAATCCCTCTGTCTTTGCTCTGTGACATCACTGTCTGACATCTTTTGTCCCATTGCGTTGATTTAATGTTGACTAAACCTTCATATTTTCTTGCTTTGTCTGGCATCTGTTGTTTTGTGTGTCTGTTATAACAATAATAATAATAATAATAACTTTATTTATATAGCACCTTTTGAAAACACAGGTTTACAAAGTGCTTTGACAAACAGCAAAAACAAGAACAAACCAAACCAAACACAGAAGAACATAAACAACAGCAAGAACATAACAAATGCAAAATACTAAAAATAATTAAAACAATTCAACAGAAAAGAACCCAAAGTGCACGATACACAACCAGACATATATAACCCGACCATCACAAAAACCATCATAAGAACCCAGGAACACAAGAACCCAACAACACGAGCTGAGACCAAGAGGACCAAAGATTTAAAAAGATGTAAGAAACTAAAAGAGATAAAAGCAAATAAAAAGATAACAGCAATAAGAAGGTAAGAGCAGTAAAAGAAATAAAAACAAGTGGTTAAAGGATCAAAAAAACCCAAAACTATAATATTCATAAAAATAAAAGTAAATATAAATATGAAACATAAATAGATAAATAGTTATTGTGTTGCCACCTGAGTACCCGGCGTTGTTTGTTACATCACTTGTAAACTGTCTTTTTAATTAAAGTTTTTTTTTTTTTTTTATAAGTCTTTGTCTAAAAAATATTTCTTGCCTTTCAGGGGAATTCATCGTACCAAAAGAGCGGTCACTAAACAAAGTCGGACACGGTAAGATATTTGATAATGTGCTCCTCACGTCACGCAGAAAGCTTTTCAAAAGGCAAGAATTCAAATAATAATATTTCATATATTTTTTTAGCACTTCATGCATATGAACCGTTGTACGAAAAGGTTACACATTCACCCAAAGTTCAGGTGAGTGATCTGTTGAGCAATGTCATGAAACGATGAAGTGAGTGAAAGAATAACTTTCTTTACTTGTGGTTTCTTTTAGGGTATAGCCAAGAAGCTGGGTGTTGTAAGTCCTGTGATACTGCAAAGCATGTTTATTTTTAAGGTAAAGCTTTTATGTTCAATCAATAAACTGTGTTGTACTGAAAGATAATGATGAATCATGGGTTAGTCAGTCAAGATTTTTATTTTTTATTTCTTCCAGCAACCAGGGATTGGAGGGGAAGGTAAGAAAAACTGATAGAAACTGATGAAATATACAGAAATCTGAATAAAGCACTTGGAAAATAAATATGCTTTCCATTTCCTCATCTGTCCTCACAGAAGATTTTATGTGTTTTTTTTTTTTTTAGTGACACCACATCAAGACGCCACGTTTCTATACACGGAGCCTCTGGGCAGAGTCATGGGGCTGTGGATCGCGCTGGAAGATGCCACTGTTAACAACGGCTGCCTGTGTTTTATCCCCGGATCACACAACAGTAAGAAAGCTATTTGACTCAGATTGAAGGATTGTTTTTAAATTACTGATTACACTCTGTAACAAACACTATGCTATTTCTCAGTCTGAGTTGATGTCAAATCTTTTTACATTTCTGACTATACTGCACACTTTTCTCTAGGTGGTATTTCTCGACGTATGGTGCGCACCCCAAAAGGCACCTTTCCCCTGACAGACTTCACCGGTCGAGAGCAGGCCTACGATGAGACAAAGTTTATCAGTGCACCAGTGAAAAAAGGTAATTCACCGTGTTGGCTGTCGGCAGGTTTAAGCACATGTATGCATTAGGCTGTATTGTGGATATACATTATGCTGCAGTGGGAGAAAAACATTGTGGTGTCGTGTCATTTAAAGGTACAGATATTAGTGGTACGCTCCCTCATTGTTTAGTCAACAAAATGGGACACCAAGAGATGAAGACATTAAAAAAAATACAAGAAAAAAATATGTATTATGAAGTTTACCCATAAGTTATGGTATGTACAAATATGTTTTCTAAGTTAGAGGTACTGGTTAGTGGAATAGGTTATTTGGACAGACCAAGTTTACCCCTGTTTCCAGTGTTTATGCTAAGCTACGCTGAATGACTTCTAGCTGTGGCTTCATGTTTACTGTACACACATCATAATGGAGTTTTTATTTCAATTAAAGACAAAATATATATTTATATAAAAAAAAAGGCTATTCCTCAGATGAATCAGAAGATCATTTTAAACATAAGGTAATTCTAGTTTTCCAATTAATATTAATTGAATACTTTCAGGTGTTTTGAACTAAAGAAGTACGTTTCAAATGCTTTCTTTTCTTAGAAATCTTGAAAGACATTTTGAACTTTTAGTTGACTTATTATGTCTAAATTCTGTGCATGAACACATAGCGAGTTTCACAACTGTGTTCAGGTGGTGTAGTCCTGATCCACGGGGAAGTGGTGCATTGCAGCGCCCAAAACACCTCTGAGGATTCCCGCCATGTCTACACCTTCCACATCATGGAGTCCCAGGACACTCGCTGGAGCCCGGACAACTGGTGAGAGGGTTTTTTTTTTTTTTTTATGCATTTGGTGATTTGTGAGACATGATGGTGAAACCATTTTTTTGAAATCTTGATCAAGGATGTTAAGTTACAGAACAGTTAAACACACTGTTCACTAATTTAACACACTCAATGGATTTCTTCTATCTGTACTTGGTCTGGTATGATCATTAGCTTATGGTGGCTAATGTAAGCTTATGCTAGTTTTCACGTTAATTAAAGTGTCTTTAAATTTCCACCGACTTAAAATTGTATTTTTGTGCTGTAACTGTCATGTCTAGTCAAATTGTTCTATATTCAGAAAAGTTACCAAAACTAAGGGATTTTAACAACCACAGTAGGCTAGCTTATGATGTAATTTTTGGTCATTACTGACTATCGTGGGATGATGCTAAACATGCTCTGACAGTAGAATGAAGTAGTCAAATTAGAGGAATCAACAAGCTTACTAAATAATGTCTTTTAAAGAGCAAAACATGACTTGAGTTAGCTAACATTTCAAGTAACATAGGCTTGCATTAGCTACGAGTCAAAGTGCGAAGCAAAGTACAGCTTGCAGCCTTTTGTTTGAATGATCAAGCATCTTTTATTGCTTGTAAATTACATTTTATGACATATTTTTGATGTTATTTAACCTCACTCAAGACTGAAGTTTTAACCTATTTTGTATGTTTCTATCTCTTTGTTCTTCAAAGGTTGCAACCCACTGAAGAGCTTCCTTTCCCGCCGCTCTACAGTAAATGAAGGATGTTTTTAGTATTTGGTGGAGCAGTTCAATGGAGGACACAAGCTTTAATCTTTCCTGAAGGACCAACTACAAAGAAACTGTTACCGGTAGTTTTTTTAAATAAATGCTGCCATTTCTCTTACCTTGTATTGTAAGATGTAAGACACCATCTTTTTCTCTAAACTACATGAGGAAAGGTACAAAGTTGAAACTATATAAATGTATCAATATTTTTTAGACAAATTTTTTTAAAAGACTGGATAATAATAATTAAATAATAAAAACATGATTTGTTTTTCAAATTTTTGTCAATATTCCACCTTTATTCAGCAACTCTTTATTTACAATCAGCATAATTCTTGTTCTTTTTTTCCATTTGTGTCAAAGCAACACATACAACATAAAATATTACATTTTCAAGTATGTTCATTTTAAGACGCAACTTAAATAAAAAAAAAAAAAAATGTGCCTTTCAACAATCATGAATCACAACATTATAGCTCGAAATGAAAATAAAAGTAAGGTTAATAAAAATGTTAAAGTGTAATCCATCAGTCACAAAGGTCTTCAACTCATTTATATATTAAATTAGCGTCTCATCTCCAATGCACTTGACATGCAGTATTACATTTTCAAAATGTTATGATGATGGCAAAAATAAACTACTAGTAGGATCATGCTAATAAAATGTTACACCAAAAAAGTTTTAAAGATGAACAGACATCACATGTTTGGAAAGTCCTGCTGGAAAAAAAAGGTTTAAGGCAGGAAACTGTTCCATCCACAACAAAGAATGATGAGATGATTCCTGATGAAATGTGGATGGATAAAATAATAAAGGGCCTTTGTTTAATATTCAGACTCACCGCTTATTTACAGACTAACAAACTGCAGTTTGAAGGCTCAGTATAACAAGGAAATGTACTTCATATATTACCATTATTTTAAGGGGTCCCAACAAACATCAAAAGTATTAACAAAAGTGTGTCAACCAAAAATAATATACTGTAGAATACCTGTATTTAAGTTCCAGTTTTTCATACTGGTGTCATGCATGGACAGAGTGACGTTCTGCACATTGAAATATAAATCAGCCCTTTTAAGAAGAGTTGAGATGGGTTGCCATGCTTTCATCTACAGCATTTACAACAGTAGATCATGTGTGTAGAAAATACTTCTTAACACCTTAAGGCAAATATTTTCAGCAGTAAAGTTCTTCATATTGCCGTCAGGGAGGCAAATCAACCGAATAACAAAAGAAGAGGATGTATCAGGAAGATAACTTGAAATCATGTTCTTCAAAGGCAATACAAAGGCATGTATCCATATGGGACAAGATAGGAATACTTTCTCATTGATTAGATGTGATAGCAGGGTCTGTGAGTGCTTAAAGGTCATTTTTTTCTACTTTGTTAAACTATCTCCTGTTGCATAATTTAAGAGGACTTGGTGTCAGCGATTGAGTACCTCCCTCAGGACAGTGACACGCAAAAGAAACTGTACACCACTGTCTATACAGACAGGAACTTTAACTCGCATATCTTTGTAACTTACTCTTAATAGATAGTTTCATTCCTTAAGCAGCTGCAATTATTAGTAATCTAAAGGTAACAGACACAAACGTCATGCCACATTTGTTTGACGTGGGTTAGGGTTATTATCCTGATTAAGTAAGCTGTCAGACTTTGAATGCTCCTTTCTTGTGCTAACAGAAAATATACCAATGTTTCCTTAAGAGACGTTTATTACATCAACTATCATATGTGTTCGTATATGTTGCTTTTTTTTCTGAAGTCATCGTTCCTTTTATCCCCCCCCCCATTAAAAGAGCAGAGGACAGCAGAGTGGATCTGTTTTTTTTGTTTTTTTTTGTGCGCGCCATCTTTCTGCTCAAAGCAACAGCAGGATGAAGAGGTAGAGTGGGAGAAGGAGGTTGTCTATTTGGGAGGTATAGGCCTCCAGCATTGCCACCAGAGTGACAGAACCAACAATCCACGAGTAGCTAGAGTTCAGATTGATGCTCCCATCAAAGATGAGGAACATAGCCACCGCTATGATCTGGGCAAACACTGATGTCGCAGTCCCCTCCATGGTTTTCTTTGTGCCAGGCCAACGGATCTCCCCCATGGTGCTGCCAAATATGGATGCCACAGTGTCACCCACCCCGACGGCCAGCACTCCTGCATAAGGCACCAGACCGCCTGCACCAGGAAGTACCCCCTTTGGGGCGCAGGGTCCAGGGAACAACCATATAGGTAGAGACATACCCAGCAGCAGGTAGACGTGGGTCAGAATCAGAGGCCCAGAGTCTCGTTCATCAAGGAATAGAGTGAGCACCTGCCTCAGGAGCTGGCCGAGTGGTCTGATCCGAAAGTAACGCACGTACTCCAGGAACAGGAAAGCTGCCAAGCAGCCCACAGACGCCACATGGAGAAGCTGCCTGTCGTATATCAGCCCTGGAACATACGTAGCCACTACAATCAGATGGAAGTACTTCCTGACAACCGTGGAGGCCTGATGCTTTTTGGACCCTGACTGTCGCTGGTGGTTCTGGTGTAACACCACACAAGTTGCTACGACAGCTAGAAACACCCAGTACCCAGCAGACAGAGTCTTCTGTCATTTAACGTGGCAAAGTCCAGCAGCCACATAATGGGGTGCCGCCCGATGAACAAGGAGAGCCATGGCATGAGGATCCCCAGGCCCAAAACGGCCGTCATCATGTGGAAGAACAGCGATGACACCCAGGTCTCGGATTCCATGAAGCAGAAGAGCAGGGCGAAGAAAACGCCCAGCAGCAGGGAGCCTACCACTATGACCGGCAGGAAATAGTTAACAGGGTCACCTTTGACCTCGGCCAGGTTCAGGGAGCGTTTAATGAGCTGGTTGACAATGAAACTGATTCCACCTACGATGAGGAGCGCCTCTCCAGGCGTGAAGCAGCGTGGCAGCAGGTAAAGTACAATGAGGCTGAGATACACGAAGATCAACAGCACCTCCAGGACCTCGATGACCTCGGACACTGTCAGCGTCTGTTTGGTTGTGTAGAGAATCGCGCTGCCAGCCATGCCTGCAATGATGCAAGTGTTTGTGGGTACGGGTCTTGTGATGCCAAGCACAATCAGGGATAGAAACAGAGCCAGCATCATGCCTGTGATGGTGACCACCATGGAGAAGCGCTCAAAGTAGACATTCCCTGAGGCAGAGCACTTTTCTTTCAGTACCAGGCCCAGTAAAGGCATCACCATGGAGGCGGGGACGATGCCGCTGCTCGCTGAGGGACGGAACTGGAAAACGGCGCCGCCCGACCTGAGCAGGCGGTCCCACTTGTGCTGGACGTAGAACGCCTGGATGAAGAGGGCTATGCAGGACCAGGAGTGCTGGTTCCAGACCGCCATGTGAACACACATCACCACAGCCAGAACCACACTTGACTCCACGTACACTGGATTGATCTGCATGGCTGCAGGGTGGAGCGAGGCAGGCAGGGAGGAGGGTTGAGCTGAACAGATGGTCTGCAACAACGAAGGCCTTCTTCTGTCAGTTCCTCTCTCTGGCACACTTCATCATTTGGCAGGCATATTTCACTCTCTGAGGAAGTCTGTAGAAATGGTTGAAAAAAAAAAAAAGGTGAGGTCTCCTTTATTAATTATTGGAAAAACCAACAGAATTATAATAATCATATACATTAGGAATTGCCGTGGATACAAGTTGTAAGTCCATTACTTATCTGATTATCTTAGCCTGAACCTTGGACTTACTTCATCTGCTTGCTATGAACTATGACTGCACTGAACATTCACCCAGTCAGTGTGAAATCCACTCAGCTATCTGCGACTATGAAGAAGATTGCAGGAAAAAATGTTTGCTCTTTCAACATCAGCTATAACCTTTTGTTCTGTGGGGGTTGGATGCTCGGATCGGATTTAGACGGGGCTGAAATAGTGGTGTATTTTGAGTTTACACCTGGCCACAGCATCTGACTGAAAACAATCTTCTAGTCATTTGTTACCTCGGTGCTAATAGAGCTCACAAGGGCCAGCTTGACCCTCACTAAAGTGAGAAACCGCGTCTATCTGCGAGACCAAGGATGCTGCAACCTCGGCTGAAGGCAAAAAAAATACAGCTGACTCCACCGAGATAGCACAACGACAGAGCACCAAACCTGCAGGCGGAATAGATGTAAACATTCATATTGACGGAGACGAGTGAACGTACCACATCAGTGCAGTGTTATCTGGACGAGGCTGCGTTTCTGATTTGAATCGGTGCCGTCTTCTTTCATGGATTTCTCTTCTTTGTCAGCTGTCTCTGCTCTCACACCCAGTAGGAGGGGGCCATGTTTGACAGCCGGGTCACGTGGTAAAGCTGTAAAAAAAAAAAAAAAAATCTCTTAAAGGCGTGGTTTTCGTTGTTTTTAACTCATTTTTATTATATATATTATATGGAAGCCCATTTCCGCCAGTAAAAAAAATAAAAATGAAAATAATTAAGTCTCATAATTTCAACTATTTATCTCATAATTTCGACTTTATATCTCAGAATTTCTCAGACTTTATTATTTTCATTTTCATTTTTTTAACTGGCGGAAATGGGCTTCCATAATATTATTATTATTATTATTTTTTTTTTTTTTTTGTGGAGCAAAAAGGCATAAACAGCGAGATTTTTATTTATTTATTTATTTGTCAATTTTATTTCATTCAAAAACAAAAAACCCCAACAAACAAACATAAAATCTCAAATTTTGAATGAAAAGGAGCAGAAAGAAGATTATTCTTATAATATCTGCCCCTCTTTTACAAATCATTAATTAAAACAAAACAGAACACTTAATTCAAAAACAATAAATGTTTTATTCCAGCATCACGAAGAAAAAAAAACAGTATCTCACTGACATATTTCCACATATTTATTCAACAAACTGTCTTTAATTTTTCTTTTGAATATCATAATAATAATTTTTAATACAGGGAAATCTTTATTTGCATTTAGCTATAAATGCTAGTAAATATGTACCGATATTTACACATGAATCAAATATGCCATACCACCCCATAATGGTATTAAAATATAAATAAAAAAAATTACTACAACTATATATTATGCAGAGAGTAATGCTTTTATCTTCAGCTTTGCTTGAGGAACAATTAAAGGATTGAATAGGAGACAGTTGGAGATACTTTCTCTCTCCTGAAGGTGGCAGTCTTCCTTTGGGGGGGAAAGAGTCGGCGTCGACAACGAAGAAGAACGTGTCTATGACGTTAATGACGACGAAGCGACAACAACCAATCAAGTGGCAGAAACGAAGATGGCGGAATCGGAGTTGAGTGTCAGGTAGGCATTTAGCAACGAACTTTGTCTAACGTGTACTTTACTTTGATACGTGTGCAACTATAAACACGAGTGTAAGCGCTTCAACTGAACATTTAAACAGTCTTATAAAAAGTAACATGTACGTGTGACAGCGTGTCTGTGGAGCGGCTAGCACCACGCTAACTTAGCTTAGCAGTAGCTAGCAGTGAAACATTTGAATGGCTTCTCATCAGCCGCATGTCAACAACAGCATGTTCACTCATACACTGTGACTTTGTGGGGTTTTTTTTGCAAGACGAGTGCTTGCTACTCCTATTTCTAGCTGAATAGCCTCGAAATAAGAATAGATAATTGTGACAAAGGCTAATAAGCTAATGGAAAGTGTGAGGACGGGAAGGACAATGACTAATAAATACTGAGTGAATCCCCTTTTAGATCATTAATCAAAGTCAAAGTCAACTTTATTTTCAATTTCAAAATATGCCAGACATACAGTGGACTCGAAATTGAGTTTGTCCCGTCCCGCGGTGCAATACAACCAAAATAAGGTAAAATAAATAAAATAAAATGAGGTAATAATAAGATAAATAATATTTACAGTAATAATTCTAAATTGTGCAAAAGGTACAAAATGGTAAATAAAATAAAATGTAAAGAAAAAGTAAATTTGTGCAATGTGCAGTAAACTGAGTGTACTTTTGAATAGTTAGCTTCAGAGTTAGATCATTAAAACTGACTGAATCCCCTTTTAGATCATTAAAAGTCGGTCGAAATAAACTGACAACTCTCAAGGGAATTTAGAAGATTTAAGAGAAACCCTGGAGATGTTTATTTAACTTCTGGTTCTTTCACATCTTTGATAGTTAAATATAAATATAAACTTTATTGATTCCCCGTGGGGGAAATGTTTGTATTACCGCAGCTCAAGAAAACAGGACAAGGGATAAAATTATCAAAAAAAAAAAAAAACTTATGTACATCAGTTAAATAAAGGGAGAAAAAATACAATAATACCAGGTATGTGCATTCAATGTAAAGCAAGTAAAAGACAGATTAAATAACTAAATAACATACAGTACATAAAGGAAAGTACAAATGAAAGACAGTAATATACAGAATGTAAAATAAACCAATAAAGACGCATTTAAATAGTGAAATCATTATTTAAATAGAGGTGGGAAAGGTTTTTTATAATAATGTATACATTTGTTATATTTTCTGTTGTTAATTTAAAGCAGTGATTTCAGTCGGGACTTTAACTCTAGATTAAAAATTGATTAAATTAATCCACGCTCGTTTGTTTTGATTTGGAGGCGGACGTGAAGTGATGATTTACGTTTAATTTCGCACAGCATTGTGGGTAAAACACAATTCATTTCCTGAAAGCACGCATCCGATCCATACTGCATGAAACCCGGAAGTTAGTATCCATACTGAAATGTTCAGTATACTGAGGTGGACCCAAAAAATGCACTCTGAATGACCACGAGAGTTCAGTATACTGAAACTCCATACTGAATAGTACATACTGCATACTGAACTGTGGCTATTCAGAAAGGGCCCTGCTGTAGCGCTCTGTCTTGCAGGGTGGGTGTCTCAGTCTGCTGCTGAAGGAGCTGCTCAGGACCCCCACAGTGTCATGCAGCGGGTGAGAGGGGTTGTCCATGATGGATGTCAGCTTCACTCACGTCCTCCTCTCACCCACCTTCTCTACAGAGTCCAGAGGACAGTCCAAGACAGAACTGTCCCTCCTGACCAGTCTGTTCAGTCTCTTTCTGTCTCTCTCTGTGCGCCCTCCTCCCCAGCAGACCACTGCATAGAAAAGTGCCGACGCCACCACAGTGTCATAAAATGTCATAAAATAGTTGATGCATACGTGTCAGCCATGTCTTTTATATAAATGTAAGTAATGTGTTCGTGTACTCTTTATTCTCATAGGAGTTGTCGGGAATTGTGGACCATACTTCTGGGAAGATCTGCACTGCGGGAGCCGGTATGTTTACTTTTCAAATATACTGATGTGCTACATATGTAAACGTTATTTAACCTTAGTATTAAGACAGGTGACACGTTGATTCTCACACAAATTAGTGATTTTTACCCCTTTTCTTATTCTAAAATGTTTTATATATGTGTACATAGGCTCAGATAGAAGCAGAGCTTGACAGGCACTGGAACAGACTAGTGCAAGGACTTACCTACTACAAGCCACCCAGGTAAGATACAGTTAGTTTATTCCTGATATTAGATTTAGTATAATTATGATTATAATAATTGTAAACATTACATTTTGTAGCTCATCCTCTGCTGGGAAAGTGAAGGAAAACAAAGATGTTGCACAGCCACTGAAGGATTTTGGTTTGCGGATTAGTAAATTATTGGTAAGTGTTAAAATGTCTTTTTAACATAAAGGTGTCTATGTAGTACATGGTATATGTTATGACAATATGCTAATGAGTTAAAGTGTTGATACTGTTACAGGGTCTTGATGAGCAGCAGAGTGTGCAGCTTTTACAGGGCTACCTACAGGAAGACTACAGAGGAACCCGTGATTCCTTAAAGGTGTCCCATCTTGATTACATTTCTTTAGTTTTGGGCGAGAATTTGGGTTTAACATCGAGGCTTTCTGTGTGTAGATCACAAAATGTATCAAAGTCACAGATTTAATAAGGAACCAAAAATGTTTGGGATTGTGAGAGACTATTTCCTTGATGGAGATTGAGATAGAGGCTAACAGAGTCTTCTTCCACACAGGTTGTTCTAAAGGATGAGCGACAAAGCCAGGCACTTCTCCTGAAGGTCAGTACGGAAATCCCATGCTATTTACAATCAGTTCAATGTAACAGTTCCATTTCCATATTTAATCCAGCAATGTGTGTGCATATTCACAGATTGCTGACCATTACTATGATGAGCGCCTGTGCCTTCTCAGATGCGTCCTGCTCCTGCTGACATATTTTCAGGATGAACGACATCCCTACAGGGTGAGAAGCAGCTGGACTTGTCAAATATTGAAGTGAAACACTTATTTAGGTATTCTCTGGTTAATCGCTGTTGCCTCTGTGTGTGATGTCTCTGGATGTGTTTGTTTCCCGCCAGGCTGAGTATAGTAACTGTGTAAATAAACTGGAGAAGGATTTGGTGAGCAACTATAAGTCACAGTTTGAGAAGCTCTTCAAAGCAGAAGCACCAACATGGGAAACTCATGGAAACCTTATGGTGATAATTTGGTTTATATGTTTTTTTTCATATTTAATACCGTTTTATTTAGTACACTAATACTGTTTATTATTATCCAGAGTTTATGTAGATTTCATTTGGCTCTGAGGCCATTACTGCTGCATATAACTTACTATTATTTTGTTGTTGCTCTCAGACGGAGAGGCAGGTGTCCCTTTGGTTTCTTCAGTGTCTGAGGGAACAGTCTGTGCTGTTGGAGATCATCTTTCTGTATTACGCATACTTCGAGATGAGCCCGGCTGACCTGCTGAGCTTCACCAAAATGTTCAAAGAGCAAGGCTTCGGTTTGCGGCAGACAAACAGACACCTAGTAAACAAGAGCATGGACGCGCTGGTGGACCGCATTGGGTATGAGCACCTCATTATGTCTGTGTTTATGTGCTGTTCATAAATGTAAGGTCACATTTATCTGTGTGTTTACTTCAGGGATAATATATCTGCAATAAGCATTTAATCACATCACTCAGCATGAATTTATTGTTAGTCCTTAATGCCTTTTATGTTTTTCTGTCCTGCAGATATTTGAGCTCTCTCATCTTGGTTGAGGGAATGGACATAGATTTCCTGCATAAGTGTGCTCTGGAGGACTCTACAGATCAACATCAGTTCTCCAGTGCTCCTGATGTGATCAAGGTTAGACTATTGTCTCTGAAGGAGACATGTATAAATCCACTTCAACACAGCTGAAATGCAGTAATACTCCACTTAAGGGAATCCACTAGATGATGAAATGTATTGAAATGACCTCAACACATCCTAAGATTAACGTTCTTTCCACTGAAGTTGTTCGCACACAGAACACCTAAGTGAATCAAGACTAAACCATAAAGAGATGGATAAAGTCTCTATATTTCCTCTGTTTCTTCCAGGAGATAGATCAGCTGCTGCTGACGTTTGGTGACATCCCTCATCACGGGCCGGTGCTGCTAGCCTGGGTCCTACTGAGACACACTCTGCGGCCGGACGAGTCCAGCCCCGTGGTCAGGAGGATAGGCAACACCGCCCTGCAGCTCGGGGTGTTCAAGTACATTTCAACCATGCTGAAAGGCCTTGGAGTCTCAGGAAACAATGTAAGAGAACATAAATACACAAATGGGCACATTGAAAGCTTAATAGTTTCATGAAAAACACTCTCTGTACTCTGAACTTTTTCTTAAAGGCTTTATATGCGATTTTTTTGATCCAGCAGATGTCGCCCCTTGAACACCAGCATGAAACCAAAACAACTCGTGGTGCATTGTTGTGTTAGCATGCTAATGCTAGCGATCTTTATCATGCTCGTATCTTCACACTGCATGTAAATTTACCCAAAATGAGCTTGATCTAGAAACACAGTTAGTGAGTACAGTATGTTATTCTTCTTTTCTCTAGTCCCTCAATTAAACAACTTTTATACACGAGGGGAGGAGTCAGCTAGCCGTCAGGGCGATGTCAACAAACTGAAGATATGACTCAGAAAGCATCACAGACAGTGGGACTCGGGTGTTACACCCATTGTAGACAGTCTCAGAGTTATTTTCAGAGGATATACTTGATTTCTATTATATTTAAGTCTGAAATATCGCATATAAAGCCTTTAAATAGCACCTTGCAAAAAAAAAAAAAGAAACCGTTTACTAAAATCTTCACAGGCACATTTAAGTCCACATAAATATAGCAATCCAAACAAAGAGACAAGTTAGAGTTCAGTGAAACTAAAAGCAAGAAGCCATGAGATGCAAACAAATGCCCTCTGAAAAATAAAACGTGTCATTGAAAAGCTGTCACATGCACTGAACATCACGATTGAAATCTTTCCTCTTCAGTGCACAGCAAGCACAGCCAAGATGTGCGTCTACGGCCTCCTCTCGTTTGTGATCACTTCTTTTGAAGAGGAAAGCTTACAGGTAAATTACCTCCAGTTGTACTTGTGGTGTGCATATCAAATGTTCTTTGTTCACACTTGTATTTGTTATTTATGTAACTTCACTCATCCCTCATGTTAACAGACAGACGGCGTGGCGACTCAGTGCTCGCAGCTGATCGATGCTGCCTGTGAGGTCCTGTCTGCTCCCAGTCTGGCTGAGGTCTTTTGGGAAATGGTGAGAAAAGACTAAACTTAGAACACTTTCGAGAGATACATTGGATTTCAAAAATAAAATGCCAGTTTGTCATTTTTCCCGTTGTCACATTTTTTTTTATAAAATCCAGAAACCAAATATGGGATTAGGAATGATCCTTGACAGTGCTGTGGGGATGTTCCCTCATAAGATCGGACCACTGTTACAGCTGCTTACCGCTCTTTTGTCAAACAAGTCAACAGTTAAAAAGGTAGATTTGACAGATTCATGGATAAATACAAATTCAACTTTGTATCATGTTAATGGAATAAAAAAAAGTTTTCTCTTTTTTTGACAGGTTTACAACCTTTTGGATAAGATGTCTTTCTACACACAAGTTTACAAACACAAGCCCAGTGACATCATCTCGAAGGACGACGAGACACTGTGGAAGAGACAAACGCCAAAACTCCTGTACCCTCTCGGTTAGTGTTTCAAAGATCTTATTCCCAGATTTAAAACACTTTTTTTCCCCTGCCCGACATGGCTTGGTAAAATTGTGAAGCACGGTGTCGTTGTTTTTTTATTTATTATTAAAGATTGTAAGATTTTCAATGGCATAACTCCACTACAACATGTTGTCTTGACCGTCAGGCTCGGGGCAGACCAACCTGTGGATGCCTCAGGGAGTGCTGGGTCAGGTGATGATTGGAGGCGAGCAGGGCTATGTGGTCCGCTGGGATTTCTCCTACAGCTCCTGGACGCTCTTCACCTGTGAGGTGGAGATGCTGCTCCACGTTGTTTCAACTGCAGGTATGCAACTCGTGGTTCATTAATTCTAACAAGAAGATCATTGGCTGCTTTAAAGGCGGTTAGGCTTTGATAACTTATATTTATGTTATTAACAGATTCTCTAAAACACCAAAACCAACTAAGTGTCTGATATTTTCTAACTCATCCAGCCTGTCTGTGGCTTTCAGTCCCAAGCTACTCTGTGTCCTCTAAGTCTTTAAAAAAACGATTATGAATATAAGCTGTAATTTAGAATAAAAAGTGAAACAACTTTGCTTCAAATTGTAATGACAGGAAGTCTTACCAATGATGATAATGTAGCTTTTTTTCACAACTGTCAGGGTTCAAATACCAAGATAACGTTTGTTTGTTGGATAAATTCATTGCTTTTGATAGTTGGAAAAAGAAAATCCTTGGGCTTGTGCTTTAATTCTCACACATGAAGAATAAAGCACAGACACACGATGTTTGGAGTATCTGATGCCAGGATTAATTCATCTGTTTTTAAAATCGTTCTTTGATTAAAAGCTCATACGAATGTAAATTAGTCATTTGTTTCTAAAAAATGTTTACTATATTTTTAAACTGATAAAGTCGTCATATTTTTGTTTTTATAGATGTTTTAGCACACTGTGCTCGTGTGAAGCCCATCCTGGATCTGGTCCATAAGATCATAAGCACAGACTGGACCGTCTCTGATTGTCTGCTGCCTCTCACTTCACGCATCTACATGTTGCTGCAGAGGTAAACTCTCTTCACACTCAAGTTTTCTGTATTTTTATGTGTGTGGAAAAAAAAAACTTGATTAGACACTAAGAATGAATTTCTGTGTTTACAATCTGTCAGATTGACGTCAGTGATCAACCCTCCTGTGGACGTGATCGCCTCCTGTGTCAACTGTCTCTCTGTCCTGGCTGCGAGGATGCCTGGAAAGGTAAAGGCCGAGTACCTCCAGAGTGAACACTAAAGGAAGTTAATGTCATTTTTCATGCAAGCTTCTACTTCTCCAAATATCTTGTTTTTATCTTCAGGTGTGGTCCAGTCTGCACCACACAGGTTTCTTACCCTTTGCCTCCAACCCTCTGACCAGCATGGCTCAATGTGTGAGGTAAAGTCAAATATGTAAACTGGGACAGACATTTATTTATTTTCCTGACTTCTGTTTTAGACAAAGTTTAAAAAAAAAAAAATACTGAATTAAAGCGTTTTTTTTTTTTCTAGTGCTGAAGGGATGAAGGCAGGTAACTATGGTAACCTGCTGGTGCAGATTGAGCAGCCTCGAGGGGAGTACGCTGTGACCATTGCCTTCCTTCGTCTCATTACAACCCTGGTCAAGGTAACGAATTTTTCTAAATGTGTTGTACATACAATCTGTAAAGGTGGTGGTTCAAATGTTTTGTTATCTTCTTTTTTTTTTTCCCAGGGTCAGCTTGGCAGCACTCAGAACAAAGGCCTGATCCCCTGTGTGCTGCTGGTGTTAAAGGAGATGCTGCCCACGTATCACAAGTGGCGTTACAACACCTATGGAGTCAGGGAGAGGATAGGTAAGGACACGAGTCCTCACAGAAGTGTCGGGGAGTCTCTTTGTCTTACAGACTGGAACATTTCAAAACCAATCTCTATGTTGATGCAGGTTGTCTTATTTTGGAGCTGATCCATGCTATCCTCAATCTGAGCCCAGAGGGAGAGGATCAGGGCAGGTGAGGATAAACCTGTGTTCAAGTGTTTAACTTAAAATGTTCACTGCACGTTTCAACAGTCCAACAAACAAACAGACTGACAGGAAAGAGATCATAAACATGAACTGGAATGATCAATGTCTTTGATCTACTGTATGTTTAATATGCATCATTAATGAAAACATCTTATAAAAGTCCTGCAGCAAAACAAACTAACAATCATGTACTAGTTTACGCTTCTCATATTTCAGGATCTTGGTTAACTGTCCAGTCAGTCACTTAATTCACTCTTTTTGCCTTCTTGCAGCACTCCCACCCTGCAGACTCTGTGCATCTACAGCCTGGCAAACACTGAGGCTGGACAGGCGGTCGTCAATATTATGGGAGTTGGAGTTGACACCATAGATGTAGTCCTGGCTGCACAGCCCAGCAGGTGAATGGACAACACTTCATGTCTAGTGTTCCTCATTATGTTACATATAGTGAGACCATCAAGTCCATTTTTTTGTTACATTATGATATCATTTTTCATTTTTTTTTTAATATTTCCTCTGATGCTGTCCAGCTGTGGCTCTGAGGGTCCCGGTCAGATCCTGATCCAGACAGTCAAACTGGCCTTCTCCGTCACCAACAACGTCATCCGCCTGAAGCCGCCGTCTGACGTCGTGTCCCCTCTGGAGCAGGCACTGACGCAGCATAGTGGCCATGGCAACAATCTCATAGTTGTCTTGGCCAAATATATTTACCACAAACACGACCCAGCGCTGCCTCGCCTGGCAATCCAGCTGCTGAAACGTCTCGCCACGGTTAGGAATTTTATATATATATATATGTTCGTTGCATGTTGTACTCTACGTGATCGTTTTGTTTTTGAGAAAATTAAATATCGATGTTTTAATGTATATCTGTAATCTGTAGGTGGCTCCCATGTCAGTGTACGCCTGCCTTGGCAGCGACGCATCAGCCATCAGGGATGCGTTCCTCACTCGGCTGCAGAGCAAAACAGAAGACATGAGGATCAAGGTCATGATCCTGGAGTTCCTAACTGTTGCTGTTGAAACGCAGCCTGGCCTCATTGAGCTTTTCCTCAACCTGGAAGGCAAAGATGGAAAGGAAGGGTCCAAGGTAACGATATGTGTAGTGTGTTAAAGAAGTGTGTTTGTTTTAAAAATGTGTATTACTGTTTCCAGATTAATTTTAGTTTGTTTTGATCCTGTAGGAGTTTCTGTTGGGTGAGTGGAGCTGTCTTCATGTGGTGTTGGACCTGATCGACTCCAAACAGCAGGGGAAGTACTGGTGTCCCCCCCTGCTGCACAGAGCGGCCCTGGCCTTCCTGCTTGCTCTCTGGCAGGATCGCAGAGAAAGCGCCATCTCTGTCCTGCGTAAAAAGTAGGAACATGATCTCAAACCAAGATTTTACTTTGAGCTTCAACATTCCTGGAAAAGTGAACATTTAACATCGTGTAAGGCTGAATGATGGTGTTGAACACATTTGTGATTTTTACACAGGGAGAGATTTTGGGAGAATTTGACAACCCCTCTCTTTGGAACCCTCACTCCACCTTCAGAGACCACAGAGGTAGTGAACTATTTGTGACTCTGCTTTAATGATCACATGACTTATTGGACGTGAAACGTGTCAGCTGAAGAATTTGTTGTTTCCCTCAGCCTTGTGTTCTGGAGACGTGTGCTTTTGTCATGAAAATCATCGGCCTGGAGATCTACTACGTTGTCAGGTATTTCCATATCCATCTATTGCTTTCATTGACTATGATTGCTCTAATATCTTGTAACTGGAGTTTTATTGTGTGTGTGTGTGTTGTTACAGCGGTTCCTTGGAGCAGTCTCTAAAGGACGGCCTTCAGAAGTTTTCCAATGCACGACGATATGAGTACTGGTCCAGTATGTCAAGTCTCTGGTGTGCCATATAGCAGAGATGGAGGAGGAGGGAATCTGTTACTTTCCTGAGACCCAGATGTTGATCTCTGCCTGGAGGATGCTGCTCATACTCTCCACTAGCCATGTATGTTCAGAAAACACTCCGTTATAGAGAGAAGGACAGACACTCACAGTTTGAGTTACGTTTAGTGTCTCTTACTCACACAGCAAATGTACCTTTTCTTAACACATGTCTGAATGTTGGATCGTTAATTCCATAAAGTTGCAGAAGTGGGCAAACAAGACCCGCCCTGATCGACATCAAAAAGGGGCGGGAGATTCAGGGCTTGTGATGCTCATTGGCTAGCTGATAAGCAGTTCTGATTGACAATCTCAGCTCCGTAAGCCTGCATTGAAGAGAATATTTGATCATTGATCAAGAGTTTAATATAAAGATCATGTTTGTATTGTTGATATGCGGCTATGTGTTTGTATCAGCAAAACACTGGATAAAAGGAGGCTGTGTCTCTGTCCAAAGATATCAAAGATATCCAAATCTGCCAACCAGCACCTCTAAAACTCATACATGATAATAAATTCAAACTTGTTTTTTAAAAATTTGCCTACATTTTGCAAAAATGAAAGAGAAGCAACTACTTCAGGCCAAACAGCAACCTCGTAGGTTTCACTCTCAACTTTTGAATATTTAATAGAACGATGCTTAAGAGAGAAAGGTGCTTTCAATTTTATCATCTCACTTCTGTCAAGAAAGGAAAAAAACGCATTTAATGAATGTCAAAATATTGTTTGTCGATTTGTTTTTGATGGATTTGTACCCATTTAATTGGCCCAACATATTAACTAGTGTTTCTGCTTCAACATAAAACAGATTCAATCATTACTGGTGTATACTTTTTGCTTTCAGTCCGATGTGATGCAGCTAACGGAAGACTCAACCAAACTGAAGCTTTTTATGGATGTTCTGGAGGAGACCAAAGCTGCTGTAAGTCATCAGACCAGTGCTTTTTCCTGTGTGCACTGCCTGTCAGCACCCCCTAACTTAAAGCTGCTTGTTAGAAACACTCACGTTGTTTCCTCCTCTCTACATCCTTGTTTGTGTTCTTACTCTCAGATGAACGTTGCTTTGGGATAAAAAGTCAGCTGAATTGTAGAACCATGTCAGAACATTATTTTATCTTATCTCCTTTAGCTGTTAAACTTTTCTTTTGGTCTCTTCAGCTCACTACACCCATGTCTGTGCCTTGTCTTCGTCTTGGATCCATGATGGCCACTCTACTACTCATCCTGCTGAAACAATGGAAGAGGTGTGGATTGGCAGAATATCAACACACACTAACATAAAATAGCCCGACTTTGTTTTCTGGATTAACATCTCTCTCTCTCTTCCTCTGGTCTCCAGTGTGGTAGCTACAGCCCCTGACATCCTGTCTCCGCTCTCCCTCATCCTGGAAAGCGTCCTGCAGGCCGACCAGCAGATGATGGAGCGGACCAAAGCCAAAATCTTCTCTGCTCTCATCTCTGTGCTGCAGATTCAGGGACTCAACGGTAAGAGGCGTGTGTGGCTCAAACGTAGAATCTGTCTGCAGCGCTGCGTCTCTTTGTTGATTTCATTTCTCTGTCTGCTAGGCGGAGATATTTCCCAACTGCCCCAGCTGTTGTTGTCCGTGTGTGAGACGGCGAAAGATGAAGCCTTGGCGCTCATCGATAATACTCGCCACATGAACCAGGCAGGAGAAACAGTGGAGGACGAGGACGTCATGGAAACGGACTCTCCCCGCGGCCAACAGAAGGACCAGAGAGACGGGGTGAGCCGGAGCAGCGTTTTGTTTTCATATCACTCGTTCCAAAGCGGCCGATGATCCCAGCATTCAAACATTTAGCTTCAATCTCTCCAGATGTCTCTGAGTTAAGGAGGTATCAGAGTATATCCAAGTTATTTTTAGGACTTTGTTTCCGCTTTCATCAGGTGTGTGTGCTGGCTCTGCACTTGGCGAAGGAGCTGTGTCGCACCGATGAGGATGGGGAGCATTGGGTCTCAGTGATGAGGAAGGTGCCGGTCCTCCCTTCAGTGCTCAGCGCTGTGGAGCTCAGCCTACGATCCAAACACAACCTCTACTTCACTGAGGCCGCACTTCACCTGCTGCTCACACTGGCCCGCACGCCACAGGTAAACACCAAAACACACATTTCTACCGTGAAATTGAAGGAATAAAACCAGTTTGTTACCTTCTTTTTTTTGTCAGTAACCACTAAGTAAAGACAAGTTTCCTCTCTTACAAAAAATGCAGCTCAGAAACTTCCCAGAACAGTTGAGTACTGTAGATTAACATTAGAATGTATGACTGTATACAGAGTGCATTTGCTGGATTTCTTCAGCTAATGGAGCTGCTCTCTGAACACACTTGATACGAGGCTCAATTCATTGTAAGATTTGTTTTATAGCTGAGGGAGTTTTTATTTTGATCCTCTAGGGGGCAGCAGCGGTGGCAGGAGCAGGAGTCATCCAAACTATTTGCCTACCTCTTCTGAGTGTCTATGAGGTGTCTTCAAACGGAACATCACAGGTGATTTAAAAAGAGAACATACAGCGACCTCATGTTAATGCACTGCTGGGTCTGTAGCACTAAAGTAATAACACAACATATTTATGTTTGAGCAGAGTTTCTCTCGCAAGTCCCAGGACTCGGCCTGCTGGCCCGGTGTGTACCGCCTCTGCATGTCTTTAATGGAGAGTCTGCTGAAGACTCTGCGCTACAACTTCATTAACGAAGCTCTGGACTTTGTGGGAGTCCATCAAGAACGAATACTTCAGGTAACAGTGAGCCGGTGTTTATTACTTGTATTGTTATTCAGAGAAGTATTAATGCACTGTCCTTGTGCTTGTAATGTTGGTGCTTTTTTCTGTAGACTACAGTAATATGAGTTTTCATGATGAGCTTTTTTCCCTCTCAGTGCCTGAACGCAGTGCGGACAGTTCAGAGTCTGGCCTGTTTGGATGAGGCGGATCACACGGTTGGCTTCCTGCTGCAGCTCTCCAGCTTCTGTAAAGAGTGGCAGTTTCACCTCCCCAAGCTGCTGCGAGATATACAGGCAAGTCCAGAGGGAGAGGTCTGAATCATCCAAGACGAAGACTGGGACTCCACCTGTGCAGCTAAACCTCAACATTCATTCTTTCTCTGTCATACAGGTGAACTTGTGCTATCTGTGCCAGACCTGCACGTATCTGCTCCACAGCAAGAAGATGCTCCATCACTACCTCCAGGTCGAAAGCTCAAACATTTTATATTTACTCATTGCACGCACTGCAGCATCATAACACCTTTATTATATTCTGTTTTATATCCTGTTCAGAAGAGGTGGTTTAAGATATTTATGAACTCTGAAAAATAACGACTTTCATGTTGCTTTATCAGGCGAAAAATGGGGAAGCGTTGCCCCCTGGTCACCTCCCCAGGCCACAGCGCCCCCCCCAAACTCCGACGAAAGAGGCCGCAGGCGGAGGAGAGAGGGAGGAAGCTGAGCAAAAAGCCCTGCTGGCTGTGCAGTGCAGCCTCCTGAAGATCCTCAGCAAAACTCTAGCAACTCTGCAGCACTTCACTCCAGACTGCTGCCAGATCCTCCTGGACCAGGTCAGTCTGCCGACTCTGCTCCTGATGCTTCTGAGTGAAATGACTCTCGTTCGGATAGCAAGCATCACATTTCAGCTTCTCAGAAAGAAACTGAAGTCTTGCTGATATTTATGAGATATGAATAAAAATAGAAACAGAGTAAAAAAAATAAATGCTGACGTGTGTGTATCTGTGTGTCAGAGTATGGATCTGGCAGAGTATCATACCCTGTTCGTGCTCAGCTTCACGACGCCGGCGTTTGACCCTGACGTGGCTCCATCGTTCGGGACCCTGCTGGCCACCATCAATGTGGCTCTCAGCATGTTGGGCGAGGTAGATATCAAGTTTAATCATTAATAACTTCAGCTGCAGGGAAGTCACAGCTGATCAATGATTGTGTTTGTTCTGTTTGTTCAAAGATGGAGAAGAAGAAAGAGCCTGTTTCACTGAGCATCGTCTCTCTGGCCTCATCGGAGGAGATCCAAGCTCTCAAGTGAGTTCATCTCATTTTTGTTTATATATGCATTATTTCAGGGGTACTATCATGACATGGCCTCTAATCGAAAAGGCTTCACATTTTAGAAGAAATACTTTTATTTAGTTTTGCTGTGAGATGAATGAAAACATTGATACCACTCTTGATATTTTCAAACAAATATAAAGCTACAGAAGACTGTTACCACCATACTTTACATGTTTTAATGTCTATAAAGGTTTTTCCATTCAGAGCCAGGGCAGCTGGTAGATCCTTCAGTCTCTATGCTAAGCCACAGGTTGTAGCTTGTTATAAAGAATAAGAGTGCGGTGTCTTTTTCTCTTGGCAAGAGAGAAGAAAACAGGGTCTTCTCCAAATTGTGAAACTTTTTTTGGGGGGTTTCGCTGAACAACACTGAATGAAGCTCATCTTGGGTTTGTTTCTTGTTTCCTGTCAGGTCCCTGCTGATGTTCACCATGGAGAACTGTTTCTACGTGCTCATCTCTCAGGCGGCTCGGTGTCTCAAAGACCCCTCCATCCTCCCTCGAGACAAACAGAGGCTCAAACAGGAGCTCAGCTCTGAACTGGTGAGATGTGAAATCTCTCCTTGATTTTTATTTATTTCTTATTGTAAAAAAAAAAAAGGATATCACTGAGAAAACAATGATTTTTGGACTAACACATTTTCCTAAAAACTGTGAATATACTGAATATAATGTTAGATTTACTCCTAAATACAACACGCTGTAAACAAAAATACTTCCTAGTAAACCATAATGAAGGCTGTAATCTCCCCGATTTACTGAATATAAATCCGGTTAAGTTTAAGAATATTATTGAGCACTTTTTTAAAAGAGCAGGCACTGTTTAGAGCTGGATTCTAGCGTTGACAGTTTTTCAATAGGTTGTCTTATATTTCATAACTAAAAGTGTCTTTGTTTTTTTCCTTCACCTCCAGAGCACCCTCCTCTCCAGCTTGTCCCGACACTTCCGCCGGGGCTCTCCATCATCCCCGGCCAGTGGCATCCTCCCCTCCACCCAGTCCAAACCCCCCACACCGGGCTCCAAGGCAAGCCATGAAGGTCAGGAGCCGTTCATCCAGCTGGTTCAGGCGTTTGTCAGACTGGTGCAAAGATAGAAATACTGAACAGCTCCAGATGAAAAACCTGAAGTACAACCCGACCTCGTTATGAAATCGGGGAGAACTATCTTGTGATATGCCTTGTTTTTATGTACAAAGTGATTTCTGTCATTTAAACTTGTGACAAAGAGAGTTTATTCTGATATGTTTGGAGCCATCTTTTTTGTTTTAAACTTTTCATTTTGCCAAAACAGCTGTCGTAACGTGACCACAACCAAAGTGTTTACTCCGAAAGGCCAATGAGAAGCTGCATGATTGTTTCAAACAAACATGTCATATGAAGAGATCTGGGTGCTACTAAAACATCAGTCGCTGACTGTGGTTCTTTTTTCTGAGGCCTAGTTTTATAGGTCACCTCGATATTACCTTAGGAATGACCAGACATGTTTCAAGTGCTTAAAAATAATACAACCTTTTTAATTCATCTTCTCCTATATAGACTAGATGTAGAACATTTTCTTGTACTTTTCTAATTCTCTTCACTAACTCCGTCTGAACTTTATTTTCTTATCTCTCTTCATCCATGTACACGTTTTGAAGCAGCTCTCAAGATTTGTACTTGAAAAAAAAAGTATGTTTATGCCAATAAAGGGACTTTTGTACCACAATTTAGTTTCATTCAACTTTTTTTTCTTTACTGCATTTGCACATAATTTAAACACAGGGGAAGCGTCAGCCTTCCTATACATTGGTTTACAAAGAACAAAAAGTAAAAACAAATCAGTAATAAAATACATTTCATGTTCTTTTATGCATCATATAAAAAAAGAGGAAAAATATTTAAGATGCAGGAATCACTATTTACAAAGGCATTTCTTTAAAAGAATAAAAACATTTACATCTTCAGTACCTAAAATAAACCAAATTATAGTCATGTGCAAGAAGGCTTTGATACCTGGAGAATAAGGTGACAGTTTAACAGCAGGACGGAGAGGCAGGAAGAATAAGGCCTGATAGCTACATTATCAGAAGCAGCAGGTTCAGTAGCTGCAGCGTAAAGAGGCGTCGCTGTTGGAGGACTCAGAGTGTCTCTCTGCAGGCCGTCTAGACACGGGGACGTTCCTATGCTCAGGTAGCTGCTCTGTAGTGCCTCCTACTGGCCATTGACTGGCACCTCCTGGAAGAGAAAAACATGTTATTACATTATCCTGCACAGAAAAACTGTCACTTCACATATTTGGCCCTTAAACATGCAGGGTGAAAACCAGACGTGCTGAATTGACATTTTTTTCAACCACATGCATGTGACATCTTGTTTAAATGGAATTGTTTGACACTTTATGAAAACAGATTTTTTCCTTTCCGAAAGATAATACGTCATATATGTCTATTCAATATGACACTAAAGAAAGTTTGCTTGACAAAACAAAAAAGGGTAAACGGCCTCTGGGCTCTGTCCAAGGCTCTAAAATGTGCCTACCTCTGAAGCTCACCTGTAAACACGTTAGAACTCTCATGTTTTATCCTCAAGAGTCCAAGAAAATGACATATAAGATAAAATCACTGTAAATAGATTACTTTAGAGATGAAATAAGAATTGAATTTGTCTTTTTTTCCTAAATGTGAAACTACTCCTTTAAAAGATGTCTCTTAAAGTAGTAAAGGCGCACAGTCACTCCAACACAATATGAAATGTTTCCAGTTTATTAAGCGCAGTAAGCTTAATAGAAGTCACACTGAATCCAAAACCTACATCATTAAATAGATTCATCTCAGGACAAGATTTGACCAAACAAACAAAAATAACTGGCAGGTATCTTATGATACGTAAATATTTTTGGTGTTTGCTTCATGCAGCAGGGCAAACCAAAAACACAGGGTCTCATTAATCTCATGCATCAGTAAACTCAATGAAAGCCTGCACCTCAACCACACTGACCTTCGTCTGGTCCTCCAGACCGACCTTTCAGCCCAAAGATGGTACAGTAATTTGTCTAGCATTATTTCACATGAAGCAGGAGAAGGAAAAAGGGAGAATTTAACGCTATGGACAAGAAGATTAGTTGGAAATTTAACCATGGGGGCATGCTTTTGTTTTTGGTTGACTCACCTCTAAATTCCCCCTGGCTTTTTTCAACACTCCGTGGGTCAGAAACACTACATGGAAGGGAAAATAACATGAGGTCAGATGTCTGCAATTATTCAAAACACTTAATCAGTTTATCCATCCAATCCGACTGTACTCTATACCAGAGCTGAAGAAATGCAAAGTGTGGAAAATCAAGAATACTAATCATACACTGGTCGATGATGACTCTTTCCATCCCCTCTTTGAGCTGGTTAGTTGTTCGCAGACGTTTCACAGCTCCGCTCAGCATCCTCTCCTGCTGTGACAACCTGCTCTTCAGTCTGGCTACCTCGTTTTTCAGCAGCTCATCCTGATACGGAGGATAAAAAAAGGTTTAAGATTTGGTTCCCGCAGATAATGAGATAGACTGCAAAGAGTATTTTAAGTGTTTGTGTGACTACCTGCTGGTTGTTGCTGCCGTCGCCTGCTGTATTACCAGATGGCAAAGAGACTCTCCACACCAGTTTGAGGAGCCGACCGGCCTCGTCTAACACTTGCTGCATGGTGTTCACACTACCAGACAAACTCTTCAGATGCTGCTGCTCTATTACCTATGAAGATGTACACACAAGGTATTGAACCTGATGAATTTATGTATATTTCTGTGCAAGCTGTGAAATTAAAAAGTAAGATTTGTTAGTACCTTGTTGTCAGATCCCTGCTGTCTGAATGTGTGCAGACATTCCTGTAGTTGTGCATCCATGCTGCGTGCCAGCTTGCGACCCTCTGAGATCTGCTTACGGAGGGCGTTGTAGTCCTCGATCAGGCCCAGAATATGGCGGCCGTTGCGGTTGGCCCACATGCGGTGACCTGGCACCAGGCGAGAGGGAGCACCGGTGATGCTGTCGCCGGAGCTGCTGCTGAGCGAGCCGCCATCTGAGTGAGCACGAAGTCTCTCATCTAAGAAAGATGAATGTGTGCTCAGAGGCTTTCAAACGGACCTGTACAATCTGTATTTATGTGTTTACTGCTGTGTGAAACATAATGCTAATAAAGGTTTTCTTACCATGGAGGACGCCCGTGTGTTCATTATGACTCTGAAACGAGTGACGATAAGGATCACAGCCTTCCCGACCAGGTGATTTCCCTCCTTCGTCTACAACAAAATGTAAAACCAGCACGGTCAGAACCCGGCAGATTCTTGTATGTTTACGGGCCTCTTTATATCAGTCTGTCATGTGTGTTTACCTGGTGAGGACAGCAGGTAGTTGATGTTGATGGTTTCAGAGCGGTTGGGCCCTCGGAGCAGCTGCTCCTCCAGCCTCTGTCTCAGAGCCGTGTTGGTCTGGATGCTCCTCTCCAGCTGCAGCCGCAGGTGTCTGATCTCCTGCAGCAGCTCACTCAGGTCTACAGAGCCTGAGGGGGGAGGGACAGAGACGGGATCCTGGGTGGGCTCGCTGGATTCTGCAAAGGGGGGGGTGGTGTAAGAAAAAAGTGGGAACCATGAAACCATGTAAGCTATTTCACACTCAATGTTAAAGTAATAAAACCGGAGCCAGAGTCAAGGTAGATTTAAGTACTTATGGCTAGAAGATTTCTAAGTATTGCTTCATCACAGGGTCTTTGCATTCTCTGTTCTGAGTCGGTGTGTGTTTTGAAAGTACCGTTGTGTTTTTGAGATTCAGTCTTCATCTTGTCATAAACTTGCAGCTCCACCCGCAGAGACTGCAGCAGATGTTGGGAGTCAGACAGCTGCTGCCTCTGGAGCTTCACCTCAATCTGCAGCCTGCAAACACACACAAAACAAAACACAACTACAAATGAAGACAATGGTAAAAAGGTCTGAAAACGAACATGCTTCTCTTCTAGAAAACTTCATATTACATTATAAAGTATTATGTAGGGGTAGAAAGGTTAACCCAATCTTTAACAATATGTTAAAGAAAAATATAAGATTTGTTTGGATGTGTCTGCAGTGTTTTAAAACACAAAAATGTAATGCTGCTGCTTTCTTTTAATGGTCAAATATATCACTATCACTCATCATGGATCTTGTGGAATACATAAAAAAAAAAAAAAAAAAGGGTGTTTATGCAGCGTGCAGCTAAACACTTTGATAGCAGCAGCGGTTCAAGGCATTACATTATGTTATATAGAAATAATCCATATTGTTGACAGTCTCTTTTGCTTCGTAGTTCATATTCAGACATCTGGATTCATTTCTGATTCATAACCAGTTTGAGACTCCTCATAGAAGCTTTAAAAAAAAAAAGCCTTTTAGAATGCCAGCAGCAACCACAGTAACATTTTCAAAAGCCTGATTCTAAAAAGCCCTATTGTTTTTTATTAAACATAATTGTGTTTGTTTGTAATAGTCAGATGAACTTGATAAACTAGCAAAGTGTTACTTTAGAGAGATCATCTCAAAACCGAACTCAATCTATAAAAAGAAATGTCTTGGTGTATTTCTGTAAAATCTCCATTGAAAGAAAAAGAAATGAGCCATGTGTGCTCAAGCTTAGGAGACAAGGGGAGGAAAGGGAGAGGAAAAGTGAGCTGACAGGTTTCAGGTGTCAGCCTCACTCAGCTGTGTCAGTGGGATGAAGGGTAAGAGGTCACATGCCATCATTTACGGTATGCATGCACGTGTTCATGGATGAGCGTACCAATGACAGGAGATCTCCTTTCCGAGCTGTTCATATAGCACGGGCTAATGCTAACAGCAATGGCTCTTTAGATTGGTAATTAGTATCTCTGTGTAGTTTCAGGTTGCATGAAGAGGAGCCGTTTTAATCGTTGTGTGTACCTGTGCAGCTCCTCCTTGCTGTAGTGCAGTGAATCCTGCAGCTGGGAGTTTTCCTGGCTGCTGAGCTCCAGTCTCTCCTGCAGTCGGCTGTTCTCCTGCCTCAGAGATTCACAATCCTTCCTGCTCTGCTCCAGTTTGGCTGTCCGCCTGGCCAGAGACTCTCGTAGCTTCTCATTCTCCTTCTGCTTATCTATAAGAGATATTAAAACATCAGCAGGGAGAGACAATTGGCTCTATACCTCTACTTATGAAGTGTGTATTTTGACGTGCGTTACCTCTGGAGCCCATGTTGAGCTGCTCCTTCAGGGCTTGGTTTTGTCCCCAGAGGAACCGCACCTCGGTGGCCAGCTGACCCTGCTCCTCGTTGCCCTGGATGAAGATGTTGGTGGCCGCTAAAGACGATAAAAAAATAAAAAAAAAGACCTGTCAGTCCACAATGACAGCACTCTCACTTTAAATTTGAACACTAAAACAGGTAAGGGAAAGCAGAAAAAAGGCAGGTGGTTTCTGGAGTTTACCTGGGTCTTTCTCAACCTCGGCCAATCTCTTCTCCAACTGCTCCCTGAGACGGTCATTGGTGCGGATGCTCTCCTCCAGGCGCTGCCTCAATGCTCGGATCTCCTGCAAGTGTTCTGCAAGAGAGTCTGACACACACACACACACACATTCACATGCAGAACGCTTACTAAAAGGGGAACTTTATGGGGATTAAGTGTTTCCGACACAAGGGCTTGCCAGAGATAGATTTAAAAAAAAAAAACTGAGCAGTGAAGGCCCAAATATCCTGACTGTTAATCCCTACAAGTGACGGAGCTAAGAAAGAAAAAACGAGATTCTATAATTCCCTTAATGCCACTTGTTTGTTTTTTTTGCTCTTAAAGTAATCCCTTGATGTTCATATCTTATAACTCCAAAACAAAAACTTTGGAAGATTGTCTGCCTTTTTTTTTTACAGACCTTTGAAAGCTCAAGAGCAACAAAAGACATTTGAAGACCCTTAATTCAAATGTTCTCTCAGGCCTTTGAGGTTTAGAGAACTTTAAACTTAAAAGCTGTGGACTTTAATACATTTCTCTGTTTACTGTATTATGAGTTAGATACATCTAACTATCAATGTGTTCCATTTACCTGAACTCATTGAGCGAGGCTGCTCGGCAACGTTAGTCTGTGAGCCAACATTTCCAACTCCAGTGTGAGTGTCAATCTGAGGCCCACATCCCTCCTGGTCTTGTTCGCTATCCTGCGCCTGATGATGGGAGCTGGTCTGGGCCATGATGGAGCGATGCAGGTCCAGTTCACTGCGCAGGGTGGTGTTGAGCTCCTCTGTGTCTCTCAGCTGCTCATGCAGTCGCCCGTTCTCCCGCTGCAGGCCCTGCAGTCTGTAGTGAGCCAACACACTTCCCTCCTCCTGAGCTCCTCCCATAGGAGGGACAGCTGCTCCCGTCCAATCGGTGGGAGGTCGCTGGCCTAAACATAAGCAGGACGACCATTCAGGTTAAAAATAGTGAAAGACTGAAACATAAAAATGCTCCACCTTTTATATATGGAGTCTAACATTCCCCAAGATAACACAAGCAGCAACTGATTGAGATGCATCGTAAGGAGCCAAACAGGTTAAGTGAGGTGGCAGTAAGGGGAGATGTAGGTTTTGACCACATGCTTCCCTGGTTTCTGTAAGGCCTTCATGGTCTCTCTTCCTGAGGGAAACACAACTTGAAGGCTGAAACGGATAGGTGCCACTGAATAATGCAGCTTTAAGTGGAGGCAGATTGAAACTATACACCCGCTCTGCTCTTGGCCTGCTTGCTTTGTGCTGTAGCACGGCTCACTGCAACAGAATGGATCTGAGTGGAAAAGAAGTGCTATTACAGGCTGCAACTTGCCGGGCCCCCCAGGTGGACAAGGACTGCGGTAATTTCATGATATACTAAGGCCAGGAAATACACATATTTAATAGAGCAAGCTAAGTTTAAATAACCAAACACTCCTGACTGACTCCCTCCTCTGTGACACTTAGGTCTATAATTCTTTAATTAAAAAAAGACTAAAAATTCCATCTAGAAATCTGCATCTTTGTAACATGTCATTATGCTTACTGTGGGATTGGTTATTGCTCTGTGAGGTCGGGCTGCTGTAGCAGGAGGACGAGGAGTTTCTGTCTGAGTGGTTCAGGTCAGAGTGGGAGCTGTGGTGGCTGCTGAAACTTTGGCCTCTCAACTGACTCTGCAGACTCTGGATCAGAAAGTTCTTCTCCTGCAGCTCCTTAGCCAGTCTGTGGAGAAAAGAAGGAAAAGGAGGGTATTGAATCTTTTTAATTTGGTCTACCTGAGGACCCAACTGCTGGATTTTAATCTGTGACATCTCAGCAGGGTGTTTTGGGTTCATAACAAAGAAGAACTGGAAAGAAAGGACACAAACTAAAGGAAAAGATCCGGGGGAAAAAGTGCAACAAAGAAGTGGGAAAAAAAAAGATCCAACCACAGGTCTTTGAACTTTCAGTTGAAACACACGGCCAGAAAATATGTAGAAGGAGTTAGCACAGCAAACATCATGCTGTCTATCTGTCTGCATCAGACCCACTCACAGGTCCAGCTGCTCCCTGGTGCACTCAGCCAGGCTGAGGTTCTGCTGGACGAGGAGGCTGATGTGCTGCTGCAGCAGCTCTCTCTCGCCCTCTAGCTCCACACGCAGGTTATTTATCTCCTGCTGGATTCTAGCCGTGCTGTCAGCAGGATGCCTCATGCTCTCCTCAAAAGGCAGCAGTGACTGTGATGCCTGCTGAAGCTCCAGAGAACTGCCCAGGGCATGATGTGGATTAAAGTCAATGTTACTGTGAGCAACGTATGGTTCTAAGAAAACGACACTATATGAATTATAGTTAGAATCATCATGACACGGCAACGCAAATATAACTGCAAAAATCTTCACCAAATACAGATCCTTTTGTTTCTCCGTGTTTCTTTATATGAATGTGAAAATTGGCACAAAAAAAAGGTCAAACCATATTAAAGAAACCAGACATATTGAACTTGGAGTTCCTTGACTTCCTTTTTTGTTTTTTTTACCAATGGTGGAAAAGAAAAATGTTAAAGTGTTCAAAATGTGTGTTCAAAGAATAAAGCCTTACAAATATATGTGGAAAAGTTTGATCATTCATTTGTTTTCAGGGTGATATGATTTTAACTGTGCCCATTATTAAAAATGAAGCTCTAATAAACATGCACATTAATAGATGATTATTGACATGTGGTTTGCATGTTCTGATTTCCCAGACACACCAGTGACCCAGTTAGGGGGCAATGTAACCTTAATGTTTTGGTTGTCACAGAAAGAAATTAGGTCAACAGCAGGACGCTTTTCAATATCAACAAAACACTCAGCGCCCAGGGTCATACAGCAAATTGGCTGGGTGGAGGTGGGGGTGGGGGTTTAAAAGGGTCATGACATAAACATCAAAACAGCTCTGCTAACGACTGGCAAAACTCAAACATTAACATTGGCAATTTGACCTGAATAATATACATGAACATTCAAAAGAAAGAATCCCATCAGCTTTAAAAACAGCTGAATCAGTATTCATAAATGAGGAAGAGAAGTGAGACACACCTGCTGTCTTATAAAGGAAAATAAATAAGTCAGCAGCCACTTATCTTAGCAAAGAGACAGCTAGCCTGGCTCTGTTAAAAGTAACACAACCCCCCTAAAACCCCCCCTAAAGCTCACTCAAAGACTGAAGTGTAAACACAAAGATTTCCAGTTTAAAAAACAAACTGTCACAGTTGGACTGGGCTGGCTGCCTGGCTGGTCCCCCCCTGTGGCTGCTTGCTTCAATCTTATATTTATGAAAGAGATAACAACCTCTGATGTAACTCCCCACCACAAAGTAACTACCGTAAATGCATTGAGCATATTCTCTAAGATTAAAAATTATGTATCAGGACAGATCGCAATCCCAGAAAAATAATATTAACATGGAAAATGGGACATGTTTTAACTATTCAGTTACTTAGGCTACAGACTAAATCAAATGCAGACATTGACAACAAGCAAGTGCAATGTACCTGCGTGACAGCTCCAGAGCCGCCATGTCCTCGTTATCCAGATGAGAGTCTCCTATCAGACAGAGGAAAAGATGCTGTCAAGGACCTGTCTGTAAAAATCAGTTACGAGTGACTGCTCTTTCTCCGCTGAGCTTTGTAAAATCATCAAACCATTTCTGTGCAATAGGTGAGGACTGTTTTATGACACAACTGGTTGTTAACTTTTAGAATAAGGATTAACTTTATAAGAGATTGTTATTATTCATTTAAAAAGGAAGGACACTTTTCATTTAATTCGCATCTAGTCAAATCAAATCAGCAGCTACCTTTGTCCAGCCGTCCTTCCAACCTGTCCAGGATGCCGAGGCTCTTGTCCAGCTGCTCTTTGACCACCTCCCCCATGTAGTAGTCCACTTTGCTTGCCTGCAGCAGATCCTTGAAGGCCTTGTTTAGCTCCTCCAGCTGTCTGCGCTGCAGGGCTCCCAGCTTGCGGCTCTCCTTGATCTGCTGCCTCAGTTGTGACAGCTCCCGGGCCTGTGACTGTACCAGGGAGTCCAGTCTGAGAGGCAATAGCAGACAGAATAGAGATAAGTCAGGAAAAACAACAAAAGTCAACAGCCTGAGTTAAGATCTAATATTCAAAACAACTTTGCAGCTGTCAATCGGTAATGAAATGATCATATTAAAAGTGAATGCTGACCTTGCAGGAGATGTAGAGCCGCTGCAGGTTTGCTGCAGCTGATCACTCAATCGTCTGTTCTGCATCTTCTCTCCTTCCAGGTCTACATTCAAACGGCAAGTTTTGTCCTTCATCGCCTGGTTCTTCCCTTCCTTGTCCCCTAGCGACCCACTTTTGTGGCTTATATTCTGGCCATGGTCTCCATGTGCCCCCCCTTGATCCCTCACGGCTGATGGATCGGAGGTATTTGCGACTTGATCACTGGAGAGGGAGTTCCTTCGCAGAAGACTTTGCATTTGCAGGATGAGTTTGGTCTGGTTTTCAAGCTGGACCTTCAGCTCTTTGACTTGTCCCTGAAGCTGGTGAGGGTCCTCAGACACACCGTACTCGTCATAGACCTGCAGGCCCTTCAGACTGACCTGAAAACACGAAGGAGAAAATTACACAATTGAAAACCTGTTTTTACTAATATATGGGGTTGCTTTTGAACAGTAGGAAATTGTTGTTTAAAGGAATTTGACTGAATGTATATTATGCAAATTGTTCATTCAGAGTCCACGTAGCATAAACCTTGTTATGTAGTGTTGCAAATTATTTTAAACTTTTTAATCTCACTGTGCAAAAATGCAGCTTAATAAAATGTTAACATGTATTTCTCTCTACTATGTTCTTTACGGTAAAATGAGTTTTGGATGTGGTCCTTGAACTTGAGGGACGCATACACAATTGGAAGCATTTTGTTGGGTAGACAAGCTGGATGTTACTGTGTGTGTTTCTGCCTGGAGGGTGAATAAAAGTCTGTGATCTGATTCTGAATCCCAAGCTGAAGTAACAGTAGCCTGCAAATTTGTAGCTGGCTAGCTGATACAGACCTTAGTTTGACAGACCACCTGTTCTTCCCTAGTTGGCAAGCATGTTCAGGGGAGGGGTTATGCCTAATTTTATACCTTGGCTGAGCTGAAAGCGGGAGAACTGGGGTATGGGGTGCTGGAGGTGGAGTCCAGGTTGTCAGTAGAGGAAAAGTTGGCCTGCTCATGTTTCAGCAGGTAGGGCAGGCTAGAGGCACTGCAACTGGGCTTCACACCAACCTCGAGATCTGGCAACACAGGGAAAAACACAGGAAAAAAAGACTCAACTGGGGAACTGATTCTGGAAAGACGATTGTGAAAGAGAGTAAGAGGAAAATAATCTAAGCTACAGATTTACTGTGAAAAAAGTCAAGAAATTATAGTGAAAGGTTAATGAGTGCTCCAGAGACATTCTGAACTTCAGAGTGGAAACATGCAAGAATTCATCAATGCAAAAACATTGACAGTCCATTTAAGTTTGTGAAGAGTGCAGCAGAGAAACACCAAGTTCAAACCAGTAGAGTTTGTGTGGTTAAGACACCCAACGTGAAAACATCTTGTCAAGGCAAGAGACAGTGTTACAGTTTCCATTGTTCACTTTGTCATGCACACTTATAGAAAGACGCTGTCCACATGTGAGATTAGTGTCCACTCAACAGACAGACATGCAGTGTCCGTCTGAAGACTGTCTACCTGTGCTACTGCTCTCTTCCCTATCGTTCTCACTCTTTCCACTGGTTTCGTAACCCAGGTCCTGCAAATCCACCTGCACGCCTTTGTCATCCTGCTCCAGAGCTGGCATTGGGGGCAATATATGTTGGGTTAGGAAGAAATCATTTAACAAGCACAAGTCTCTCTATCTTTTATGGTGTTCCATATCCATTTCACTTTGAAATAACATAAGCATGCCTTTGCAGATTTAAAAAAAAAAAAAATTCTGTCTTGGCCATCCATCTTACCTCTCCGTGCAGTTTCAGGGGAGGATGTGTTTGAAAGTGCAGTGGCCAGTTTCTCCTCCAGGCTTTTACACGCTTTCTTCTTCTCCCTCAGCGCCTTGTGGAGAGCTTCCAGCTGGAGCTGAACATTTGGTGGTAATCCTTTGTCATCCTGCAATGTCCTGTGGACCTTGCTCTCCTCTTTCCAGCCCTTTCCTTGGAGTGATGCCTGGAGCTCTGATATTCTCTGATATTGATCAGCGAGGACCTTATAGAGGAGGCGGATGTTGTTGTGAAGGTCTTGGCTATGCTCTCCATTTGTTCCAGAAGCAGCAGACTGATTGCTGGTGGATTTAGAGGGTGGCTGGGTGGTTTCACCTAGGTCTTTCCTCTCCTGCAGGGCCCTTTGAAGGTTCTCTAAAGTGATCTGCAGGTCAGAGCTAGTCTGTGAGGATCTACCAGAAGCTAAGGAGCTGGTATTTGTACAGTGTGTTGCCAGAGAGGCAATGGCAGACTCTGCAGCACTGAGGCAGTTTATGAGAACTTTGGTCATCTCCTGATTAAAACCAGAACTTTTCTTTGACTCCTTTCCCTTAAGTGATTCTGCATTTTGGACAGCACTGCTACTGTTGCAGTTGTATTTAGTCACGTCATCATGAGCTCTCACTTGTTCTTGAAGCTCTGCATTACGCCTGTTCTGCTCCCACAGTGACTCCTGCAAAGAGTCCACATGCCGTTGCAGCTCTTGCACAGAGTCCTCTGTGCTTACAAAAACACCTCTTGGAGACTGTGTGCTTGAAGAAGCCTTCACCTGCTGCAAAGCTGCCCCTATCTTTAAACATAAATCACAACTTTCTGGATTCTCTTCTTGGCTTTTAGTGGAGGCCATGGCTTTCTCTGCCATGCTCAGAAGATCTATAAGCCTGTTGTTAAGCTCCTCCTTCTCCTGTAGTGTTGTTTGCAGGACCATGCATCTGCTTTGGAGGGCTGCATCTGAACCAGCAGAGCCAGAACCTGTACATGACCCTGCGGTGCCAAATCCTCCCTGGCTGTCCATACTGCAGGCGGTCAGGTAAGCAATGGTGGATTCTGCAGCCTGTAAGGCCTCAACATACTGCCGATTGAGCGAGTCCTTTTCCTGGAGCTGAACGTCGAGCTCTTCCCAATCAGCTAGCTGCTTGCTGAGCTTGTTGATCAGAGCCTCTTTCTCCTGACACTCCTGGTGAAGAAGCTCCAGCTGAGTGAGAAGAGCAGAGTTGGCTCGGGTGTGATCCATTGTTGTTGCTACTTCAGAGACGTTTTCTGTCTCCACTTCGCTGCTGCCATATGTGTATCCACGTGAGGAAGAGTCAGAGTCTGTATGCAATAGCTGGTCGGACCCACATACATCATCCATATGAAGGTGTTTAAGTGCATCAATTCTCAGATGGTCAGAGTTCTCAGACTGCCTGCTGCTACTCGCCTCTGCTCTTAGCCTCACAGGAACCGGGAGACGAGATTTGATCCCAGCCTACAATTAAAACAGAGATCAAATACATTATAAATAAAGCCTGACTGATGCATGTGTCAACGACAGATACATGACCAAATATGTATCAGTATTGTCTTTATAGTTCCCAATAAGCTATGATAAATAAACTGTTTTCACCTTCACATAATACAAAGAAAATGCTCAGGGTGATACAAAAACGGGGCTGTGACAGTTTTCAAGCAGAGCAGCTTCCCCATCCATGATAAACACTTTCAGCACTGTCTGCATCAAACAAAGTTTAAGGCATTCTGAGTACCTCTGCATCATACTGACTACTGAAGCAGTCAGTGCACTTTCATTCCACATCATTAATTCAGCCGCAACATCAGTATTTCCTAAATGATCCATTTAAAATCAGTTTCTATAATACAACTTTGGTTGGGATATAACAAGAATACAATGCGTGCAATGTTGTACAGACTTACTATAAAACAAAACCTACCCCATGGTTTGTGACATGCTGATTTGCACTCTTGTTGAGTGTTTGGCCTTTAGTTGGGGGATTCTTCGTCCCCTCTGTGGTGCTGACATGTCTCTCCCCATCTGACATCTTGTAGGAGTTCTTGTCTCCCTCCTCAGTTGGCAGATTCATGACCTTTGTGTGACCTCCTGCCTCGCCTTGAAGGCTTTCCGCACTCTTTCTCAACTCAGCCTGTCCGTCACTACTGTTCCCCGAGGCATCTCTGCTCTCCTTCTCTTTACTCTCTGAAGATTTTTGCTCTTTCAGGAGACCCCGTAGCTCCACATTTTCTTCTTCAAGCCTGAGCAGCTCCTCTCTGCATTAAGGGAAATTTGATTAGTTTACTATTACATAGACTCAAAAGTGAAAGCAAGGAATACGATCTGGACACTGTTGCAGAAAAGACCCACCTAAGGTGCAAGACAGATGGGACCCCACTGTCAGTCAGAAGGGTTCTAAGTGCTATTTCATCTGTGCTCCTCTGCCCAGAATCTTCATCTGCAATGTCCAAAGTGTCTTTGCCAGACTGAGCATGCTCTCTACTCTGGCTGAGGCCACTGTTCATACTCATATTGTCCAACAGCTCTCCAGACACCACCTAAGAAGCAATAGTTTAGAAAAATGGAAATTGAGTTACATCAAATGGGAATTTACAAGGGTAAGGATATTACATTTTAGATCATACATTAAGATAATATTTATCATACCTGTCCTACTGAGATGTCTGTCTGACTCTCTTTATTTTGACCAGAATGTTGTGTCTTCCTACTTTGAGCCACATGCTGCGTCTCCTGCATCTTCTCGAGCTGCTAGAGTAATGGGATGGGAGGCGAGTATGACACAGATGGCTCCATAAAGAAAAACTTAACGAGGGAACAAAATCCATAAAACACTGCACAGCAAAAGCAGAATGGTGTGACGTGTCTAATGTGGTATGGCGAAGAGAGACCATTTCATGGGACACAAAGATAAAGAAAACACAGGGAGTGGTTAGGAAAGGTGAAGGAGAAGTAGACGAAAACTTCTACTATAGACAAAAAACACACTTGTTAGAGAGAAAGACAAACAATACCAAAGACTAGAAAGACTTTAGCAACAAGCTAGACAGAGCAAAGGTTAAGAATAAGGTTTAGGGTTTGAAAGGAGCTAATAGACTGGATGTTAGTCAATGACTAAGACATGATTCATCAAGTATTTGCTAAATGTGGACAAACTATTCCAAGATTTGTTGACAAAATGCAGAAAAGTTCAGAACATACACTTGACTTCAACACCTCAACTTTAAGTACAAATTTCTCCATTTGCGTCAGTCTTCTGTGGCCTCTAACCTGTTTCCAGGGACTACTGCTGGCCAAATCTTTGCCTCCATTGTCATAGTCTGACTTCTCCAGAGTTGATGGTCGGTTCTGTAGCTCGTGGTTTAAAGTCTGCAGTCTGCTCAGAGAGTCCTGCTGCTCCAGCACCTAAAACCATGATGTATTTTTTTTTTTTGTTCACAATATCATTGTCTTCCTGTTGAACATATTTTGTTGCTAGTCTTGCCAACCGATAAAAATCAATTATATTAATTTACTTATTGTACATTTGAAAAGTAAGTCACCTTCTGTCTGAGCTCTTGCACAGAGAGTTGAGACAAGCTGTCATCCTGCTCCTCCCCCACACAGATACTCATGTAGGAAGTCTGATCTCCGATGAAACTCAAAGTGTCGCCTAAAAAAGGGGGGGGGGGGGGTAAATGAATGTTGAGTAAAAGCCAAAACTCCAGAATAAATCTGAGTATTTTGTCCAAACTTACCACCATCATTTGCCCCACCAACACCTCCTCCACGGTTCTGTATGGCTCCTAAGCGAGCCTGCAGAGAGGCATTCCAGCGCTGTGCATCCTCCAGCTGGTGTCTCATACTCTCCAGTTCTTTGGAATCACTCAGGTCAATACCTGAAGAGATACACAGAGGGTTCCTTACAGTCATGTCTGTCATGTTAGCATTCAGTATCTCTGTTCAGGTAAGTGTTAAACTGTCAACATGTGTTTTCAATTCACATGCAGCATAGTAAGTTAATAAGGCAAGATGTTTTTGTGTAACATCCAACATTGTATAATTGAATAAATTCCTTTAATAATATATTTTCAAGAAACCAAGACTTATCCAAATAGCCAAAAAGCATGATTCTGCTTTACATTGTCCTCTTATTAAAGCATAGCTAGATTCAATGTCAATTACTTTCTAAAATATATTTGCTGGGTTTTGGGTTAGCTTGTTCCATACACAATAAATTCAAGGTAGAATCAGGAAGACTAGTGGTGGAATTTAACAGAAAGCTTCTGTGTGAAATTAAACTAGAGATCAGAAGCTACACAAAAATACATTCTCATGTATATAGTTGGAGAAATACAATCAAAAAGTTTGTGTAGACGATCACACTGTAACAGAAACAGGATGTGGAAATTTAATCAGTGGTAATTACTGAAGCTGTATCTAAATCGGATTCAGAGTGAATGTGAGCTACAGGCCTGTTACTTACAGCTGACCTATTTATACACCTGGCTCTATGCAGACGGGGGAAGAGCCGGCGCTTGACAAGCACACAAGGGGCGAGCACATAGACATGTTGACAAACACTAATGTAATTGGTCCTAGCGTATAGTGACATCTTTAATCAGTCTCAATACTACGTCCTGACTTCACATCCAAAGTACTATCTGTGCTAAATTGAATTAACTATGTGACGTAAAAGATAGCAAACGTAGCTTTTGTAATAAGATTTATTTCAGGGAAGCTGCCCTGTAGCAGGATACCGTTAGATTCTTCTGCTTCATAACAGCCCTTAATACCCTTTTTCAAAGTTGTTATATAATGAAATGCTTGTGCAATGAAATGACAGAAGGTAGGATGGGTTGAGTTAATAACCAGAGGGGTGTTATGGAATTCAACAAACAACCAAATGTTTTAATGGGACAGTCAGAACAGACAGACAGTGTGTTAAAGTGAGAAACAGAAAGATCGGCCAACAGCAGCCTTTATTTAGTTATTTTTTTAATCAAGGACAGACGAACACAGAAACAGACTGGAGACATTACATTTTCAAAGAGACAAAGACAACGATCAACTTTACTCTGGATAGAACATGCAGATGAGGAGGTGATGACGTTAAGAACAATGAACATAACGCGAAGACAGATGAGCAGTGGAAGGAGCAGGTGTGCATGCTGAATACAGTGACACATAAAAGAGGGGACATGAGCTTGTCAACAGGAGATATTATTAGAGTACACACACATGACAAAGAAGACATGTGTGTTTCTCTGGGAGCTAAGGTCTAAAATTTTCAATTCCTCAATACCACACAGTTTAAAAGGATAAAATCTCTGTTTTATAAGATAAATAGTATGGAAAAGTACCAATGAAATGTTGTTGTCATGGTATAAAAACAGGTACTGATATTGTTTAATTTTTACAAGAATAGTAATAGTAATAGTAATAGTTAAACTTTGGTATGGTGACAACCGTACTCTGTGCTTTAAATGAAAGTCTACCTGAGCTGTTGTTTCCTAACTTCCCTAACAACTGAACTGATAAACATTCCTTTTTATTTTCCCCTTTTCATTATTTTCTTTAATGCAGTTCCCACCATCTTATACCACCGCGTGTGATTGCACTGCACCTTCTCTGAGTTTGGCCTTGTGTATCTCTCTCTCCAAGTCCTCCCTTAGCTCCTCGTTAGTTTTGATGCTTTCCTCCAGCTGCTGCCTGAGTAGCTGCACAGCTGTCAACTCCAGCTGCAGAGCATGGAGACGCTGAGCACTGCAAAACATACACAGATTCATACAAAGTAATTAAAAAAACAAGTAACCAAATCAAGTTTATCTGAATTTGTTTCTAGTTTTGACAGAGTGATCATTATCCCTCACCTGTCCTGTTCCTTTACAGTCCTGACCAGGCTAGAGTAGAGCTGTTGTTCAGCTCTCAGGGCTTTGTTCAGGGCATTATGCTCCTGTTGCAGTGCTATGAGGTTGGGGAAAGCCTTTGGGGAAACAGAAATGATAAAGGGAGTGGTCTAAATGTCCAATTTAGTTTTAAATGTGTTGTTTTAGGTATTTTATTCAGAAGAAAAGGTTTACTTCTTGCTGGCTGTCTCCACCAATCATGGTTCTCTCTCTCTGGGGGAGGCCTGGGAGAGATCTCTCCATACCAGAGCCGATGACCTGAACTTGAGTATGATCAGCTTGGCTGTCCCCCCTCTGACCAAGGCGTTGGTGGAGAACCTGCACAGAGGCATTTAACAAAACTTAAAAACTGTTGAGTTCAGGTCGAGGAGCAAAGTCAGTAGAAAAGCTTCTTATTGACAGCTGTTGTGTACTTTTTCCAGCATAAGATCTTGACTTTGTTAATGGGTGAAGCCTTACATTGATGATCTCATCCTTGGTCTTCAGAGTTGAAGTCAGGGATTCAATATTAGCAGCCTGACCTTCATTGCAACCATCTCGCTCAGATAGCAAAGACTGTAGCTCAGCCAAGGATATCTAGATTTAAAGAAAATGGAGTTGAGGATCACCAAAAATAACATGTTTGTAAGAGAAGTTATAATTGACAAAGTAAGTTGGGTAAAATGAACTGACCTTTAGCTCATTCTCCCTCTTAAGTGCTTTGTTCAGTGCCTCAGTTTTCTGTGCCAGTTCTTTCTTCAGGACAACAACTGTTTTCTTTGGGAGATGAATGTTCTCCGCGTTGTCCTCACTGTTCCTTCTGGACAGCTCAGCTTCAATGTGGACAAAACAGAATCAAAAGTAGGACCATCATGTAATTTAAGTTTCCAATTTCTAGTGAGATGGTATGGGTCTTAATGCCTCACCTTCCTTCTCGACCAACTTCTCCTGCATGATCTGAATAGTTTGTCTGAGCTCCAACACATGATCTGGCTCCTCCTTCTGCCTCATCTCTGCCAGATACTGATCCCTCTCCTGACCACGCTGCAGCAGCTTCTGCAAAGTTACAAACACAAACACGGACTGAAAAAAAATTGTTTGGAAATCAAAGATTATCATATGAAGTGAAAATGTTAAGAGGAGTATCATTAGTATTGTTCCCCTGGGGACTTCTGACTTCCTTCCCTTGTTAGGCTATTAAGTCGAGTACATTTTACAGCTGACTGACTGTGCAACTTACATTGATGAGGCTGTCTTTGTCAGCGAGCAGGGCTTTGAGCTCTGCAGTCTCCAAATTACTCTCCTGGGCTGTTGTGGAGGTTTGCCTCTCAGCAGTGGCAAGCTGCTGCTGACTGTCAGACAGCTTCTTTCTTAGTTCCTGAATCTCTTGTGTACGCTCAGACAGCATGCGGTTGTAATGCTCTGCAGACTCCTGGGAAGACAAAGTACAGATTAAATAACAAGAGATACTGATGTTTGCAGTTTGACTAAAGTTTTTAAATTAATTGACTCTCTGAACCTTATTACCAATAGCAAAAACTTCCATTATATCCTGGTTGACCAGTAGAAAATCTGTGCCAGCCATTAGGTAATGTCTTCAGTGTTGTTGGGCATCTATTAACCCTGATTTACAGCAATGTTGATGTTACTGAGTGGCAGCATGTAAAAGCTAAAAAGTAAAGGACCTACAATTGAGCCCTGAGGAACACCTCTGTATATTTATGGCTTTTAGACAAAAAAATCCTCCATGACAATAAAAGTTCTTATTCTGTAGTTAAGATCTGAACCAATAAACAGTACCTAAAATGCTAACCTAATGTTGAAAACTACCTATAAAACATTTAATTTTCTCTTACTATTTGTTGCTACGAATACTGAGTTTTCTGGGTTAATCCCTGATATCACTCTACATATTTCACAATTATATGTTAACCTTGAGGAGTTTGTCCTTGCTGTTGATTGTAGCCAACAGTCCCTCCACAGCACTCTCATTGTCAGCAATTAGTCTTTCTCTGGCCTTCTGAGCCTCTGCCAGCATAGCCTCTGTGACCTTCAACCTCTGGCCCATCTGTTCGGCAAGGTCATGTGCATGAGTCTGTGACTGGCTTAGCATTGAGTTAGCCATTTCCTACAAAGAAGAGTGGCAGACTTAAACAACTGAAAACAACATAACAAATTATGTGTTGTATATTTGTGTATGCTTTTAAGCTAACCTCCATATCTTTCGTCTTGCCCTCCAGGGAGAGCTGTAGTTGGCTGATGATGGAGTCTTTCTCCCTCAGAGATCTGTTCAGGTTATCTTCTACATCTTGCTTAGATCTCTGCAGGTTCTTCAGGGTGTTTGCAAGATGCTGCAGCTCTACATCTTTCTCCTTGATCAAACTGTCAAAACTCTAAAAAATAAAAGGGGCAGAGACATGCATTTATAACTCATTTCTGGAAAATGAACATTTCTGGCACCAGTCTCAGATATATCCACAATGGACAGTCATAACTACTTACATTAATGGTTTCCTCGTTATGAGAGAGTAAATTATTGAGCCTTTCCAGGTCTCTTTCTTTCTCCCTTAGAGACAGCTGCAGCTGGTGTATCTCATTGTCTTTCTCCTCAATGGCAGCAAACTTCTCATCGAGCGCTTGCTGTTAAAGAGAGTAAACATAAGACTGTCAGACTTAAATTATAGTCACTGTGGTGAGAAGATTACATAGAAGGAATGCCCACCTCCAGAGCCTTCTCCTTCTCTTTCAGCCTTTGGCGCAGCTTGGAAAGCACATTATCGTTTCCTTCCATGCTTTTGCTTTGTTCAAGATCTCTGACCATGTTTATGTACTCCTGGTGAACACAGAGAAGAGAATGTTAAAACTGAAACAAAAGTTATATATTTTGGTCTAGAATCTGTCAGTAAATGTTAATATATTATTGTCACCTGTAACTGCTGCTCTTTATCAGCCAGGGTGGATGTTAGCCGCTGGATTGTGCATTCATGGGACTGTAGTTTTCTTTTTGTTTGATCCAGCAGCTCCTCGTACTGCTGCTCCAGTGCACTCTCTCTTACCCCAATTTCTCCACTTAGTTTTTTGAGATGATTATTTAGATCCTGGAGGGAGGAATGATTATTCCGTCAAACAAAGCCAGAATTTGAATTGTAAAAGATAACAGACAAGAGGATCTTAAAGATAATAATGACATTTAGGAAATGTGTACTGGACAATCACTGTCCTCAAGGAGTCTTACATTGAGGGCTTTGTCACCCTTCTTCTTCTGCTGCTGCATTTCCTCCAGTTCCACCTCCAGCTGCTCCTTTGCCTGCTGCAAGTCAGTCAGCTCCTGATCCTTTCTGTCCAGGCCACGCTGAAGCTTCTGGGATTCAAGCACCTTGGCATGATGTTCAGCCTGAAGTTGGGCCAGTTCGGTTTGTTTTTCCATTAAAAGATTCTGGTGCTCCTCTGCTCCCTGAGGGACATGCGGAAGAATTGCATTAGCTTTTTCTTTAGAGTTGTGTTAATCTTTAGTTATACTTCTGTCAATGCACAGAGCATTTAGCAATTAACATAACTGTTATCATGTAAGGTAAATTCTATAAAGTCTGGCTCTCTTGAAACAGGTGCAGGACTCGCCTGGTATTTCTGCAGCTGGGCTTTATGTGCTGCCTCTCTTGCCTTGGCCAAAGCATCATCCCTGTCCTCAATGTCATGACACAACTCAGCTATCTGTATAATACACAGGAAAAGACAGACATATTGTTGTTAAGAGTGTTTCATAATACAGAATTAGTGATACAGAAAGAAAGGTGATGTCTTGTGATCAGCACAATAAATAGACGTGTCAGTAACAGTATGAACATTACCTCTTTCTCCTTCTCTCTAAGAACCTGAGTGAGTCCCTGGATCGTTTTGTCTCGTTTCAGAGCATTTTTCTTCTCAGAGTTTAGTTCATTCTCCTTGTCCTCCAACTTTCCTAACATGTTCTGTTGACAAGGGCAGTGATCTTAAACAAAGAAACCTCTCAATCTATTTAAATAAGTAAATTGTCATCCTCTTGTACCTTGTTTTGATTCTGGGCTTCCTCCAATGTTTTGCTCAGGTTCTCAATTGTGCTTTTTGCTTGGGTGATCTCTTCAGTCAGGAGTGTTTTAGAAGACTCCAATCGGCTAAAGTCATTCTGCTTCTGTAAAAATTAAACAAAGAAAGGAATACATTTATTAACACTAGCAATGTTAAGCAGCAAAGCTGGCATCTATCTATCTGGCAGCTTATTACTAATGCTATAACATTTTACTAAAGTGTAACTTCTTAAAAGAACTACCTTCACTCTGACAGGAGTGAACTGATCATCAAACTCCTCTGTAAGGTCATGCAGAGACTTCCACTTTGCCTCTTTTAATCTACGTTTGACCCTGAGGTTGAGAGAACCAGCATTTAGCCTCTTCAAGACAGGGATTTGGCTCCCTGGTGGAGCAGAGACTTGTTGTCTTGGGATGCAGCGTAGGAGCTGGATCAGATCAGAGATCACAGAAGGCTGGCTTGAGGAGCGGCGGAGCAATGCTCTGGCCTGAACCTTTCCTCCTGGCTCATCAGAGACACCCTGCCTGGGAACACACGGCTTGGACTCTCTGAGTTTTGATTTGGGTGGAGGGTCTGGAGAAGTGTCAAAGGAAAAGTCTCTATTGAGGCACTGCAGGGATGTAGAGCGACCTTTGATTCCAGGTCTAGGAAGTGTTCCCTTACGTTGGACCAGGTCGAGGTACAAGCTCTGGGAACATTGTCGTGTTCCTCGGAGCCCAAAGCTCTTAATAGAACCATCGGGCCAGGCTGCTGATCCCACCCTGCTCCTCCTGAGGCTTGAGCGCGCCCCTTTACTTACAATCCGATCAAGACTCACACACCTTCTAATTTGAATCTCTGAGTGGCCACTTCCACCCTCCTTGAACTGTTGTATTTCAGAGGCTAAGTGACACAAAACCTCATCTTCAGGACTGTCCACCCCAGAAGACCTGAGCAGGGTCTTGCAGCTGGTGCTCTCTAACTCACTTCTGGCCAGCTGTGGGTTGTTTTTTCTGTAAATGTGGATGATGCACTGAATAAGGTGTTCTTTCTCCGCTTGCAGCTTCTGGCTCTGACTGTTGTATTTATCCTGCAGCTGGCTGATGTTAACATCACATGTTACCACCTTCTCCAACTGGAACACACACTTTCCACAGAGGAACTCTCCACGGCCATCACGAGTCACCTCCCAGCCCAGAACATGAGACAAGACCACATGTAGCTTTCTTTTTGCTGATGAGCTGAAGATCCAGCGACACTGGCTTCCCACCAAACGGACACCACATATCCGGCATGGGTCCCTCATGGTGCTCTTCGGTCTTCAACACTCACCCACTTTTAACGAGTCCAATAGTTCTCAATCTGACGCATAAACTGTCCAGAGACCTTATGATCACAATCATGCCAACCATGGAAGAGCCCTCTATCATTTCCTCTTACTGCTTCAGGGAGAGCAGAGAGGAAAGTGACTGAGTGCAGAGCACTATAAGCCTTAATCCTTTGATAATCCCTGCTCCCGCCTCTATTCGCCTCTCCCACATATTCAATCAGATCAAATCCTCTAGGACGGCCACAGGGATCAGCATTGTGGCCATTGCCAGACCATACCTAGAAAATCTCCCACCAGATGCACTGAGAGGGACTTCAGGTATGACACTCAGCCCCATACAGGTGCTTCTCCAGGGGACCTATGAAGATGGCAGTATCCAGCACTAAATGAAACTCCATAGACTCCTTCCTGCCTGGCATTACATTAAAAACCTGCTTTAAGACCAGAGAAGGTGTAATCTTGGCAATCAGAGCTGTCACAAATTCCATTACACCTCCTTCAAAGTCCTTTCAAACCCAAAAGCATCACTGGTACAACCAAAAAAATATATTAATCCAAACTTTTAAAATACAGCCCCTTCATTAATTTACCTATATCTTTAAACAGACAGATTACAGCCCCTGTTTTATCTTTGATATAGGATAGACATAAATAACATCCAAAGGAACTGTCTCCAGACAACTCTATAATCCAGTCTTAACACTGTGACCTGAGTCCAGACGCCAAGAACCTGATGAGGAAAGCTGGGAGACTGCCAAACTAAGCTTTCAGCACTCAACGTCACAGTACCTTAACCTGTCGCCTGGTTAATGGTGTAAAAAACACTTTTAAACTTCTTTGCATTATGCCTAAAGAGTGGACCTTTTCAAGTTTTCTAAACTGTGAAAAAGTAAGATATCTTGATTGTTTAATTACCATCAAACATTTAAATACATCAAATATGCCCAATAAACAATGTCATGAAATTTGTTATAACATGCAGGATTCAAACCCACAGAATGCAGAAAACAGAGAAGACAGAAAAGAGAATAATTCAGAGAAGTCGTCCAGTACTGGTTCACTTTCACCTTTAAACTCCTTTATACATCAATTAAAGGATTAAGGGACAGAGATAACTTACCAGGGTTACACACATCAAGCTTATGTATCAGGAACTAAACAGGCTGAGTCTATCTGAAGTTAAGATGAGAAGTCTATAAAAGACTGTGCTAGCAAATAGTGCAATTCTTAAGAATAAAGTTTTATACATAAAATCATTCAATCAATCAAGATTTTTCGTGATTTTATTGTGTACAGTATAACATCAATAAGAGATTCATAGAATCTGTAGAAATCTTTTTACGCAGTGGTAAGGACAAAAACCATTATAGGGTAGCCATGATCTTTGGGTCCTCACCTGCCCCTGCATTAAAAACAAACACAATTCTGTAGTGTACAGCACTGCATGGGCCCAGCAACACGTTCAATAACCATTGTCATTCAACACAGTTCATCGCTGTGTCCACAAATGCAAGTTTCAAGCTATTCAACACTCTTAACAACCAAATCCAGAAGCACATCGACCTTCTTTGGGTCCAAGCTCATTTAAGATGGACTGAGGAAAAGGTAAAAACTGTGCTGAGGTCTGACAAAATTTGATTCTCTGTTTGGAAATCCCTGTTCTCTGGGCTAGAAGGGAGGGACCATCTGGCTTGTTATTAGTGGACACGGCACAGTTCAAAAGCCAGCATCCTTAATGGTTTAGGGATCTATTAGTGCACATGGCATAACTTGCACATTTGTGAAGGCACCAATAATGTCCAACGATAAACACAGGTTTTTAGAGCAACATATGCTCCCAAATAGATACATTCTTTTTCAGGGAAGGCCTTGCAGCAAGACAATGCCAAACCACATGCTGGACAACATTGGTGCCCAGCAAAGCAGCCTCACCGGCCTGTACAAAAAAACATGTTCAGAAAAAGGCTAAATCCATCCTGTCAGTCAGTGCTCACCCCCTTCACTTTGAATTTCAGTTACTTCTTTCTGGTTCTCGGTTCAGATTTCCTTAAATCCAACAGATACAGGCACTCTTTTGCCCCCGCTGCCATTTCCCTCCTTAAATCAATTCAGGGAAGGAGATAGTTGTGTTGGTAATGCTGTTGGTACCAATGATGCTGATGATATTGTTGTAGTTCAGTTTGTATCTCACTTTGGCTATGTTGCTTTTGTATGTTTCTTTTGTAAACATTGTCAGCAGTTACTCTCACATGTATGTAGGCTATGTTGGAATGTGCACTTTTGAATCTTATTACCACTAATGAATATTTAACAGTGACCTGTTTATATTCTTCTTTACGCAGCACTTTATTCTGTGTGTAATAGAAGCTGCTAAGATCATCAATCAAGGATAACTGTCATTTCACCAAGTCTGCTTTATTCAGTGCCTCTTACATTTGACCATGTTGGCTTTGTCAATGTATTTTGACTTTTGTCTTTTTTTCTGTACTGTTATGCCTTGCCCCAAAACAGCATTTAAAATTGCAATATTTTGCCTGGCATACAGTAAAATAATATATTGAATCATACCCTACAGCCCTACTTCAAACTCACTTATACTCTGTGTAGTAATCAGGATGTAAGCTTCTTATTGTCAAAAGACCAGATATAACCACAACAAACAACAGAGTACCCAGCATCACTACTTTACTGAAACAGGAAGCAAACATAAAACCTCACCTGGAGGCACACAGAGGAAAAAGGCAAGCCATAAAACATGCCATAGAACATTTCCTGTGCTTGAACAGAACAACATTGAAAGTCGTCTGAAGTCATAAGTGCCTGCTGTGTGTGCACCGCAAAGAACATAGCCTGTGTGCATCATCAGCCTGTGAGTGTTTGAATGACTTGACACATTAGTGCACCGTTCAATGAGCTGGCTTTTGGTTTGAGGCTAGTCTGCTGCTGAAAACAAAAAAATAATGACGTAACAATGATTGACGTAAAAAATATTCAAGTTGTCAGAATAAAAAAAAAAATGGCTACGTGGAAGTAATTGGAAAAAAAAATGAGTCTACGTACTCAGCCTGAAGCCTTGCAATGTTTTGTATTCATTTTAAGACACCAAACAAAGAGAAAAACAGAAATCCTGAAACACCAACCTGATGATCTGGAGCGGCTTGGTCATTCTCTTTTTGTAGCTTGTTCCTTAGTGCCTGGAAAAAGGATAGTCAAAGGTCACTCAAATGTCTTTTCATATTGCAAGTAGTGCTGGAAATATTTTTTTTTGCTACATCTTCATAAAATAGATATCTTAAGTGACATGTGAAGGACATACCTCGAGCTCCTGATCTTTCTGGGTGATGAGATCAGACAGCTGTTTGACATAGTCGGCTGATGGAGCATCTCTCTCTTGCTCAGCAATTTTCTTCTGCTGGATGACAGCTTCCTGGTTCTTTACAGTGTTTGTGAGCTGCTCGATGATACTGGAGTGAGTAAATAAAATAAAAAGAGCATTGGAAATGTTAGGACCTCAGGGCAGGTAAAAACTGAAAACACATGAATGTGTCTCATGTTCCTACTTGTCTTTCTCCTGCAGGGCTTGCTGCAGGTCTTGAGATGGGCTGGCGACGGGGGTAAAGGTGCTTGGTGGACCTCGGAGCTGCCTCTCCATGTTGATATTCTTAAGCTTCTCCTGCTCAGCGATAGCTGCCATCTTCTCAACCTCTTCCTCTGCTGTTCGCAGACACTGACGTGAGGCAAAAAGGACATGTGAGACAACTACCTAAGCAACTGTTCCAAATCCAAATATGACTATTATGACTGTCATTATTTTATTGTACTGCATACCAGATAAATATTCCATAAAAAGGAACGTAATTATCAGATTTTTTAAGAGCAAGAGACAGAACTTTACAGGAGATGAAACAGAAAGTTACTGGGCTCATAGAGTTTTGAAAACCTGTGTGGAGTAACAAGAATTTGGAGAGTATCTTTTGTTTATGTAAACACAACTAATGAAAAAACTAGAAAACCTTTGACTTACCTCTTCTAGGTCAGCTATCCTCTTGCTGAATGCATCACGTAATGCGCCCATGTCTCTCTGAGCTTGCTCTCTCACACGCTGAGGTTCTCCTGATTCCCGACCCGCCAGACTCTCCAACGCTTTCCTGGAGAAAATTTAGTTATGTGCTATTTAACCTCATTGTCAATAAGGATCTTGGTTTGTGCCAGAAATCTTAACGTGACACCAAACGAGAATTTTACAAACACTATAACTCTGAAATGTGGGACTGTCTGTGATACTCACGATGCAGACACGAGAAGCTCCTGTTTCTCTGCCAGCTCTCTCTTCATTGACTCCAACTCTACCTTCAGCTCAATGTTCTACAAACAGACCACATTAAGTTCACTATAGCACAAATTACATATCTGGAGTAACCACAAAGTCACTGGCAAAAACAATGAGAAAGAGATTATTAGAGTATGTTTTTTGACAACTGTATTGTTAATATGTGACTAATTGAATCTTAGGCTTTTCTTGGGACGTGTGCCCAAAGATAACATTCTTTTATGGCACCCCGTTTTTCATGATGGAAAACAAAAGCCAAGCAGCCCTAATGAGACCAAGAGATTCCATTACTCTTACATCTTACTCAGAAAAGGGGAAAAAAAGAACAATGAAAAGGCGAGACAGCTGTTTAGAGATCATGATTTTGGTTGAATAAGATCCAGCTGTTGGCTGAAGCTGTGATCTTTGTGATCTCAGTAAGTCCCGGTAGGAAACGCTGAGTCTCATGTAGTATTAGAACACTGAAGGGTCCAAATAAATGTACGGCATAGACATGGAGGCCAAGAGAAATGTTGTAACTAAAGATAATACAATACCGTTTTGAAAATGTCCTCAGTGGAGTCGTCACATTTCTGCTGCATGCGCTCCTCCATGAAGTAAATGCGCAGCTTCAGGTTGAAGTTCTCTTTCTTCAGAGCTGTGATTTGCTGCAAATGATTGAGAAAAGATTTTATTACACAGGATAATAATTTTAAAAAAAACTAACATTTGAATTACGTCTAGCCTCTGATTACATTCACTTGACTTGAGTTCAATGAAAACTGAAAACTGCAGTTTGTCTCTGGGAAAACCAGGACAACGTGTTTATATAACTGAAAAGGAGCATGTGTATGGTTAAAATGAAGGGAGGCCTTCATGCTTGTGTGTGAAGTAGACTGTGCATCATTGTGCTGCAGGCTCACAGCGTCATACATCTGGTAATGGGGGGTTGGGTAGATGTCAAAGGGAGGAGGTAGAAGTCTGGAGTCTCCAAAAAAAAAAAAAAAAAAAACTAATCATGCAGCCAGGCGGTCAGCATGAGCCAAAAAGATTTGAGCAAGCATTCCACACAAATGCTGAAATATAGACTTCAGGCTATCTATCCTCCTACACACACACCTCATCACTAAATCTCCATAAATGGTCAGTGAGGCTTGGTTTTTGTCAAACTGAGGATAAGGTTTAATAAATTTTAATAGTGTTGGGCTAAACTTCATTACATGATCTCATACTCAAAAGCTCTGTGTTTCAGTTTATTAAGAATTAATTTAATTACTGAACAAAATGATCATGGTTTGGCTTCCAAAAGACACTACATAACTGATCACGACTGAAATTTAAGAATCATCACATTCTTTGACTCACGTTCTCATAGTCCTTCATTGTGAGGGCTTTGATTGGGGACATCTTCTCAGGGAAGGATGGAGCTGTAAAACAAAAAAGTGATTCACTCATTTTACTCCAAAATCTCAACAGAGCAGATGATCTTTCCCTCCTAACAAGAACGACTCCCTGCTTTCAAGAATCTGTTCATCTTGGAGACAGAAAGAGAAAGCAGTCATGTTTGTCACTGCAAAGGCATCAGAGGTGAGAAGGTTTCTGGCGCGCTTCCCTGTTCAGACCGGTCCAAAGCTGCCTACACACACAGCTGATCATGTAACACTCGTCAACAAAATATTTCACAACTCCGACTCCTGATTCATAGTTTGACAGCGTTATGAGAAGTGCTCCATCGCCTGTCAAGCTTGTTTATTTACCTTCTCTCCTTCAAAATCAGAGTTATTGCTTTTGTACTTGTGGTGTTTAGACTATACTGACGTACTTAATGTGAACATAAACCAAAAGCAATAAAGACTAGATGCCTTGACTTAATTATCTTAAATCTTTTATCTAGTTGACATACAATTGAGGAGAACATAGAGGCAAACAAAAGTGAGGGTTAAGTAGCAAACAGCTGCAGGAGCTGCTGTCATCACAGGGTTGAATTATACCAGTTTCATCTAATCGCTACAATTAAAGCATAATTCTGTTTGTTTTTTGCATGCATGATCAGTTTGATTTTGATCAATTTGTATTTTGATCATTGGCTTCATCACAGATCTAAAGATATTACGGAGAGATAAGCTTAAATAGGTTTCATTTTCTTATCCAGGCATTAGAGTTGTGGCAGCACAACTCATAAGAGTAAGACAACTGAAACAAACATATCTTATGCGCTACAGGCACCATTAAGGTTGGATATAAACTAAAATATTTGCTACTCCTGTCAATATGATACACAAGTTTTAGCATGTGTATCCAAATTATCATTTCTTTGTTCTGTGGAATAGAAACATGATGTTTGTTGTAGATTGTATTACACAACACATTGCTTCTATTCTTCTCTGATATTAAACATTTCGGATATTAGAATAACTTTACATTTGAACATGACTACTGTCACAATAATGCAACTTGCTTAGATGACTTTTGTCCACATGATCTACTTGACAAACAGCCACAGATGCTGACCTATGTCTATAATTGTTTACTGCTTGCATTTGTTGTTCTAGCCCTGCGTATATTGTTGGCACACCACAAGAGCCTGACAATAAATAACAAAGAGGATTAGCTAATTAACAACATCCAGCTAATCCCTCATCACAGCTTTGGAGACACAACTGTGGGAGGTCACAGCAACGATTCAGCAGTGGTGTTAATTAATACACAGGGGAAGGGATCCAACCTGAGCATGAAGAAAAAGAAGCAGAAGAGACAGCAATAAGAAGTCTTACCTGTCATGCTGTCTGTTGAAAAATCTCCAGCATTTATGGAGTCCGGCAGTCTGCAGCTGGGGAAAAAAGCATTTTGTTAGCAACAAAATATATAGAAAAGGGATCCAGTTCTATTGTATTGAACTAAGCCAGTTCAAATTTCTAGTACCACTGGAACCAAAGCAAACTCTGCCCTCTGTCTTTGCTCGTCCTACACACATACACTGATTTTCATAGCATGAACAACACAAATGTGCCGTGTTTATGTATTACTCACGCTGGCCAGATCCACTGAGCCTGAAGAACGCTCCATAAATAGCTTAAGAATGACTCTCTGCTTCATTTACATCCACTCAGGCAGAAAGACTGTCAGTGTGTGTGTGTGTGTGTGTGTGTGTGTGTGTGTGTGTGTGTGCGTGTGTGTGTGTGTGTGCGTGCGTGCATGCGTGTGGGACCATGTGCCAGTGGCAGCCTAGCTCTCATGTTCAGACAGACAGGAGGAGAGAGAAACAGAGAGAGCAGTGCATGGGGAGGGCTTGCTTTCGTTGACAAGTGGACTACTGTGGCCACCGATCAGCAAAGCATCACACAGAGATGGGACAGAGGTGGCACTCACAGACACTACACAATGCACCAAACATCAGCATCACACATCTGGATCATACCAATAATATAAAAGGGACCGGGGTTACACTAACACTTGCATATGTAGTAAAGCTGTTTACTAAGCTTAAAAGCAAATTTCTCATGACAGATGTGATTTAAGAGGGGGAATTAATGCATGAAAAACATGAACTACTTGCTCCAAGCTCTTGTGAACCTTGACCCTTGTGTCTGATGCTATATATTTTTCAGCATTGCATAACAACCTCCCATACTTCCTCAGGCAGTGGAAGCACAGCCACTCTGGATGCTTCTCTGTATTTTTCTCAATAAAGATCAAGCACGAAACACTTAGTATTTCATTTCTACATAATAATTAATATTGTATTATCTAGTAGATAAATCTCAGCAGAGTATGCTCTAATTTATGATGATAAGGGATGGGACAAAATATCATGTTGCAAAATATCGTGAGATACATTTATCGTATCGCTGGTGCCAATTATCTATATATGCTGTATATTTTTTTTATATGGTGCTCGACACAAACGTTCCTGATCATTTTACTCAGCACTTCATGACTCTTCATGGTGGCACTTATGACATTAAAGAAGATTACAAGAACCAAAGTTAATTGGCCGAATAAGAAAACCACAGCAGGATAATGTCTGAGAGTGGTGAAAAGAAGTAAAGAGATGAAACTGACACCAAATTGTGGTGAATTAATGCATTAATCCTGCTTTGTAATTTGTAATGGACATTTTGTATCCTTCAGTTAAACAAACCATATCAAATATAATGATGTATCATTATATGATTGTCTTGCAATATATCAGTTACCGCAGAATCACTGTATTGTGATACAATCATTATTGTGGACCACATACTGTGTGTATTGTATCATATAAATTGTAAGTTACTCTGTGATTTCCAACCCATAATTGAGACATTATAAAACGATAAAGTAATACTGGAGGAGAAGGTCCATACAGAAGTTATTACTGGGAATTTTTTGTTGTTTTTCATATCACTTGAGATTTTTTTCAAACACCAACATTTATATCTGAGCTACACAATTAACAAAACATACTGTAATCAAACTGAAAATATGGCCAAGCACCATCTAATCCCAAAAGCTGCAATTTCATTCAAATGGACATTTGTGACAAAACCGCTGAATGACTTAAAGAAGTTCTGTAGTGATGCACTCACTGGTGTATAAATCTCGTCCTTCCAGTAAAAACAAGTTTATTTGGTCCAAAGCCAATACAGATGTTATCTAATCATGATTTGAATACTTTTGTGTGTGAAAAAAAAAATTGTTATGCAGCAATCCTCATTCCTACTTATCTTTAATCCTCTACCAAATAAACATGTGTTTTTTTTTTATATTGTGAAGCCATAAAAGTCTTTGGTGATTTATATTTTGGTAAAATGTAATTACTATTTTAAATTAGATGAGATAGAGAATATGACTCTCCATTCATTTCTCAGTAACATTTGATTTCCATGCTCTCTGTGATCCTGGGAGCTCTGAACATTTTTGCTTGACATACACTTCAATTATATCTTCCACAGGCTTTACCAAAGAAAAAACACTGCTCTTCCCCAACTTTATTTTGCTCAGACAGCCATCACTACAAAGTTAACCTACATGAAGCAAAGTAACAGTTCTCTGCAGAAAGAAGCTCTAAAATAAAACCACTCTCTCAACAATGATTTGTTGAAATTAGCTTACACTCACTGGCAGAAATGAACAACAAAAAAGATTATTACATGTCACTGTGAGGATTTTAAAATAAGGCCATGAAGAGTATGAGCAAAGAGACTACAATGATCCTCCACAAAACACTAAAAGTCAGTGAAAATGTGTTGACAACTGTTGCATCACTGAGGTTTCACATGCCAAGCAACCCCTTCCTGTGTTAATAGCGACGAAGCACTTGAAAACAAGAGACGTGATAAGAAGAACACGTTACACAACAATTGAAACATTTCCCATAGAAACAAACACAAATTAACCTCTTGTAAAAACAGATGAATTCCTAACAAAATCTGTGTCGGTGATATTCACACTGTTTTTTTTTTTTTTTACAATGCTGCATAGTTACCCCTCCAGCACAGTGGAAACAATGTTAAGAGTCTGTAAACAGTGACTTCCTCTTTTCTTCTCATTTTGTTCAGCTGCTCGTCACAAATATGAAAACAGCTCAGCTCACACGAATACCTCGAACAGGAATACATACAATACAGCAAATACTTCAGCAACTTAAGAGCGTGCAATGTCATCGTTTTGAAACTATAAACAGTCAACTGCATCAGGTTTCAGAATTACCCAAGAAGTAATACACACCAAACATATCAGCTATCGTCTTCCATTACTGAGGCACGCTTACCACCTGTATGACAGCCCTAATGCAGACAGAACACAGCTGAGCCAAGTAGTTGAAGAACAAGGAGACAACAAAACGAAAACAAATGATGCTAAACTCACTTCCCAGTTGAGTACAATGAAGCTACAAACTAGAAAAGCACTAAAGAGTAGAGCTAACAATGTGCAGTTCACCTACCACATTCAAATACTTTCACTTCTTGGAGGGCACAAGGGGGAAAAAAAAAACCATGTTAACTCCACATTATGCTCCACATTGTGCAGGGAGACGTCGCTTCTTCAGTCGGTCTGAAGCCCGCTGAAAGCTGGCTCTGATAATTTCCGCTTTCTTTCTCTCACTGAATGACAGGTCAACAAGCCAACCTACCGACCGCAGTGATATCACAGCAACATCCAATGAGCTGAATATGATTTATAACGGAATCTGAGTGACCTTCTTTCTTTCTTTCTTTCTGCATCGATGAGTCCACTGGCCCCTTTTTTTTTTAGTCTGGCAGTGAAGAGTGAGGTCATTTTGGTTTTAGTCCCCCAAACTTAAAGACTTAATCTTAAATCTGTGGATCAACTCAAACTGGCATCACTTAAGATGATTCTTCTCTGTGTTGCTGAGTGTATAAAAAAAAAGCACAGGTTGAGCACAAAATGAACGCACAGTACCATGCATTGGCACATTATTATTATTATTATTATAATAAAGATTGCTTATGTAGGTAGAATATGATTCTGTAGTCAAAGGGCGACACATCTATAAGACGTTAACTAACAACAAGGGAATGTTAGTTTTACACAAATAAATGAAGCATTAAAAAATGATATATACATGGCCAGCTACTTTAAAAAATGATATATACATATCCAGCTACATGTTATTTGAACAATATGTTGGATGGATAAGTCTGAACATTCAAATGTCAATGACCTACTAACCTACCACAGGAAAAGTAAGCAAGAATTATATCTTATATTACTTTTCACGTCACTTAAACTATTCATATATGTTAATGCATTGTTTAGTTAGCGAATGGTGGTACAGTGAATAGATATAAATTAAGCTTTTAACATCATAACAAGTAAAGTACTGTGTGTTGATCCAGGCAGTAGTCAGTGTCAGAGTGGTGCTGGATAAATGCTGGAGTCGGATTAGTGTTGCTGCTCTAACGTACGAGCTAGCTGTAGCTCACTAGCCCGTTAGTGGGTTTTTTTTTTTTACCTTCCGTTGATGTCCACGGGCAGCGTCAAATCGTCCCCCACGACGGAGTCCATGATAATAATCAGGCTATTCTATGTTCTCACTAAATTAAAATACATTTCGCTGTCTAGACGTTGTGTAAACTTCTCCAAGACGGAATTCAAAATAGTCCAAGCTACCGCCATCGCGATAGGGTAAACGTCACCATTGTGCACGTTGAAAACTGATGATGCCTTCAGGGACGTGCGGGAAACATTTGAACTTTGGTGCAGGAACCTCGCGGTAAATGCCTTAAAAAAAAAATTCTTGTGACTTTGTAAAGTCACGATAGCACAGTGTTTGTTGTATGGTTATTTTTTTAGCCAAGTCTCTGTGCTTCTTAAGTATGATGCCTCCGTATGAGTTTATTCTTTAAAAAAATTCGAGTATGTCAAATGCAGCACACAACTGGGTGGATACTGCAACAAAGCGATTGGCCAAAACAACTATTTTAGGGAGGTACATAGAAACTTAAAAATAGGATATATCCAGAGTCTTCTCTTTCTCTCTTTCTTTCTCTCTCTCTTTCTCTCTCTCTCTCTTTTCGCCTACTTGAGTGATTTTTTGACTGAAACTTAATCAGTGTCATTTCTTGTTTGCGTCCTAGGTAATTAAAGGATTGGCATACACGTAATTCGCATGGATTTCGAAAGTGTGGTGGGTGTGTTGCATTTTTAGTTTATTGCTTTAGGGGACTAATGAATACGTTTAGGCATTTAGTCTGCAGTAATATTAGGGTACTTCTATCCCAGAGTGTTATCACCATTCCCTAAATTCATGAACGGACGTCTATAGGCAACGTTTCCACATGTATCCACACAGCAGCGGCGACATCTAGAGTTGCATCCCCATATTTCAGCCAGTTATACAGTAAGTAGTCTACTAGGTCATTTTGAGACAGACAAAAGGCTAGTGTGATGCACCAAGGTCTAATTAAAACATGGGATATGCGTCAGGCTTTTTATAAAAGGGATCATGTTAGTATTAGGCTTTTAACCAGGTCTAACGTCCAATGTATAGTTCAGTATGAAGACTGCAGACTACAGCACTGATTACATAGGCCTAAATCTATTTCAAAAATTGACCATCAAAATGTTGAGATTCGGAATGCATACATAAAACGACTTGACGAGTGTAACTCAATTTCCAGCTTAAAATACAACATTTAATAAAGTTGTAATTAAACATATTTAAATATGTAAAAGCTTATAGTGATTTTGTTAGTATATCAAAGGATTGGGGTATTTGTAGGCTATTTGTTCTTTTTTCTCTTTTACAGTGTTTGTATTTGAAGCTGTAACTACCACGTGAAATAATTTAATAAAAAAAATAAAAAATTCCAGCTGTTTTTGCAGGAAATGATGCATGGTTTAACATTGTTTCAAAATTGGGTTTAATTGCAAAAACCTAATATAGTGGTGTGATATGAACATGTTTTGAAAAGCTAATTTTGTAGGATAAATGACCAAATTGGAAAAATCCAAACTTTCAATCTGGATAATATTAATAAATGTAGTTTTTAAAAACTATTTACAAATTATTGAAAGCTCATTCAGAGCATCAGAAGACACACAACTTCATAGACTATTTGAAAGAGTGCAATGGACTTATTATTATTGAATGAAATCCTTTTAATGAGATAGCTTGACATTTTGAGGTGGAGGTCTAAGGTTGAATGAATGGGATGTAACTTTCTTCAGTATTGCACATGTGGAAGGGATGATGGCCTTCGAGCAGGGGCTGCATTTGGGGTCAGCAGCTGCTGATTTGTGGTTTTAGTTGGTGGTAGATGTTGACAAAAAGCAGATGTTGGAGTTAGGGGCGTGAGCTGCAGCTGTCAGCCACAATACTCACGTGGAGGCGGATGCACATTGCGGGCAGAGGCTTGCTTTGCAGACATTGAAGGGCTTAAATATTACACAGGTCGAGAACAGGCTGATGGTTCTGATAGAGGCTCCAAGTGCAGTCGGTGACGAGAAGGTCTGGAAATGGGGGCACGTGGAGACAGTCCCTCTTTTTTTCTATATGACGACGGAGATGAGGGATGGCTGTTCATGTTTCATTGAGGTCTGAGTTGGAGGCATGGGTTGTAGTTGTCAGCAACAAACTGCAAGTGGAGGCCTCTGGCTGCTGACAGAGGATTGAGTTGGAGGCACTGGAAGCAGCTTTCTTTAACATTACGTAGGTGGAGGTAGACAATAACTGCTTGCTGAAGGTATAGAGGCTTTTCTTGATTTTCTTGTAGAGGTTGTAGGTGGTGGCTGCTCGCTGAGGTTTGCGGTGATGCCTTGTGCGGCATCTGAAAAGCAGATGTTTTCGGCGTAGGATGCAGTTTGAAACTTGCTGTAGTATAGTATAATATCATCAATCTTGAGGTGGAGTCTGACGGTTGCTGGCAGAGTCTTGAGTAAGCATTTTAGGTAGCTGTCTTTTATTTTGTGAAGATGAATGTCAAGGCTGTCATTTTTTTGGCAGAGGCTGCAGCTGGATTCTGAAGCTGAAGGTTGAGGGCAGATAGTGTTCCTTAGTGCTGCAGTTGTTGGCCACATTTTTCAAGAAGAGGTTGAAAACTTATTGTACACGTTGTATGACAGCTGCAGACGATGGTGGCAAAATAAGGTCATTTGCAGACACTTCAGTTTAAGTTGGTGGCTGCAAGTATATAGAAGTGTCAGCAGCAGGAGGTGTGGGCTCAAGCTTTGAGTCACAAAACCGGTAGTTCTAGTTTGCAAGCAGAGACTTGGGTTCAAGGCATTTTTTCTTTTCTTTTTTTTTTTTTGCAGAGGGTGCAGGTTGAGATGCTTTGTAGCTGACAGCAACAATCTTCAGGTGGAGATAGTGGCAGAAGGTCGCTGGCAGATGCTTAAGTCAGAGATATATGAGGTAGCTGTCTTTCATATCCTGCAGGGGAAGGCTGGCCCCGCAGGTTTTTGGTAGAGGAGGTCATATTGGCAGCTTGGAGTCGATGCAGATGCAGATGGCTCTTGCTATTGCAGAGGTTTGAGGTGGAGGGAAAGGTTGTTGCTATCAGCAACAATCTGCATAATGAGGCAGATATTTCAGGATGCTGAAAACTGCGGTTTGCGCGCAGATGCTTGAAGGCATTGATGGCAGCTGCCTTTCATATTGTGCAGATGGAGGGAAGGCTGCTGCTTTTTAGCTTTCTGCTTACATGGCAGTGGATAAAGATTCTTGGCAGAGATGGAAGGTGGAATCAGTAGCATGTATTGCTATGTAAGGCAGCGGAAAGAGACAGTTGCTGCTGTTGTGTTGCAGAGGTCTGAGTGGAAGGTGAACACTTTAATGGGCACTGCCATAGTTTACTTGAGCAAGGCGTCAATCCCCAAAACTGATCAGAGCGCTTGTCTGGGTGCAGCTCCCTCATTTCTTCATTGATGGATGCTAATAGGGTCCAGTTTGTTTATGTGTGTGCGTTGGGCTTATGGTATGCATCACATTTCAATAATAACAAAGTGAAAACAATTGAATTCCACACTGGGGGATTAATAAGTATATCTTCTTCTTCTTTTATTTTAATCATGTAGACCCACTTCTCCAAAGTAGTGATTTAACACCACCAAGTGGAATGTATACTATATTGCAGGTGTCAACACAAACATTTGAACCTCAGGTTCTGCCCTCTTTGTCCAGCTTTAACTATTTATCTAAAAGTTTACTCAAAATCAGATTTGGATTTAGTCTCACAGAAATACAAACAACATAGTCTAGTGTTTGTTTCCTTTCTCTTTTTTTGCTCAAAATGCTTTACAAAGAAGAATTGTCTTCCCTGCAAATACTCCCACATTTGTATGTGAGCATATGAGAGATGGATTCCTTCAGTTTATGGACTTGGAAATGAGAGATTTTAATAAGAAGCCAAAATTTGATAAAATTTACTCCATTGTTGATTTAAAACAATCAAAAAATGTCTTATTTTCTTTCATTTTTGTAATGTTCCCCTTTGTCATTTGTTACATGATAGCAATAAAAAAAACTCAAATCAAACCAAATTAAAAAAACAAACAGGAAATTGTACGTTTTAGCCGTTAAGTCATTTATCTATACCACTGTTATTATCACTCTTTGCATCTGATACCATTTCAAAAATATTATTTATTTGTGACTTGGCTGTGCAATTGTGCTAACCACAAAGAACTCAAATGATCAAAAATGACTGCCTATGTATATGGCATTGTTAATTGTTCCTTTACAAAATAAAACGAGTTGTAAATATAAAGTTAAGTGATAGATCCTTGCATCATATGACTCTTTCTTTAAATGCTTTTGTTAGAGATAAAAATTCTTCAGCATAAAGATTGAAAGTCTTTATTGAACAAATGGACATTAAACAATGTATAAACAGTAGACGGATAAAGGATGTTTGCACCAGAAATGGTCTTGTTCAGAGTTTGATGACTTGACTGTATTTGGCTGATATTTCCAAACAGGCTTTAACGATGAACTCATTTGTAAAAATGTGAGGTATTCTTAGCTCGTCTGAATGTCTGCAACAGATTTACAAAAAAAAATCAAAAACTATTTTCACATATTTGCATAATTCTTTTAAACACATGTTATAATATAGCACATAGAGTCTTGGTACAGTACATGTTTGATTATTATTATTAAAGAGGAAAAAGACAACAAAAATGAACAAAAATTAGAAAAATAAAAGGTAATTAACATTGCAATAAATTTGTTCTCGGGAGCCCCAAATTTACACATAAAAAAAAAAAAATCTATAAACTCCAAGACCAGTTGGGCCAACTGATAGATAAAGATGTCAGAGAGAGTAGTATTGTTTCAAACAAAAGAAGTTTGCTCCATCTGCAACCATGTGAACAACATTAAATAACATTAAATAAGCAAGAGGGGATCCACTGTATACAGCAAGGTTTGCACAATTATACACACTTGTGTCCAGCTACAACAAAGAAACTTTTCCTTAATCAAAACTATCTCCACTAGTTGTGTTTCTAACAAATATTACATACAGCTGTGGGGGGCTTTGTACAGAGAGAAAGACATGTTGATTATTAGGAAAACTATCAACCCTGTCATTTATACGGCTACAAAAGGAGGAATCTGTTTTTTCTGTTTTTATAGCTATATCTTAAACATTTTTTTTTACAGTTAAAAACCAATTTTCTAAATGCAACATTGAACAAAACAGTTAGAATAATGGCTGAAGTTTTGAATGGGATATTAGCATTGTAGTGCGCAGTAAAAACTATGTCAATATATTATATTTACTCCTTAACATCTAAGATAACATGCACTATAGACATCAGAAAATTTCAGCAAAGTGGTGTAATTACAGCACTATGGTTAGCACCTTTGATGATTCACTTAGCACCATGCATTACAGAGAGAGAGGATGAGACAGAAGATAGGGGTTTCAATTCTGATTCCTGGACCCACTCTCGTCTTTCCTGTGGCTCAGATCTCCTCTTAAGAATGCTGTACCTGTAGTTGTACTGTTACCAAAACTGGGCAAGAAGAAGAGACTCCAGGTCCCGTTTAGTACTGAGTAAATAAAACCCTCCTATCTCTTTTAATAAGTAAGGAACAAAGGAACAGCCTGATTCATTCTCCACAGTTGACAAGAAATTAATCAAAACTACTGAGAACTAGAGCTCTGTACTCTTTATACTCCTTGATACTTTCCCTAATCATCAGTGGCCTCCAGTTTCATAATAGATAAGTTATAAGTATACTAATAAGTATTTGACAATTTGATGGTCCTTGTGGGCAGCTTGTGTGCATCAGCTGTAGCTTCAGATGCACTCTCTCGAACGTTTTTTCCTGTTTTTTTTTTTGCCTAATTAAGGTGAAAACTGAATGCCACAGTACCCTAGTTAATACAGATGTTTGTTTTTTCTTCTTTTTTTTTTGAGGCTGCCTCTGAATAAACCTGGGCAGGATCACAAGGAGTTGAGCACAAAAAAAAAAAAATCCTTCCTCATAAGTTTAAAATATCCAATTATCTTCTCATTTTCTATTGCACTTTAATTTCTTTACATAAGATATACATGTATAAAAGTTAATTATAATATTATTAATAATAAGTATACATATTTATGTACATTTAACTGATCCCAATTTCTTTCTTTCTTATTGTTTAACAGAATTGAATTCCTGGTACTTCCATACAAATAGAACACACAGTATACAGACTGTATACAGTTAGAAAAATAAGTTACTATAATGTCTGCTGATTGGTCTCCCTTCACTCAGAAATGTTCCAGAGAGATTTTGTGGCAAAGAGCCTTTGTTTTTTCTTCAAGCGGGCCACGTGTGGAGATCCTTTTTGAAGAGCTTAACGAAGCGTTTGCCATATGGAGAAGCTATTAGTGCAAGAACTCCCCTGCTCCTCCAGAGCTCTTCTTTTCTCTTCCCCCCCCCACCCACCCTCCAAGCTCCCCGCGTTTACTCCCTCTGTGTCTGCAGTCCAATGGGAGTTTGGCAAAGGGAGACTCGTACTCGCTTGTTTTGCCATGGATTGGAGGAGGCTGCTCTGGTCCCCACGCCTGCACGAGGGTGTCACCTGTGGGGGTGATGATCCATCCTTCCTCTGTGATCATATGTGTTACACTGCAGCCATCACAGGAAGCATACAGGACCTACTTCGAGGTGGTAATGTGAGCCGGGAGAAGTGTCGGGGAGGTTGTAGATGTCGATCACAGGGAGCAGGGTGGGGTCCAGGGAGTGAAACACAAAATGGGTCTGGTGCCAGTGGCCATCTTTCACCTGAATCCAGGATACACAAAATATTACTTAATACTAATTGTTGGTGTGGAACAAGTTCAAAAGTTTAAAAATTTGCATTCATGTCTACTACAGGGAGCAGAGCGAGATGATAATCATGATGTTCCTACCCAGCAGGAGTCTTCAAGGACTTCTGGCTCAAGCTCTCCCCCCACCTCAAACTCCTCCCCACTCCAGGCCTTGAATCTCACAGACTGGGAACCCGGCTGACCCTCAGGTGACCTCCACACTGAGACGTTCAGGCAGTGGATGATGACGTGCTGCACTGCCTCTGAGCTCAGCAGGTGTAGGAAGTTCATCTGGACACGGCCGACGCTGACCGTTGGCTGCATGAATGGACAGATCAGGTGTCAGTTAATACGTCTGGCTTGCGCTAATGTGTGTCATATTTACCATCTTTGTATTTGATAATCTGGAACACTTTTATTACGTCACTGTTTCTTTTAACGTGTTTCTAATACCTTGGATGCTGTTATTGGTTTAAGGCAGGTCTGTCCACCTCCAGTAAAGTTGCAGGAGACTTCTATTTTATCTGACGAGCAGCCCAGTTAGGGTCAATCCAATAAGTGCCTAAAATTATAAACACATGTTAAAATATTTGTCTTTGGAAACATCTAGTTGCTCTCAGTCTCAGTCATCAAAACAGTACACACCATCGTTTAGCTTCTGTTCACAGCTGTGCAGGTCCCTGCAGATGCGGGCGGGGTTGTCTCGAGTGCCCAGTGGGTTCTTCAGGCTCTGGATCAGGTTACTGAGGTAGTGGAGGGTCTTAAAGATCTCTGCGCCTTGGTCCAGCATAGGCAGGTCCATCACTGGCTTATTCTGGAGGAGAGAGGAAAAAAAAAAAAGGAGCCTGCAGAGTCTGAAACAGATTGAAAATGTAACAATGCAGAGACATGTTGACATCAAACACCACTGACCTCAGTCCTGTGTAGGGTGTGTGAGTCCGCGAACAAAACACCATCTTCTTTCTGCAACAAAACAACAAAATCATATCTTAGTGAATCAGTGACAATGACTCTTTCTGGCCATCTAAATACATTATATTTCAACAACATTAAGGTTTAATTGTATGTAATTAAAGAAGCTCAAAAAACTTGACTTACGAATGACAGAGGGACAGCCGGGGGACCCTATGAGGAAAAATACATATTTAGACAGTGAAAAAGAAATCCACCGCAATTCTATAATAATATTTGTTTGACCTATAAAAGGTCTATAAAGAGTCTATAAAGTTGGAAACGCTTACTGGAAGTCCTGGAGGTCCACGAGGTCCAGGAGATCCCTGATAAAATGACAAACAAACATGCTTGATGAGTTAATATGTTGTCTATTAGGCGTTCATAGTAAAATATAAATAACTTGTGATATCAGAAAATGAAGGCACACTATGCAAACATACCATTGGACCTTGCAATCCCTGTTCAGACAAAGAAAAGACAAAATGAGTCGTTTTCACAGTGAGATTTAGTTGCTTCAAAAAGTAAATATTTTAAAGAAAATGTTTGGCCAAAAGATGTCGGGAAAACTTACAATTTCTCCACGGTTCCCCTTCTCCCCTCTAGGACCCTGTAAGGAAACATGCAGAGTCAGCTGTCTGTAGAGCAGAGAGAAATAGAACACACCTATTTGAATCTAAAGAATACTTACTGCGCTGCCATTGGGACCAATAATTCCAGTGGGGCCAGCAACTCCTCCTCTGCCCTGATGTAGAGAAAAGGGTGAAAATAAGTTTCTAATTTGAGGCTTGGTGTGTTTCCTCCGTGTGACCTGGATCATGTGGTTGCTTACCATTGATCCCATTGGCCCCTTTGGTCCTCGTATACCCTTTGGCCCAAAGTCTCCTGGAGGCCCCTGGAAACAGCAGATTTAATTATTTATAGTCTATACAAAATATCTATCTGATAATTGACTTCCAAAGACTATTACCATATTTAAGACAATGTTTTCTACTGTGCATTGCACCTTTACAGTTATGTTTTGTTCAGAGGATGTGCTGCTGTGTGGTTGTGAACATACCCTCGGTCCAAAAACTCCCAGAATTCCTGGAAATCCTGTCTCCCCTGTATCACCCTGAGAAATAAGAAAGACGCCAATCAAGAATACAGAATCTCCAGAAAGAGTCGTAACATCATAACATGTTAACTTCATGACATCATGCAAGTCAAGGCCTTGGAAAGTCGTTGGATGATGTATCTGTGGGAGACACTCACAGGTTGTCCATTAGGTCCTTGGTTTCCCTTTAGCCCTGGTAGTCCCATCCCACCTCTGAAGCCTCTTTTCCCTGGAGGTCCGCTCTGACCTCGAAGACCCCGCTCCCCCTGGTTGGATGAATAGATGATCGAATGACTGAGTGTAGATCGCTCATGAGAAGTAAGATTATTATTTCTGTAGTAATGTGATACTTTAGGCCATCATACCATTAGATACAAACATGACATAAATACTGGCAAAAATGATTTCTAGCTTTCTTACTTTGTGACAGCGTTAACCTGTACAGTATTCTACGTTTGTCTTTTACCTTTGCTCCAAAGCTCCCCTGATCTCCTGGGAGTCCTGGAACACCAGTTTTACCTCGGAAGCCAGATTTGCCAGAAGGACCAAACTCCCCATCGTCACCATGTTCTCCCTAGAAACATTTTATAAAAGCAAAATCTATCAGAGCCATACGTTATGCGAAAAGTAGACAAACTTTTACCCTGAAGGAAGCGTGGCCCTTGCTTACTCATAATTTAAGTCCAGGGGCAAAACCTTTACAGGGCAGCTTGCCATTAACTTGCTTGTTCCATTCTTTAAAGCCTTTGTTGGCTTGGATGGCATTGCTGATAACATTCATGGTTTCAAGAGGATAAACCATTTGGATTCCTATGACCGTTTTCTCCTTTAGCACTACCCACAGAACAAGTCTGATATGTATTTGACTCACCGTCTTAAAACACAGTGAAAACATCAAACTGTTGATATGTTGGTGTCATTCATTAAGAGTTGTCTTTGTTTGTCTTACCGGCATGCCTTTACTGCCATCCTTTCCTGGGACTCCGTCCTGCCCGGGAACACCCTCCTGTCCCTCTCTGCCCACCACACCTCTGGGACCAGGAGGACCACCCACACCCTGAGGAGCAGAGCGGTCAGACATGGATACTACTGATGGCGTCTTTACTTAAGTTTATTAGACAGGCATTTTCTGCCTCGGGTAATTTATCAATGCCTTTGTTTATTCATAATCTCAAAGTATTGTAGTCATAAATAAAATTGTTAAAAGCTCAAACTGATGAATGGAGACTCATTGACCTACCTCTGTTCCTCGGGTTCCTTTTTGTCCTGACAGACCCCTTTTGCCTTTTTGACCCTGCAGAAAGAGAACATTTTTGAAAAAGGATTATTAATGAATAAAATCTGCCTGTATCTACTGGTTATTGTTCGTCACTGCTGGTGACCTAGAGTAACATTTAGTTCTGCTTGTGTCCTGCTGATGTTATTGTTGATATTTTAGTATTTAAGGCAGTGACATTCCCCCTGGTATTCATTTTACACCACATACAAAATTGTACATCCTGTATTTCAAGCTCTGAGGGGTGTTATAGACTTCATCTAATACTATACAGACAAAAGGTAGGACTGTATCTTATTTCCAAGTAATCAGAAATGCATGCAGAGGAAGATTCATCCTCTCCCACACAAAGTAAAAACAAAAAGTTGTTTATGTTTCCACTTCCTTACTTGATCTCCTTTGGCTCCTTTGGGTCCTTGTTGCCCTCGAGGCCCAGGCTGTCCCTGAAATGTGCGGTAACGTTAATGAAACCATATAAAGGCACCCCGTGTGAGTACGCCTGCAGGTTGTTTATGCAGGCTTAATGACAGCATTGTGTATGGAAATGACTTTCACACTCACAGGCTGTCCAGGAGCTCCAGACCTGCCTCTCTCTCCATCCACGCCAACTTGACCCTTAAACAGAATCAGACGACATAAATATCAACAACACAAATAAGCAAACGCATCCACATTTAGAAACAGCTGGAGTGATGGTACATACTTTATAACCGGGATCTCCTGATTCTCCTCTCTCTCCTCTGTCACCAGTAGGACCCTAATATAACGAGAAGGACATTTATAAATTGCAAATTTTTTTTTATTGCATTCTTTTACAAGACAAACAGTAAAAGAAGGGAGAAAGTAAGTCAGGTGTGACTTACTATGTCACCTGGAGGACCAGGAGGACCCTCTACTTTGCCATCGTCTCCTTGCTCGCCCTGAGAAGCAAATAAAAAAAGTGTATTTTTTAAATTCGAGACACACATCAAAACACCGTGTCCAGCTCTAAAACGCTTCTTAGGTGTAAATGTTGGCGGGATGTTTACTTTGTGTGTACATTCTTTAGATTACACACGGCTGTTTATAATATGACACAAAAAAGAATCCAACACCCTCCTGTGTGTGTGTGTGTGTGTGTGTGTGTGTGTGTGTGTGTGTGTGTGTGTGTGTGTGTGTGTGAAATCACCTCCTCCTGTCTTTGTGTTTGATAAAAGCTGTGATATATTAACAGTGAGTTGTTTTGATGAAGGTGTCAAATCATGGCTGATCAGTACAAGCTGCTTAGAGAGAAAGAGGTGCACTGTGGGAGGCTTTTTTTTTTAACTTAGAGGAAAACATTTAGTCCTATTGGCCACTTTCAGGTGTTTTGTTGCTAGTCCATCTGGTGCTGGGATGTACTTGGAAAAATTACTGGAAATAAAGAGGAAAATAAGAGATTGGTGTTACACATGAAGTAAACGATGTGTACCTTTTCACCTTTTGGTCCTGGAGAACCCATCGGGCCCTGTGTTCCCTGATGGCCCTGTGAAGAAAGACGCATAAGGTAACGTCAAATCACAACCGCCGTATTTAACATTTCAAGCGTCTGTAGGCAACATTATATTATAATAATTTGGTTAAAAACACATTTTGATCATTGCATGTCACCAACAATATCAAACTGAGATGATGTCTGAGGGCCCTGTCGGAATCGACCAACCAATCAGGGTTAGCTTGCATGTAGCTAGCCAACCACAGCGATCCTGTACAAACTTGCTTCTCCTTGCCGAAGAGGTTCTACTTTTTAACTTTTTTGGGGATGTGTGTAATGTGTAATCTGCTCTTTCAGCTGCTTCTGTCCTCCGAAATATCTACTCCAGTGGAAGAGACAGTTTCAGTGACAACGGTTGACGTTCATGTTTGGTGTATCATTCGGTGGGAGGGGCTTAGCAGAGTGATAGGTTGCAGATGGAGAGTCAGAGGTGTTTTTTTTTCCCCATTGGAGTGTTAATAGTGCTTTCTATCATTTAAAATGTCCATCCATATGCATAGTCTTTCTAATATTAAAGTAATCTTACCTCATAACCTGCAAGACCAGTTTCCCCTTGTTGACCCATCCGACCAGGAGCTCCCTAGAGACAAAGAGATAAATGTTGTGTCTTCAGTCACACTTGTTGTAATTGAGACCATTAGATGGCGTGAAAACTGCTATAAAAACAGATTGATATATATAATTACTGTTCCACTTTACCACGTGTCCAATGGTTCCTCTGGACCCCTTCTGCCCAACAAAACCTGGTGGTCCGATCTTCCCCACAGTCCCAGTCTCCCCAAGGTGACCTTGATGACCTTTTGCACCCTGAACAAACACAAAGTTTAAGTTATAGTAACAAAAAAAAATCACAGAGCATTTCTATGGCATGGTCTTAAGATGATTTGATGTTGATACCTTCGGGCCCAGTTTGCCTCTTTCACCAAATTTTCCAGGTTTCCCTTCCGGACCCTTTAGAGAAGAAACAGTTTAAGAAGGGGGTTTAGGGTCTGTGAAAATCGGCAAAATTTTAAACATTTTCACATGAATTTGACCAAAAACACCGACTTACTCTGACGCCGGTGAGTCCAGGACTTCCAAGCGGGCCCTCCTTTCCCTTTAGCCCAGTTTCTCCTTTTTCTCCTTGGTCGCCCTCCTGACCCATGTCGCCTTTGTCACCCTGAGCATAAGCATATAGAACATGAGGATATTTATGATTCTCTATATTAGGCATGTTTCAAAATCTGATTTTTATTATGAGTTTAGTATATAACTGAGATTTGGAGACGATGTAAAAGATATTTAGGAAAATCAAAAATGTCACCTTGGCTCCATCGGGACCAGCAGAACCAACTTCTCCCTCTAGGCCTGGCTCTCCCTGTCACACACACACACACACACACACACACACACACACACACACACACACACACACACACACACACACACACAAACGCACAGAGAGACACAAACGCAACAATTAAAGGCAAAATATTTTCTTTTTGGGCCTTTATTTCAGAGATAAGACAGTGGACAGAGTCAGAAACGGGAGAGAGAGAGTGGGGAGCAACATGCGGGAAAGGAGCCACCTTTTGGGGACCACAGCCTGCGTGCATGCAGTGTGCTCACCAACCGTTAGGCCACCTGCACCCCAAAATATTTGATAGTTTAAAATAGTTTAAAAGAAAAACATACCCGTGGTCCTATCAGTCCCTGCTCTCCGATGTTCCCGTCAGCTCCAATGGCTCCCTGATACACGCAGACAGGTAAACATGAGCATCACAGCACTGACCAAATCAGTGCAGATCAAGATCGCAAAAGTTTAAATGAAACATCTCACCTTCTCTCCTGGCTCGCCTGGCAGTCCTGGTTCCCCCACCTTGCCTGGAGGACCCTGAATGTATACAAAGCACATTCAAGTTTAAAGAGTTAACAAAACAAAAAAAAAGGACTAATGACTCTTTGGTACGAGATATCAATAATTTTTTAGGACTTGGCTCCAATAATTACTGTAAAAAAAAAAAGGCCACTTTTGTGATGTGTGTTAATAAGTTCGGTTTGATAAACTGTGAGAGAGTGAACACCAGATGTGACATATTTAGTCATTTAGTCTCTACAGTATACTTACAGTGTGTGTGTGTGTGTGTGTGTGTGTGTGTGTGTGTGTGTGTGTGTGTGTGTGTGTGGATGAACACATTGTGCGTATGAGTGTAATCGTTAACAAAATCTCTCACCTTTTGGCCGATCTCTCCCAACAGTCCCACCGTCCCTGGTGGCCCAGGTGGTCCCTGCAGATGACAACACAAATACTTAATCAGTTCACTCAAACAGATGTTCCTCATCAGATCTCACTTAATACACAACAAAACGACGGAAATATGTGACTTTTGTTTTTTAGTTGTTGAAAACCACCACCTAAATGAGTATCATGTGTAAACAGTTTGGCTCTGAATGACTGACTATCACTAATTACGCGTCTAAAACACTGATGCTTTGCCATGACATCTTCTGAATCTCATCCCGAGTGCGTAGTGATTAATGTGTGCTCCCTGGTTGACTTGGATCTGCCTAAACAATAGCTTAAATGTAACTGAATTCACCTGTGGGGGCTTTTATTTGTATTGCTGTTTAAGAGAACAAATTAAGAAACTGAGGAGCTCAGAGTATTTATTTTCAGTACGTACAGCCATGCAGCATAAGAGAGAAAACAAATGAAGCATGAAGAGGAGGGAAAGAGCGGTTCTTGAACTCTATATTTACAAGTCTTCATATTTGTAGCTGGTTCCTGGAAAACTGGTTTCCATCTTCCTAACTAGGTTGATTTTTTAATGGAGGGTAACCGAAAAGATTGCCTAAATGTAAACAAAGTAGTCAACAAACTCTAAAGTCTAATACTAGAAAGCCAGATCAGTTAACGGCTGTGGCTCAATTAGTAGAGTCGTATCTCAACCGGGAGGTCAGGGGTTCGATGCCCAGCTCCTGTAGTCACATGTCTGATGTGTCCTTGGGCAAGACACTAAACCCCAAGTTGCTCAAGTCCATTTACCAACAAAAACTTTTTTTCATCTGTCTTTTACTGTTCTGTCACTTTTAGAACAATTAAAACAAAACCACATGAAGGACTACAAAAACTCTGTAGCACAGGTTTTATCCATCATGGCAATAATCACAGACATTTCCCCTACAAGTTCAGCAGTTTAGCACCTCTATTCATAAGCTGTTCCTACTTTAAAAAAAAAAGCAGACTACTTAATCCTTCAAACTGCATGCTCACAGTTCACTCTCCTGCTACTACAGAACAGATGCATGAAGGATGACACAACTCCCTGGCTCCTTTGGAGGAAACATTTAATAGAAGCAAATATATACTCTTAATAAAGTCTAAAATTTGTCTCATAAATTTTCTTTTGGCTGTGATATTTTGGGCCTGGGCAGAGAAGACTAAGGTGCTCGTAGACGCCAAAGACAAGCTTATAAAACTTCCAAGTATGGTTGTGAAAAATGAAGAAGAAAAGTCTGATGAGCTAATTTAGGAGTTCTGCAAAAGCGGATAGTTTCAACAGAGAAAAAGGAAGGAGTAAGAGGGGAGAAAAACGAAAGATGAGGGCTGAAGTTGGATGAAGTCGGTTGGTCATACCGGCTCGCCTGGTATTCCCTTGTCCCCTGGAGGTCCTGAAGGCCCTTGGATACCCTGGAAAAAGAAAGATAAGTGAGTATAGAAAACAAGTACTGTATATGCCCAACCTTCATTTAAACAGAAAAAACCCAATTTAGTTTGTTCAAATAGCAAAAGCAATTAAACAATATCACAGTTGAATACAGCCTTTACAAACAGTAGACGGCTTGTTGAACATAAAGCTTGTTGTAACAGGGCCGATCTGTTCATCTAAGCCTATTCATTAACTGTACAATTTCTGAGAACGGGGAGAGTGAACTCACAGGAAAACCTTTAGGCCCAGTTTCACCCGACTCTCCGATCTTCCCCTGCGAGGACACAATAACAGGACGACAGGAAAGACTTGATTAGTTTAAGTTCATTAAAGTGGCAATCTTCGATGCTCACTAAACTGGAGTTCAGTATAGAAAAAGCAAACTCCTCGAAGAACGTTTCTCTTCTTCCTGGCTTATTGAATAATAACTGTAGCTGCTGCTTCTTAGACCTGCATATTGTGGAGTTTGGTTAATTATATTGATGGTTTTATCTCTGTGTGTGGAATTCATTGAATTGAACTTTATATTATTGTCAGTGTGTCCTACATTAGTGCTCCTCATGTTACCTAGATGATCATCTTTATATTCTGGCTTTCATATAAAGCACATTCAGTTAACTTTTTTTTTTTAAGACATTTTCTTTAAAGATAACATTTTAATTTATAACATTTACCATAATAACTAAGGAAAGTATATTGAAGCTTCAGTGCTTTGTTTGAGATGTACGCTGCAGCTTAACGTTTGCTATTTATGTAATTAAAATACATGTGAGCAATATCTGACCACTGTAGATTAAAAAAAATAAAAAAAATAAAAGAGAGTTGATTTTCACTAAGAGATGGCCACTTTAACTGATCGTGAAGGTAATAAAAAAGCCTCCATTTTTTTTAATATAAAGGCTTTTCTCTCTTTTTTGTCAATTCATGTTTTACTCTTGCGTTCATGTGCCCAAAAGTGAATGTATGGATCCTTTCATCATATCCATTACATTTTCTATGAATAAAGATCATTAGACTTTGTAGTAATATGTGCAGAAACATTCATATTACACCAGAAAGTCTCATGCAGGCCTTTGTAAATCTGGCAGTCTCACAGTCAACGAGCAGGGACCTCCCGAGGAAAGTTATCTCCTCCAAAGTCATACGTTGTGTCTGACTGCTGGCTTCCTCACTGCTGGTATCATGTAGGTTTTATAAATCATTCTAATGCCTAATCCCTCCAGAGGAACATGAGCACCGAAAAATATATGAAAGGAAATAGCGAGAAGGCAGAACAGTACCCCAGTGCTTTACCTGAGGTCCAGGGAAACCTAATTTTCCTGGAGGACCATCAAAGCCCTGCAGAGAGAGGGGAGGATGAAAAATGGCCGCATGTTAAAACATGTCAAGAGATTTACAGCTTTTCATTTTTGGTGCTAAATATCTTTTCCCCCTCTTTAGAATCAATTATGCATGCAGGGTGTCATTTTTACACCATGTCATGCTATTTCCAGGTCATAACTCATGTGTTTGCACGGTTTGACTTTGTGATTCATTCAAACAAGAAAAAGAAAATCCAGCAGATACACACAATAAAGTCGGATTTCTTACCGCCTTGCCCTCTAACCCCCTCTCTCCCGTTGGGCCGTCAGGCCCGATCGCTCCCTGAAACACAAGACAGCTGTCACTTCACCAACAGAGGTCAGTGTAACACAGCCAGACAGCCACGGCATTCTGTACAGAAACATCATTGTATAGCGCAAAAAGATGTCCATGTAGGAGGTAGTGTGAGTGTAACTGTGCCTGGAAACTCTACATTTCATTTTAGATACAGAAGCAAGTTGTGTGTTAGTGTGTGTAGAAATGATTTTTTTTGTACCTGTGTGTGGAAAGACTGAAGAAATAGTTACAGGTGTAACACATGGCAGCGAGAGTTACAGTTCTTTTAAAGCAGGGCACATAGTCTGGGGTCCAATTTAAACACCTATACTGTCAGTCTGACTGTTTACATTACATGGATCAAGCTGTCAAACATAATCAATCTACAGTGCTTAAAGGCCCCCCAGTCCATTAAGCAGTGATAATAAATGGGAGCCAGGCAGTGGACCAATACAAAGCATCTGCTCTGCACCTGCACAACTTTTCTCATCCATACTGAGGAAGATGCTGGCTTAGTGACACAGTGAAGATCCCCGGTGGCTCATGCTCTATGGGTCGATCTGAGCTTACAGTGATTATTAATTATTTTCTCAGGGTCATTAATCGAGGAGAAAAGCAAAGAAAATATGACGCAGCCACACAGGAGTGCTTGATGACTGAGCACAGTGGGAGTTTAGCCGCCGCTAGCTGAAGTGCTATAAGCCTATTATACATAGAGCTGGATAAGCAGCACTCATTAACATTCCTGTCTGGGGTACCTGCTACCCACTGCTTGCGTTTACATAGCCGGATTAGCCGATGTGTAGGGGAAACATTTCACTCTGATCACGCTTCAGAAAAACACGCTCACACAACTATGATTATTCTTTAAAGGTTATTAATTACACCCGTTTATATTATTTTGTATCAAAAAATGTCTAACCCTGTCAAATATAAAAAAAAGAAACACCAAGAGCATGATCTCAGAACATTCAAAAACATCTCTTTTAATTGGCTAAATAAAAATAATTATTGGCAAATGCTGAGAGGGGATTTATATGCTCTTAAATATGGAAAACATTAGCAGAGCATTTGTAGGTCAGACGTCATGAGGAGTTATTTGATACAAAGCATGATTAGTCAGACTGCTGATCACTCCCAGCTGATATCCCCAAATTTGAGTCAGCAAGTTCAAACAGGCTGCAAACAAAACGTAAACAAAGAGTTAACAAAGAGGCTAAAGGGCTGTTAGCTTCCGAGCTAGTTCTGATGCCAACATGCAGTCTGGTGCGGTTTTGTGTCTTGTCTCTGATTCCACAATATTTCCATGTTAGAAAACAGAGCAGTGCCAATGTTTCAGAGAGCCAGGCCAGATGTTACGTTGCTGTCAACATGGAGGGCTCACGCCAAGGAGCTAACAGCTTGAAGACAAATTGTGTTGAAATCAGAGTAAATGTTGCATACAAGCCCCATTTGTTGATTTGATATTTGAAATAACCTTATGAATGAAAAAAATCTTAAATTAGGCGTTCTAGCATCTTTTAAATTATGATTTAATAATATATCAAAACTTAGACAATGTGTTTTTGTGGAGAAATACCTTGTGAGAGTGTGTGTGTGTGTGTGTGTGTGTGTGCGTCTCTGGTTGCACAAATTTGTCTTCTGGCTTGCTACCCTCAGGTTTCTAAGCTTGGACTGTCCAGCGTAAGTCATGAGGCAGCAGCAGCAGATTTACTGGCGATGGAAGCTGCTGACATTTGTATTAATTGAAAACACAGCTTGAGACATTACATGTGTCCAGTCCAACCGCAGTGAGGCCCGTCTCCCATGGATACCTCTGATAAAGAAGCACAGTGCTGTTTCATGAAGCTCTCCAGCTGGACTTAAGTGGTAAAAGACATCTTTTTAAAACCCTTGAATAAAGGGTGGAGACAATGTCTGACCTCCCAAAGAGGGTAAAGATCACGCAGATGCTAATGTGACACAAAGCAAATCACAACATATCATTGACAGTGTTATTTTCTCACTCCTAGCTGTCTGCATCAGTCTCAGTATACATTATTATGACTCTGGGGTCTACCTAAAAACTCTTTTTTTTATTTATGTGGTCTAAATGTCTGCTCGTGGTATTTAACCAGCTGTAAATCACCTTTTTTTCTATCGCTCACAGAATACTCTCAAGCAGTTACTGCCACCTGTATACAAAGTTTTAACATTATTGTTGAAACTATGTGCCTTATTTTTACCCTGATAGACTTATCGCCCACAAATGTATCTATTAAAGGCAAATTCAGCACTCCAGGGTCTCACCCACAGTGAATGAAACACAGCTACAACGAAAGCCTGTAATTACAAGTGATAATGATAAATCAATATGTCTGCAATACATTCTATGAGATTCAAAACTCTGATTATTTTAAGTTTAATATCAAAATACCCAATAATCAATCATATGAGGGCATAAGAGAGACTTGAGGCCGTCATCTTGGTGTCCTTGGACAAGACACTTAACCCAAAGTTGCTCCCACTGCTTTGTCAGCAGAGTGTGAATGTGGTGTAAAAGCGCTTTGAGTAGTCAGAAGACTAGAAAAGCGCAAGACAGGCTCAAGCCCATCAACCTTTTAAAATGTTTTTAACCTTCTGCTTTTCCAATATAACTGATATAAGCCTCTTAAACCCCGCCATAAATCACAGTTCATCAGTTTACTAAATTTATCTTCAAAGCTATCTCCAGAAAAGCCACAAAAGCCAGGTCACATTCTCCACCACATGTGTCATGTAGCTGGATTGACGGCAGGTTCCTCCTATAACTGCTCGTCATTGTGACACTTGAAAAAAATGAAATCCAAAAAAAGGAACTGTTTGTTTTACATCACTGGAGCGCTTCCAGCAGTTATAATGAGCACTGACTTCTCAAAAGGATGAAGGGACTCATGCTATGACTCTGAACCAGACACTGTGTTATGCAAACAGCCATGTCCATTAAACACACATGACCTCAGCTCAGAGGCAGGTCTATGTCACTTCATTATGTCTATCAGCAAAAGTTTTCCAGAGGTGCGACACAGTAGGGCAAAGCGATGTGTAGCTAAACGCTTTTGTAGTTTATGATCTGCTCTTAAGGCCGGGATGTTTGGCACACTCATTCTTAAAGTTAAGTGTCAAAAGGAACAGGTATGAAACTTAAAACTTCAAACTCACCCGCAAGCCTTTGGGTCCTCTGGTACCGGCAGGCCCGGCCGCTCCAGGAGGGCCCTGATAAACAAAGGAAAAGAGGGGATGAAGAGAGGGGGGGTAAGGAAAAATGGACAGAAAGATAAAACAAAGGTTTACACTGACAGAGCACAGAGCCCCCTGGTTGTTGACCCCGGGGGGGGCAGCCTGACCTCGAGAACACACTATGGGGTTTGTTGTTAGATCTGTCACTCACACCAATTAAAGGTCCTGCTCTGGAATCCTGTCCTGCTGCACCCCAGAGCCCCATATTTATGTTTGTTTTGGTGGCTCAGTGGCCCCCACCTTCAAGCAAAGCTCAGCTGAGACCTGGCCATGGCAAGGACACAGGGAAGGGGAAACGGAGGGCAGGGGCAGCTTCTAATTGGTTATAGGTGTTGGGCTTTTGACCGACAGGAGGGTAATGAGGGTTCAGCAGGAGGCTGCCAGGTCTCATAATTGTCTGAGAAACATTTGATGTAGGCTCTGGGTTGTAAACACTACATACTACTATCATCTGCAAAGGCGAGAAACATGGGCTTTGTACCTAGAAACAAAGATGTCTTTGTTCTACGTTAGGTTTTTTGGACTACATAGTTTGACTAAGACACAGCCATATATACTACTTTAAGCTACAGACAACACAAAACCTGATAACAATAATTATAGCACTATTAACAACACAGTTATCTGAAAAAAAAGGAGAACATGAGAGAAAGAGTGGTGGCTTACTGATCTTCCTAGTGGTCCTGTCGGCCCAGTTGCACCTGGTGTTCCTGTGTGACCCTATCAATAAGTACACAAACAGAAACAAATTCAATCGTTGAATTGATTAAAGAAGCAGAAAAAGTATAGACTCTATACTATAGAGCAAAGTAAAAATCTTATACACAAAGAAAGGTACAATACTGTAACATGATCGAGACATTGTTGTAGCCGAGTGTTGACAAACTAAAGGTTTTTAAAAGGGAATGTATTTGTTGTAAGACACAAACTCAGTCTTAATTCTGTTCTTCTGCAAGCATACAGTTTGAATTTGTTTGAGGCAAGTAACTGGATTCCAGCCACACACTTGTATGAACATACATTTGCAGAAACGTGATGTGGAAAAGAGAGTCCAAGGAGATGATTTAACATCTGAAAACATACTGTACTGCTTCTGGCTGCTTTTTCTTTCCCCTGCTGCTCCTTATGTTCTGGCCCGGGCCATTTGTGAAGGCATAACTATGTAATGCGACCCATTTTAGTCAGACTACTCAGATCAGCTGAGTGCAATAAAATCTGACCAATATCCAAACCTATAGCACAGTAGGCAGCTCTGATCTCATGCATCCATGGGAATAAATCACAAATGTTGGGAAGTATGAGCCTTTATAGATGTCTCCTAGTCAGCTCCCTTCACTTTGTATGATGCAGTATTTTCCACAGAGTCTGATTCTGTTCTGCAGCTGAGAAAGCGGGACAACAGAGAACTTCCTCACAACTCTGTGAGTGGTTGTGCGTGGTAATGTCCTGAGAGGAATCCAACTGGCTGTTGGCCAGCAGGAAACTTTTCTCTGTTTCAGGAAAAATGATGACTTAATTCTCATCCACTCCGGCCACTCATACAGTATTAAATGGTTCACTTCAGATAAAGACACAAAATGACAGAATGCTCAGTTTGAACACAACAAGATGGTTGTATGATAACCACAGAATAAAGCAAATTAAAGCACCTTTGGGTGCACTGGGGTGTCCTAGGAAAAATATATCTTAAATTCTAAAAAAGCCATCTGTGTCACAGTTTGAACAGTATCAATCTGAAGTATTTGCCGAACACAGCATAGAAAGCGACTACCAGCGACTCTTCACTGACTTGGGGGCTTGGTCATTTTAAGTTTCTCAGATTTGATTTCTTCATTTAATACAGAACACCATGATTTCACGATAGCCCTGGAAGCTGTGTCAGTTTTTAGTGCACTGCTCTGATGAGGTTTTAGTCCTACCTCTAAAACAAGTGTTTCTCTATTGTACTGAATATTTCTCCGAAGTATCGGCCCCCCTAGCCTGGTGATGCCCAAGGGGGTACTGGTGGCCTAGTGGTTAGTTTGCACTCCCTGTGTACAGAGGCTACAGTCCTCAAAGCGGACTGCCCAAGGTTAGAATCTGACCTATGGCTCCTTTCCCACTCTCTCTCCCCGAGAGTCTATCAACTGTCCTGTGTCTCTATTCAAGGCATATTATGTGGTACTGACATAATCCCACTCTTAAGAATATTCCCATGGGAATAACACACACAGTTTAGTTTTTGATGGTTTTTTAAGGTTTCTCGTAATGAAAGCACTCACTAAGAGCTCATTTTGAAGCATTGTCATTGGTAACTCTTACACATGAAATCACTCCACTCTGCCTTCTTCATTGTGTCTTACCGTTGATCCCTTTTCTCCAGATGGTCCGGGAAGGCCCATCTCCCCTCGATCACCCTAAACATACATGAGCACGACGTTTAGTCATAAAAGTCACCTTGTAAAGATGGAACAATAAAGTAAAGAACATTCTACTTTACCTTCTCTCCTGCCAGTCCTGACTCTCCCACAGGTCCAATGAAACCCACCAAGCCCTGAAACAATCAGACTCAGTGTTGGATGGCTGGATGAATAGATTAGGATTTGGAAAAATGGTATGTGCTTTGTGACTGTTTCTTACTCTTTCCCCCATGGCTCCAACATTTCCTGTGATACCAGTCTCTCCCTGCAGAAAAACATGCATTACTTATGGTTTGTTTATGCTGAGAAAAGGCAAAAATGGTATACGCTTACTGATTTTCTTTTTTACCTTAAGTCCCTCTGGCCCAACTTTTCCAGGAAATCCTTTTCGGCCCAGTCTACCCTGAAAGAGGACAAAGCTGTGAATAATAGGAGCCAATTACAGATTTACACTTAGCAGTCGCCGAATCATTGCAATTCATGACAAACTCCCGATGAATATAAAGGATCTGCTTCCTAAGAGATGACATTCTGAAGTATGGGTTAGGAAGTACTGTTGTCGGCAGCTGTTCTAGCTCACTGTACATGCTGTCGAACTATGCATTGGCGTGTGCAGGTATTGCTGACAGTACATTTTGGCCGGCTGTGAAAGCGTTCAATGAGTGTAATGTTCCTCTTGCACAGACAGTAATTCCCGGGGTTAAGAGGGGGTCTGAGTGCTTTTTTTACCAGCAATAATTCCAGGTCACAAATGTCTAAGCCAAACTCCTAAAGACTAGGTGACTCAACAATTCCAAAGTTTTACTCCGGAAACGTTGGCAGCTTTCAGATGGCTCACACTGTTTTACTGAAAAACAGTAAAATGAGAAGAAAACAGAGCTCTCCAGGATTTGTGACTTCTTATCACCCTATTTAAATGTACATCTGTGACGCACCACATTAACCAACAAAAGAAAAGGAATGCTTAAAGAAAGAGCAGAGTGGACATCTGAGGAGGTGTAAGAGACAGTATGAAGAGGGCAGAGGGCAGTATGAGCAGAGCAGTGAAGCTAAAAGACAGCTGGTTGAGGAAAAGGACATGGTGGAGTAGCAGGAGGACCTGTGGCACCTGGCCAGAGATCAATCACAGCTCCTGAAGGAGTAATACACCACTTCCCTTGGATAGAGGAGAGAGGGGCGGGGTGGGTGACAAGATGGAGGGGAGTTTAAGGGGGCCGGAGTCAAAGAAAGTGCACACTGACTGGGAAGCAGGAAGAAGAAAAAGATAAACCGATGGATTGTTAGCATTGCGGATAAAGAAACATTTTTTTTAAAGGAAAGAAAAAGTAGGGATGACAGCATTTCTATTTTTTTAAGAGTCAATTTTCTCTGTCAGCCAGAGAAAAAGTTAAGAAATAATGTCAACAACCCTTTCATTTCTGCAGTGGTCCATTAACATCTAGCACTTTATGGCAGCAATAAATCTTGCCAACTATAAACAAGGTGACTGCAGTTATCACCCCCTAGTGGCCAAGAATGTGGATTGCATGCAAGCCTTTGTTGCGAGAGGAAAATTGCAAAGAGACAAAACGTAGCACAACATCCATAAGATTTCTACAGCTCCTCTATTGGAAACCGAGAAAAGTCCATAATGATGGCCTACTTTATAACCTTGTTATCAACTCTCACTGCGGGACAACAATCGTTGGGCTGCATGATTAAAATTAAACCGCTAAATTATACTGCTTGCTGTGCTGGTCCTTGGGATGCATAAAGAGTCACACATGATTTAGAGTATGTAATTTGTTGAAAACAGAAGGCTGGCACTGCATTTCAATTGCCTGCTCTGTTTACTCACATCAAGTAACATTCATAGCAGTCCAATTGCAAACTTTCTCCATGCAATGATTGCATTGATCTTCTAACTCAGAACTGTACAGCTGATCATGAGTTGATTCGGCTTCACACTGAATTTAGGTTTCTATAAACTCTGTGATATTTCAATCCATCTCTGTCATTAATTTGTTTACAACAGACATACAAGGGATATGGAAAGAATCCAAAACAATGCACATGACTGATGGTTTGATTGTACTGCATGGGGTACAGTTTAAACAAACATGTAAACTTGCATAATTGCACACACAGACTCAAAGTGTTTCCATGACTAAACACACATGAATGTCTAGTAAACCACATGCTATACTGTGACCCCTTTTATCAGCTCTCTCTCCCTCCTTTCTCCACAGCAGGCAGGGAGCGCTGGGTATTTATCTAATAACTCACCTCAAGCCCTGTTGGTCCTGGTGGTCCGATCGGGCCTTCATTACCCTGGAAACAGATGATATTGATCTTAGCATGAATTATGTTGGGGGGACACAAAGCAGCCCCTTAGCAAAGAGAAGCCCTGCGCAATAAAACATTTAATGCCTTTTGGCGCTTTGGGGTCATTCTGGCAGGGGTAGTGATGGGCAGTCTTACCTCCAAGCCAGGCACCCCTCGTGGTCCCGGTAAACCTCTGACTCCTGGCTTTCCCTGGATGGGTAACAAACAGTCGAATGAATGAATGCTAATGCTCTTTAGCCAGGAGTGGTTTGGCTGTAGCGAAGACAATGTTGGTCTTTTGGTCAGCTGGTCTACCAATTTGGTCCAGACTGAAATATCTCAACAACTGCTGGATGGATTATCTTGGAATTCTGTACAAACGTTCATGAATCACTATGGCTTTGTTGGTTTCCTGAATAAGTGCCATTGTTACATGAAATTATTGATTTGTTCAGATTTTTTTCCAAAAAGAAACCTGCTAAACTAATTACCCTCACACCAGCCTAAGCTCTACTTTGCTTTAAGTGCTAATTAGCAAAGCTCAGCATGCTAACACACTGAAGTAAGATAGTGAACATGGCAGACATTAATTCTGCTAAATAATTGCATGTTAACACTTCCACTGAAATCATGTTAGCATGCAGACTTTAGCATTTAGCTCAAAATACTAAACAACAGAGCTGCTAACTTACATGTCTTTTTCTTTCTCTTGCATTCATAGACGACTCAGCAAAAAGACAGTTTACTCACCTTTAGTCCTTCAAGGCCGTTCTCTCCCGGTGGTCCCATGTCACCAGGAAAACCCTGTCACGGTCGATTAAACAATAAATTGTCAATTGTCTGTCCAAAATAAAGGCTCACTAAATGATTGTAGCAATGTAAATACTGACCTCAGGGCCTGGAGGTCCAGGTGTACCGTCTGGACCTTTCTCTCCTACCTTTCCCTGTGACAAAGACAACAAACATGAGAAATACCTTAAAGAAATATTGGGATATCTTGGGATATGCTCATTCACATTTTTTTTTAAAGAGTAATATGAGACACCTTTTATACATGTCAGCAGATTTTGTTAACTTCAGATGGACCCAGGCTAAGTTTCCACCCAGGTTCCGGTTTGGGCGCTAAGCTAGGCTAACTAATTAAACTGTTGCTGTAGCAAAATATTGAGCAGATTTGGAGTGACTCTTGGAAAGGAAATTCGGATTAAGTATTCGTACTTTACCCACATTTATGCATATTAAGTTATTTCTGTATGCTAGAACCAAAGCTAACCTGCGGTCCTGGTTTTCCTTGGATGCCTGGCAAACCTGGAGCCCCTTGGATACCCTGTCCAACAGAAACACAAGAAATAAAATGTTAGACTGACAGTCAGAGAGCAATCAGAAGCAAAAAAGAACCCTGGTTCCTTTCCTTTTCCTCGAAGGAAACAGACATTAGACATGCATGACTCTGCTCAATATTTCTTTTATCTCTTGGGACCACTCCGTGCTTGGTTGCTAAAAGAGTTTGATTTTGCTTACACATACAGATACATGAGGAGGGTTTACATAAGACTTTCCATAACCAGGACAAAACACATCTGGCTAAGTAATTTTGCAGACACACAGTTCTTCCAAAAAAGGATGTTAAGTCTAAATGTGAACATTTATAATACATGCATGTGTGCTGCAGTGGTGATCTACCTTGTCTCCTTTGTACCCAATCTCCCCTTGTTCTCCAGGAATCCCAATTTCACCCTGACACAGGAAGATGGAGGGTATGGACATAAAGAGATATAAATGGAAAACATTAGGGGGAATGGTAGCTTTCAACTTGAACAATCACATTCAGCTTTTGAACAGACAATACTAATTACAGGTTTGTTGATTACCAACATTCTGTCACAATTGATCTAATTCATTTGATGAGCCAAGTTCTTCATGTGGTGTCAATCTGTTTTATTGAAGGCGTTGATAGCAATCCCACTGATCTGTACACCCACACGTCTTACAGAATACGCCAGTGTTTGAGATAAGTAAATCTAGACAATTAATTATTTTACTCTTTGCCTGAGTCCGATCGGCTTTAGTCTTACTCACGTTCTTGCCACTTATCAGATAAGAAGATTGATACCACGCTCATGTCCGTACATGAATCTGAAGTTGGAGCCAGCAGCTGGTTAGCTTAGCTTAGCTTCAAAACTGAAGTCAAACAGCTTTGCTATCCAAAGGTTAAAAATAACTTACAAATAAACATGCTATATCTGTTTTTGTAATCCTACAAAACCCAAAGAGGTGTTGGACTAACTACTTAACCAGGGACAGTAGCCTTACTTTTCAGTCACCAAGAGTTCACTGCCCCCAGCCAGGAAATAGTCCCACTCAAAAACCCCTTTAACACCCCAAATACTGGCTTTTAGGCTAACTTTTTGTCATCATCCCCTTTTTGCTGTTGGACTGAGCCAAGCTAGCGGCTTTCCACTGTGTTTAGGCTTTATGTTAAGCTAAGCTAAGCATTTCTTTGCTTGAATGCCATACTCAACGGACAAATGAGTGGTATCGATTTTCTCATCTAAAGTTCAAGAAGTGATAAGCATATTTGCACAAATAGTCAAATTATTCCTTTAAGTTTATCAACAGACAGTCTCCCTGCTGAAAGAGGGGGACGAGTCGTTTCATTAACATATCACAAAGGGATGTCATGGAAGTAACATAGCAAGGACTCATGAAAACAAGAGAAAACAGTCAAATCTGATGCTTTATATAAGTGAAAGAGTGTCCATTGGCCTAGAAGTAAAATGAAGGTGGGACCTACTGAAAACATGCTCTCTATGTAAAAGTTGGACAGAGTTGGCTATAGCATGATGCAAAGGAGAACATGAAGGCCTACATCACATGCTGCTTAAAACACAGGTCAATAACAGGAATATTCAGATCACCTTATCACCTTTCAGTCCTGGTTCTCCTGGATTTCCGGGAACCCCCTGCAACAAGCACCAGCAGTTAGGTTAGAAAGGGATCCCCAAAGACAAAGATCACCTACAATTCACCCTCATGGTAATGTTTCCGTGCTGAGGATGTAAATCACTGGCAAAGTCTAATGTGTTATTTCATCCAGCTTTGTCTCCAAACTCTGTTGTTGGCTTTTCCTTTGAGTTGTATAACAATAATAACTGAACTATATGCAGTAACAACAAGACAATACCAGATAAGACAGTTAAGGAAACAGCTTCCATCTGTTTGGGAGAGCTTACCTTCAGTCCATTAGGTCCTGGAAGGCCCATCTCTCCCACAGGTCCCATATCACCCTGTCGCCAAAGGGGGCAAATAAGAAACATATTCATATTCCGTGCATGAATTACAGATAAAAACATGGCCCAGTCCCGTAGCTTTTACTCTACAAACACACACTAACAATGAGTTCATGTCAGTTCACTTTGGAATAAATGCAAGACTAAGTTTTATTGTCTTGCTTCCAGACAATCCATACGGCCATAAGATTACACACCACACAAAACAATGGAGGATAACAAATGGACAAATTAAAGAGATAAGGAATAGATTGTGCTGTCTGATTCCAAGATTGTATTTCCTTTTACGCCTTAATCAACAAAATTAACAAATAACTACTTGATGGTATGTCAATGGTCCTACTGGGAATACATTCACAATTCATGGCCAAAGAGAGAAAAAAAAAGCAAGATTTGAAATACAAATATGGATGTCATTTAATTCAGAAAGGACAAATACTGTAGAGTGATGGAAGACTAGTTAAGGTAATCGGCCGTCTTTTCAGCCTGTGAGAGGGAACCTGATTGTACTTTGTGTTGATGAAATCATTCCTGACATGTGTCCTCTGCACAGAGAATCATCACAGGCTGAGAGCTGTTATCTTATTTTCATTCTCTGCTGAAAGAACTTCAGGGTGGCCTTGGCTCAGTGTTTTAGAAATTCTCTTTGACTATTGTGGCATCTGCGTGTGTAACAGAGGATGTTATTGAATGCATTAAGCAGAAAAAGTCTGCCACAACAAGTCACTTAATTTGGTATTAAAGGCTGAAAAAGTTTATTTACCTTTAGCTGGGAAAAGTCAATGCAGACTATGAAAGGGAAAAAAGCACTTTGTCCAACATCGTAGTCAACTCATGTACCGATGATACTCATGTACCGATTCTATGGCTCCAGAGCTACATCCCTCTCAAGGGCCAAAAAGACAAACAATTGTCAACTCCAACTGCAAGTTTTCTTCTTACGGGCCAAAATAGTAGGAATTACATAAAGATTTAAAGTAAAATAATGTAACATAATGGTAACTGAATTTAAATGCATGCCACAGGGGGCACCCAGGTTCATTTCCTGGAGAGTGCAATAACCTTTTGTGACCTGTTGTGTATCAAACAAAAGTTGGATGGTGTGTGCAGGGCCAACGCAAAATATTTTTTAGGTTATTTTTTGGGTTGCAGAGCTCTGCTAAGAGATAAGACTGAAACAAAGACATAAAAAAATATCATTGTTTTTGGAAAGCCCCTGATCTCCATCTTCATGCTAACACTTTCCCAACAGTGGCCTGCCTTCACCCTAACTTGAGGTCTACAGTCTCTAGAGAAGGGTGTTTGTATATTTATATCTTTGAAGTGCAGCTTTGTGCTGCTGGTTGTGTACTGTACAGTACACTGTCGGGACAGATGGACCCAGAGCTGTAATCAGAGAGTCCTCCAATTACAGGCCTTCTACCACCACCGGTGGCCTAGAATAGACCGGGAGGAGTGGTGGCGATGAATGAAGATGGGACACGACAAGAGAAACCAGGGAGACATTATAATCAGACAAAATGATGTGGCTGTCGGGCAGGGCAGGCTTGGAGGGCAAGGTGATGGGTGGGCGAGGGGGAAGTTCCTGTTTTAAAAATAGTTAATAAGAGAGAGATTGAAGTGGAAAACAAGACGCTTTGTTTATGTCTGTTTGATTGATCATTGCTGTGTTTGTCATGAGAGGAAGTAGGAGCTACAAACTCCTTCTTTTAGAGGTTAACTGCATTGCCAAAATCTCCCAAACTACAAACTAACATTACACTTTTAAAAAATAATTTCAGGGGCTAAGAACCAACTGAGAATGATTTGTTTCCCACGATATTGGTGGGCAGCGTAGATAATGATAGGAGCTACTAGAGACTGTTTTTCAAATTCAGTAGGCAAATCTATTTCAGTTCAATACAGTCTTTCAAAGCCATGTATTAACAGAACACATGTCTGTGTTTAAACAAAGGCAAGTACACAAAAACATACATAAACCACTACTCACAATAAGTCCAAGAACTCCGTTTGGACCGGGGGCTCCCATCTCACCCTATTCGTAGAGGAGGAGAGAGATTCAGTGAGATGAAGGGAGAGTCAGAAGGAGCAAGTTTCTGGGGTTATTGGCTCTTTTTTAAACAAACATGCTCAGAAGAGTGGCTCAGTGTTCATCACGGCTTATGAGTGGGGGCTGTGTGCACGTATATGTGTGTGTGCATATGTGTAAGTGTGTGTGTGTGAGGTGAAGTTGGAAGTGGATGTTAGCCCATCGTCCCTCTGAGGCTTTTTCCAGTCTGCAGGTTAGCTCTCCCTCCAATAACATGAAAGAAATAGATTGATGGAATTTTTTACAGATATACCCTGGTTCTCAGTGGATGAATCATAATGACTGTGGTAAACTGACTTTTCCTGGAAGATTTTAATTGGACTGCGAAATCAATGCAAAACTCAAGACCTTTTCTTAAGCATTAGCTGACTTTGTTGCTACAGTAACAGGGAAACATGCTAACAGGCTAACTAACATTAGATAGTTAAAACCACAAAGGTTGTTTTTAATCCTCTCATTGTAGCATGTTTGGATAAACGTAAGCATGTTAGCATGATCCTTGTGTGCATAATTGCATGCTAATGCTAGCATTTAGCTCAACGAGCAGCTATTATGATTGTATTTAAGATAAAACAAATATTTTATAATTTGTATTACTTTTTTTAATTCCAATAACTCCGAAAGCATTGACATCAAACCTTCACCCTTAAAGACACTTTCTCCCATTACTGTTTTGTAGCATATGACAAAGTTCCTTAGCTTTTGTTTCTGAAATTTACAGACATTAAAGACTCAGCTGGGGGGAATAAATGAAGTATGTAACTTCGATTTCTTAAACCCCCTGTGTAGACTAACAAAATATATCCATACAACATCTGATACGTCTGACTGTATCAGTTATTCACAGGGGGAAAAAAACACCAGGTCTAAGACAGGATTTATGAGGAGTTTGGTTGCCGAAGCAACAAGAATGAAAAGTCACAGATGTGTGAGCAAAGTGTTTCTTTAAACATAAATGTGCTTCATGTTTATTATGTATTTAGAGTTTGTTAAAGAGCAACTTTCTGATGTGTTTATGGTTTTATTCTAGAGCCTCTCACTGGGACTTATGAAGTGTTACATTTGTCAGAAAAACAGTGAATATCCAGAAAATAGCCAAAATGCTACAGTAATAATTTGATGCCTTCCATATGGACCCAGCCATGGGACAAACAAGCAAACAATCTATGCTGACCGTGATTTGGAAGAATTTCTCAACACAACCTCCTATTACATCATTTACTATTCTTGGATATCACCTTCTAATAATAACAATGTATGTGTGTGTTGGTGGCCCGTTTACATGGGCTGCATTCTAAAGCCAGGCCCGCTAACTGATCCCCTGTTAATACTGCAGGTTTTTGAAACCAATGGCCAAGAAAAATTATCTACAATGGAGGAAGGCATGGGTTGAAATTAAATACAGCAGTAAAACTTGTCCGGACCGAAAAACTCACTTCAAATAAAACAGAGGCGAACTTCTGGACTGTTGGATGATTTATCCAGCGGCTTCTGCCAAAATGTCAGTGCTAAAACACTAGGGGGGAGGGGGGGATGCAAGGGAAACCACTGCTCTCAATTTGTGTGTTTGTGTAAGTGTGATGTCTCTATGTCTTAGTGTCTGAGGACTTGGAATGGTAATGTCTTTAAGTATGCTTTTTGGCTAACTGAGTTTGTGACATACTGGCTCTCCATCTGGTCCAGGTGGTCCTCTCTCCCCAAAGTCGCCTGGAAACCCCTGAAGACAGAGAGAGTAGCTTTAATGTTCTGCTTTGTATAAACAGGAAAGAATCAAGCTGAAACATGGATGAAATTTAAAGAATCATTTCTGCTCTATCAAACCTGTAGTAGCTTATATTTTAAACAGTTTGGGTTGACATAAGTTTATATGGTAATCTTGTTAGCAACTCTTTGCCAACAAGTTTGCTAACTTACACATTTAGCAGATACGCAGCAATGTTAGCTCTAGTTTGAGTCATGTTTCTTGTCACTTGATTATTAAAAGTCCAGTTATTATTCTGATCTGAAAAAGTATGTTTTTTTCAAAAAAAAGCGAACTTTGGCACTTCAATGTTTAGAATGTTTTAATTATAGAATTAAAGAAACTCATTGTAAGTTTAAAAATGCTTTTCAATGAGTAAGGGTGTGTAAATAATTATGTGTTTTACCTTCAAGTTGACATTTTTGGAGCATGTTTTTACAAATAGTGCTGAGTGTTACACAACCAAGAATTCCACAACTGTAATTGCACAGCAATTATAACAATTTCCCCGGACAAAATAACCTTACACTCACAGTAATTCTAAATACGTACAAAGTAAGTGCATAATGGGAGCATTATACACAGGACGTCTATCAGATGCAGGGCAGCCAACTGTTCTGTTGACTACATTTTCTAAATACAACATGAAAAACCAGTAGCCAAGTCTGTTCATTTAGTAGAAAAACAGCATGCTAATCTGAGCTATGCTAACTGTAGGTAGAGCTAAACTGAGGAACCACAGCTGCAGACAGCACAGTGCCAACGTGTTTTAAACCCCAACAGTCCAGAAACACTCATAATGGCATGCTTATGCTATTGTGGCCTCAACAAATCATTCAAAGGTGCTAATTACTGTAGATACCTCCAGCTATTTTTTACCATAGCTTAGATGTTTAAGATATAGAGCACATGTTTATTTTAATGGCTGACGTGCCTTAGAAAATAGAAACTGCTGACTAAATGTTATTCTTTGTATTCGGGTTTGCAAGTTTATTTCTTTAAGGACAGAAAGTCTGGGATCATTTTAAATTTAGACTGCATATTCAAACAATAACAATCCTGGTGACAGATGTATGTAAATGTTCACCTTTCCATCAATCAAGGACACATCTAATCGGGTCAATGGTGTCATCCTAGCTGCACTAAATGCTTTGATTGAATTATGTCAGCAAAATCTCTTTTCTGTTTTAAAAGCTATTAGAAAAAATATTTTTGACAGACTGCATTGGACTGCTTCAATGGCACAAAGAAATTGTGCTCACAAGGGGTATCACAAGTGCAAAAGAAGTCTATGAATCATGGCAGTGACCCAAAAGAGGAATCATACAGCTGAAACCACCGCCACAGAAATGAAGGACAAATGTGGGAAATGTTGCTTGGCGAAGAAAAGCTCTTAAAAAAAGCCTTTGTATTGAATCTTATGAGCCTATAGTGTATCTCTGTTTTTATTTAATGTCAGATAACCATGTTTTTCAGCTTCATGGTCAAACTGTTCCACAGTAGCAGCACAATGCCAAAGAAGTGCAACTGATGAGTCTGATAAAGACAAGACAAACAAGCCTTAAATAGCAACATGCAAAAAATAAAGGTTAAGTAAAAATGCAGAAGTGCTGGCGATGCACTGCGGAAAAAACGTTTTATGCTCTCCACTGTTTTAGATTTAGATATATCATCTGTCTTTTGGTAAAAGGTGGACGTAGTTGTGTGTCTGAGCGTGCGTTTCCTCAACAGAGTACAAGTGCTGTGGTTATGGCCATTAAAGTGTCTGGCCCTGGTTCAGGTGATTCTTCTGTTCTTTCTCCTGCATCAGGGAGGACAAGGATGTTCTCTAAGGGATCATCTTGTAAATGCCTTACTTCCCATTTTCCATGCAGTAGCAGGACAAAGACAATGGTGTGTGCATTTTCCAGTAACATATAAAGGTCAGTTTTTAAATGGCTGTAGCAGCAAGATAAAAATCCCTAGATCAAATTCAAAAATTCAAAATTCTAGGATTTCTCTTTGACTCTCTTTTAAGACAATGCTGTTTAGTGATATACTGTCATTTTTCCTCTTGGCGTTGACAAGCTGTGCTTAAACTGTCCAGTATAAAATGAGAGCGGTAAAGAGCAAGCTGTGATGACAGCAGCTCCATATGAATACTCTTAGCTTTGCGTAACCTGTGCCAAAACTGTGAAATGCTCTTTGTTGCCGAAAAACATCAGAAAAACCACATCAGTTCATGAAATTTGAAACTCACTGATGTGACACAAGACCTCACAAATGGAGATTTGGCATCTGCAGTGACCTCCGTCAGATTTGTCTAATTACAGAAAAAGCTAGCGTTCTGAAAACCTCACGCTAAGCAGACGCTTTCTTGCGTGCGTTCATACATCTCGCACTACAACTGCCTTATTTACTGAAAAACCAATAAGCAGCAGCTGCAGAATGATATCAGCAGTGAGTTTAGAAGTCCTTCGAAACACTCCGTCAAACTGACTTTGAACACTATCTGACACACACAACAGACCCTATGGCTTCCTCCAAATGGCTTGGCTCCATGCTGAGGGGAGGGGGGGGCAAAAGCTCTTTATTGCAACAAAAGCCTTTTTCTTGTTGCATCCAAGACCCCGACATGCGGCTGGTGGGACTCCACAGTATTTAGGCTGCAGTTAACCCTTCCAACAGCTATGGAAATACTGAGCCGACTCACACAATGACGTACACGCAGTCCTTTTAAATTTTCACATATGTGTAGCTGCTGGAAACTTTGCAAAAAAAAAAAAGCTGAATATGACCCAAATAGACACACTTAGAAAAGCTTATGACATGCAATGTATCATTGGCTCATTTAAATTAGCGTGTTAGCGTGCAGCATTTAAATCTGTTATCAATAAGAATGTTTGAATCCCTCAATCTCCTTTTACAAGTTCATAAAGCTCTCAAAGGTTCAGCTCCTGAGTACATTTCTGACCTGCTCACAGTCTACAACCCAACCCGGCCCCTCGGGTCATCAGGTGGAAGTCTCCAAGTCCAGAGAGGAGGCCTTTAGTTACTGTGTTCCTTCTCTCTGGAACAAGCTACCTGTTGACCTGAGGTCCATTCATAGCCGTCTCTACTTTTACAGCTTAACTCAAAACCAGATTCTCCAAAGTCCCAAACATATGAAAAGTTACTCTTTGTGTGTGTGTGTGTGTGTGTGTGTGTGTGTGTGTGTGTATTTGTTCATGTTCATTTGTGTGGTTAATGTATGTGCAGTATGCTTTTTGAGGTTTTTAGTTGATTTTCTTTTATGTTTTTGGTGTTTGATGTTGCTATGATGTGTTTTTGATTTGATTGATTTCTCATCTCAGTCTTATTCATGACTGTGGAAACAATCGATCATTCTGGTAGTCATTAGTCTTTACCCTCAATGTAAAGCACATTGAGCTTACCTGTAATTAAACGCTATTGCTAATTGCTAATTAGTAGAAACATGGATAAAAGTAAATACATACCACAAAGGCAGATTCAAACCAGGAAGGTACTCCTATTCAAACTGATTTTCACTTTGGAAAGAAATGATCATTGATATTTTTAATATATTATCTGTTTTTATTTTATGTAAAGCTATCATTATTTTATTTTATTTGTCTTGAAAATATGTCAAGTTAGCTTTGCAGAGAAAAAGGGCAACGTTGTACTTTTAAGCAGTAATTACATTTCAGAGCCTGTTCTTTTTCACTTTTTCTTCAGTAAAGAAGTTGAATAACTACTTTTTTTTTTTTTTACCACAGTGTGGTCGTTCATTAGAAGATGATACGTTCGCAGACAATGTACAACATTTCCAGCACAATTCATCACACATTATAATGATTTTCTGTAAAGTATGTTGAGACAAAACTTTACCGGCCTACCCATCTTGCCCCTCTTCCCTGGTTCGCCAGGAATGCCCTGAAAGTCAAGACAAGAGAGAGCAGAAGTGGAAAACAAAGCAGAAGGGGGAAAATGGTTCAGGATGCAGAAAAAAAAGGAGGAAAGACAAAGACAAACATAATTTGAAAACCATATCAAAAACAAACAAAAGCATAACACTGTTCAAGCTTAAGAAAACCTTGTTCTCTCAACAGATGTGAGGAACAGCTGACTGCAGCTTATCCAACTTGTTCCCAGCCTATTATAAGGGATTTAGGCCCTCCATCTCTCAAATGTATTTACATATGGTAAATAAACACCAGTTTCTCCTGGGAGAAGACAGGCAGACACCATTTGTTGTGTGCAGCTAAGGTATATGGCAACTCTCCGGCCGTCTGTGCTGGCTGGAGTGGTCCTGATTACAGCCACTCCTGCCATGACGCAACCCCCTGGAGCATGTCATAAGTAGGCTAATCGCTTCATGTTTTAGAGGCTGTACAGAAGGAGGAGGCCTTGATGAGTTCATGCAGTTCAAAGGCTCCAAGAGGGGGCTTTTATCATATGAGTCATCAACACTCCCACACAGCCTCGTACAGCAGCATCTCGGACAGCTGGGGGCTGTTTCCCGCATTATAACGACAGCCAGACAGCTGAGTGTAATGGCAGGAGAAACAGTGTTGTCATCCAATAGAGCTATTAGCCAGGGTAAAGTTGGTCACTGTGCATTTTTGCAATTATTGACTGTGCATGAGAGAAAATACACATTATGGAAGAACTTACTCTTTCGCCATCAGGCCCAGGAAGGCCAAAAAGCCCCGGGATTCCAATGAAACCCTGCAGGAGAGGAGAGGAGAGAAGGCAATAGGAGAAAGAAAAAAGAAGAAAAGTATTGACAATGAGTATTAAGACATCATAAAAGCAGCAGGTAAAGCATCTCCCATCAGCTTTAGGGCTGAATTTGAGGGGTCGATGGTGGATAGGGTGTGCTTCCATGAAGAACCAAGCCATGAGGCAAGTGTATATGCCCATGGACTGCATGGTGCTGGCTTCCACGATGTAGTCCAAGGGCACATACCCTCACGCCAGGGATCTCTGCAGATAGCCAGGACATCAGACTGAGTGGCGGGTGCACGGTGAGACACACACAGAGAAACACAAAACAAGCACAAACACAACAGTTGAGGCAGTTCAGATGCTAGGGAACGATTTGTGCACAATGTGGAATATGCTGCAAAGCAAAGTGCAGAATATTTGGAAAGGTGGCTCAGTAAGTGAGAGAGTGAGGGGACGAGAATGCCTCCTTAAGACAGCAGGGCCTCATATGGAGCTTAAACAGGAAATTCCAGCCGGTGGGGGCGGGGGGGACGCTTCAGAGCTGCTGAGGGGAGCTGATAAAGAACCTTTAATGGAACGCAACATAAAAATCACTGTTTGTGTTGCTGAGCATGTGTTGCTTTGTTTGTGTACCTAGAGGGTGTGTGTTTGCATGCGCAGGCTTATCAACGGCCAGTCTTTCAATAAGTGTCTGTGTACGGTAATACAATGTTTACATTACAAGTAAAGGCTCCTAAGTTTAGCAAACCATTAATAGAGGCACACACAGGATTCAGTGAGCATGTATGAATCTGTTCATGTATGCAGAGGTGCACACGAGTTTTTGCATCTCCATGCACATACATAATCTTCTGCACAACATGCTAACAGCACACAATACCAATGGTTTGAAACCCTTACTTTAAAAACATTTGGTGTGTTTTAACCTGGACTTACAGTCTTGTTTTCTAAAGTACAAAATAAAAGGGGGATAAAGCTGTAAGGCTTACTGCTTTTCCCACAAGAATACTCTCAGGTCCTGTCAAAGCAGATGGGTTAATATTTCAGACTGATCAATCGTATTTAAGAATTACATTTAAAGGAAAGACGTTTGGTTAACTTACCCGAACGCCTTTAGGCCCAACTGGTCCTATAGGCCCTGGTAAACCCTGAAAAACAAAGAGAGGAACTTTATTTCAGTGATTTAACAATTTCGTATTTAAACCTATTTTTTCCCCGAATACATTTTAAATGTGTGTTTTTGTTGTGTAAAGTGATGGCATTAAAACACAGAAGGTTTAAGAACACAATTTACACTCATAAAATAAGCTGTTTCTGCAAACACATTTTAACATGCACATTATTGATTCAAGATAAAAAAAATTGAACTCATTTAATTTAGAACTTTTATGTTGTATGTATGTTCTAAATCCCCTCTAGAGAGTATTTACTTCAATATTTCCCTTAGTCAGCTGTTCAACATAACCTAATTCCACTTGGCCCTCTGCCCTTACTGTGGCTCTGACTACAACTGTACCAGTCACAGCAGAGGATTTACTGCACCTGCCTGCCAGGATAACCTTTGGCACCTGGGCTTCCGACTGGACCTTGCTCTCCCTGCAGGGATCACAGAGAGAGAGAGAGAGAGAGAGAGAGAGAGAGAGAGAGAGAGAGAGAGAGAGAGAGAGCGAGAGAGGGAATAAAGAGGGGAGAGAAGGAGAGGGAGTGATCAAAATTAAAGTAGCACAACACACAGGCCTGCCATTCTGCACAGTAGCAGTCAGTTTCATAGAGGGGGAAGGAGCAGAGGTGAGGTTAAAAATGTAAAATAAGTAGATGGATGTGTTTGCCTGACATAGAAAGTGGCCTTTGTATTTAAAATTCCAGCGTGGTTAGTATGTGTTTCAGTAAGTGTGTGTAGTTTATTGCAAAGGAATCTCCTTCTCTGCTTTTGGAAAAGATCATATTTGAGCTTTATGAAGCTATACTGTAAAGTGTTGGATGATATGCATGTGTAAGTGTGACTATCCATTTATTATCTATGGTTGTATTAGATCAGCAGCTAAACATTTACACTTGAATATGAAGGCCTGGTTTTTGTTATATGCAGGTCTGACAAAGTTGCATGCAAATCCCTTCTTACTATCATCATTACTATAATGTATCACATACCGAACATGCTTTACCCACTGCTGTGCAGTTTACATAATGTCTCACGTACTGAGTACACTGACAATAGACGTGGGAAATTGAATACAATCCTACGATTTCACTGTATAACAATGTTTTCATATCAAATTAAATACACCATGAAAAAGACGTGTATCCATAGAGAGAGTTTAAGGAAGTTTATCGGGATATTTTACTAAGTAATAGCATCATACAATACTGTAAAAAAAAACTAAAAAATATCAAACATAATCTTGAGGATATATATATTCAGTATACAGAAGTTTGATTTGACTTCTATAGTTTTAAAGTGGGGTAACTTTTAATTTGTTGAAAGTGTATGTAAAGTATATTTTGATTGTAAGGGTTATTTGTTATGATTGGCGCTGTATGAATAAAACCTGATTAAATAAAGTGTAAGGCAGCTTGAATTAAAAAACTAACCCTAAAACAGGATTGGTAGTTATGCCTGTAAATGTACAGAGTTAATGCGCTTGGCTCCATTCCATCCCCACATTACAGCCAGTCTCTGCCCATGTACTTATTGTTAATGCTTTAACACTTGGATGTGGCCTGTGTCCTCGGAACAGAATTGACGCCAATTAAGGGTTTTGCTTATGTATGCATGGGTGAGAGTTAGCACAGCACACACACAAGGTGGGTTGTGTCCAGAATTCAAGAAGCAAGTTCGAGCGTTCGTTATAACTTCCTTTGACACACTCCGGCGTGCAGCCATGCACACTGCGTGCCTTTTGCCTCTTGGATAAATATAGAGCACAATGCAGCCAGCTAGAAGCAGACAAGAAGCGAGGCCTTCTTTAACCAGCCAGCAGCGAGGAGAGCCTCTGACTTTGGTCCACGGTGTATTACAGTAACAGAGAGTCATCAACACTCTCTGCACACCAGCTGGCCTTTGCTCCCAATAGCCTCAACATAGTCCGCTCTGCCAAACAGTTGTGCTTATTAACCCCATCCCGTGTGCTACGGGGATTCTGACTCAAGGCTGAAGTCAGCATCATCATCGTCTGTGGGAATGACGGGGGCGTTTGAGGATGGACAGTGGGAGGACGTGAGGGTGGGAGAGAAAAAATTACTGGGATTAGTAGAACAGGAACTCCCTGAACTGGTGACGTCATTTGAAGAACAGGGACCTTTCTAAAACTGTGTGACAATGATGAGTCTGTTCCACTCTGCTTTGCATGACTAAGGCCTTTACTTAATGAAAACAGTAGTATGACCCAGCCCAGATGAAAATAGCCCTGGATGCTCCATACTTAAAATAGTCTTTTTGGGCTGGACCAAACAGCCAAACAGTCATGTCTCCACCCTCTTGTAGCAGCGGATAAAAAAAAGTTAATTGAATCGATATCGTCAGTTTGAGGAAGAAGGAATGATAAAGGGACAGTATTAAAGGCCAATAATATTCGATTTAAGAGATGCTGAATGTTCAAAGACAATATCTTGGAAAGAAGTAAAACAAAGATTTTTTTTCTTCATATCTGCCGTGTTATGGCCGAGAGTGTGTCACTGTTGACCTAGTTGGCTTACGCATGCTTCTCTTCCCTCTATTTTCTCTGTCTTTGGCATCACTTTCTGACATCCTGGAGAGCATTGCTGCAGTGCAGCACTTTGGCCAGATGTCAGTCCTCACCAGTACTTCAAAACAGGCTAATCAAATCTGGCGACCCTGAGTTATACACTGTGGACACACAGTAACAAACGCTAACAGAAAACAACAGGCAATTACACAACAGACTGAGGGGATGATGACCGAGCTCTTAAAGAATGAGATGAGAATATTGTGCATTGTCATTGTTAAGTCCCTGATTGTTGACATAAAGACAGAAGGACAATATTAACATATTCTTGGAGGAAAATGCATGAAGTGCAGGTGATTGGGTGTGCATCAGGTACCTTATAATATCAACATTACAACTTGAAAAGAGATGGAAGATTTGGAAATATGGACGTTTGAAGAACAGCAAAAACACAAGAGAGTGATATTTGGTATTAGAGTTTTATAGCAAAGAAAAAGGTGTAAAATAAAGTCGACAAAATACTTACAGACTCTCCAGGGAGTCCAGGTGGACCAGGGTAACCTTTCTGCCCCTAAGATACAAGAGAAAGTAGAAGTGAGTTCAATGATTTAATAAAGGAGTTATGAAAGAAAACATAAACTCTATAGAAGTCTTCAGAAGAAGAAAATCTATCAAGCATGTGGGATTGACAAGTGGAGTTTTGTGCAAAGCAAAATATGCACGTCAACGCTTACAACACAGGAGGGAGAGTTCCATGCCATATTGAATGAATCAATCTGCCTTTTTTCTCAGGGAATAAGACTTTCCACTGGCAGAGAAGTGGTGCTGGGAAAGGCTGTGCCAGGATAATGCCATGTTGAACGATATAAATGCTTTCCTGTTTGAGTCAGATAGCATGGCCCTCCCTCCGCCTGCAGAGCAAGAATACAACACTGCACACAGCCTGACATAGTGCCTGTCTTCAGTTCTGCTGACTCCAGCAATACGGACCCCCAACAAAGAGCAGAGGGAATCTAAATCAAAGATGGGAAGACATGCCTTTTGAGACCACAGTTTGATAGAGCGAGACAGCAGGAGAGACGGAAAGGAAGAAGGGAGAAAAAACAAAATACAAACAGAAGGGCAAAGAAAGGAAAGACTCCTGATGGCTCGCTTTCCTAAACCACAGCTTCTTAATGCCAAGCCAAGACTCCCCCGAGTTCCTGTAAAACCTTCCTTTAGTCCTGCAGGAGAAGAGAAGACAGCAGCCTTCTTCTCATTATGTTACATGATCACTCCCACTGGCTTAAACTTTTGAACCAGCACTTTAAAGTGCCATTGTCAGCATTGTACTCCATGTTCAGTCCTCAAATAGGTAGAGCAACTGTGTCAACAATGTACTTGTTTTCCAGTATTAAAGTTAAAATAAAACACACACATTTCTTTATTTTAGGTTGCCTTTTTCTAACAGATGTAATAAAAAAAAATGGCATTAAAGAAAAATCCAAGCCTTTTTTTTTTTTTAAGAACTTCAGCAGTTGCGCATCATAACATGACCACTAGGCGGAGATACTTAGTTCTGAGATGAAAATACTGTATATGAGTAATACAATTAAAAACAAACAGATGTGTCACCAGGTGCTGACAGACCACAGCCATAAAACGCCAACACAGGCAGAAATGTGTGTGTTTCCATACTTTTATGAAAGCTCTATTGGTAAGCAGTGTTGTGGAGAGAACAGGGATGGATGCACTTGCAGACACATGGCGCCCGCGACTGACCTTTCAGAACTTTCCTTCTTAAATAGTATTGCCTGTTGGACAATACTGCGTTGATGAATTTGTGTTTTTCCGACTTCGCCCAAATGCATCTTAATTGGAATGTCCATCTGTTGCTTTTTTAGTTTGAGTTCGCTTTTCCATTTTTAAGGAGATGTTGTGACCTACAGTCATTGCATTCAATTACACATACATATAGGTGCATGCAAGCTAACACAGGCAGAGGAACACATACACACACACACACACAAACACACACACACACACACACACACACACACACACACACACACACACACACACACACACACACACACAGATTTATGTATTTTGTCATCTTATTACATGGCTTAGCTAGAGCACAAACATGTGCAGTGGTTCCCAAGCTGTGCTGTAAGGCCCTAAAGCTACACTTACACACAGACACTCATACACACACACATGCTATAGTTCCTTTGCATTAACCAAATCCTCACAACCTCGGCTAGAAGAGTTCAGATCCTTATCTCACTCATTATAAGCTTGCTAATGAGAGTTGCCATTTCCACTGGGCTGCCTGTGTTTACAATGCCACTTGCTTAACGAGCATGTGGGTTCAATCAGATAAACCCACAGAGTGCTTTTCATTTACAGCAGCTCTCCGGTAGCACCCTCGAAATATTTTTCCCCCCTCATCCTCATCCAACGCCACCAAGCGGATTTAGTCTGAAATAAAATAAAAGACACATTGTGTTCGGCGATGACATGTCGCTCTGTGTACGCTTAACTTTGTGGGTGTTCAAATGAGCACACGCCTCATGTCTGTTAACAACTGTGCACCACAAGTGATGAATATGTGGGTTCTAGTCTGTCTCCACTGGCCAGTACCCTGGTAGCAAAAATACACCGCTCACCTCATTAATCTCTGCTTTCATCTTTCCACCTCTCACACTCCAAAATTCTGTCTGCAGAATGAAGCCAGATGATCGCTCAGAGCAATCGTCTGGCTTCATGCATGTGCTGCATGTATGGCAGAACATAAACCCTCCACGCGTATGTCTGGTGGGGACAAACGAAACAAACAACCTAGACGGACAATTTGGTTGTAATCTACCCGTCGGAAAAACATCCCTCATCCCATCCCTGCATGAACCGCAATCTCAGCAGCATGTTTGCTTGCATGCGTTGCTAGCACAGTGGAAGAAAGGGCAATGATTTGTTGTTTGGCTTGTGGAAAATGCAAAGAAAATGATGGTTGATTTGAATTCCCCCAAATTACGATGATGATGAGCATGTGGAGTTGTTCGTTTGAAGGGTGGGCAGGAGCTAAATGTGCAGAGTGTGGTTTGGAGGCGGTCGTGGGGAGCTTCAGACAGATTTATGTCACACAATTAACAGTCTCATATAGTGAAGAAAACGAGAATGATTAATTCACTGTCCATCCCCTGCTGGGAAATGGTTTACTGCCTATTCATAGGTTATTGATTGTGAACTATAAACAATGAACTTGTTTGGTCTAACCTATAGGCAATAGTTACTGGACTGTCCAGTTGACGGATTATGGAACGTGTGAAATTTTCATGCACATATAGGTATTTATAAGCATAAATACAAAATAAGCATATAACATTATAAGTGTCCAGTCATATTTTTGCCAGAATAAAGCCTAACAGAGTCTACATTAGTCTGTATGGGTTTGTTGACTGTTGTCTAGCTTCAGGTTTACTCTCTATCTTAACTAGTGGGAAATGGTATTGTATACGTCTTTGATCTTGTATTCTACAAAACTTTACACAACTAAATCTCAAACTGAATGTCTAAACCAATTGTTGTTCATTTTAAAAGAACATCTCTTTACAAAAAAAAACTTTTGATACTAAGTTAAGGTAAGTGCACTGATTGTAAGCTCGGTTCTGCATCAAATCTGTAACATTTCTACACTTCACAGAACAAGCACAGAAAAAAAAATAATGATTTTAAAAAAAGTTAAACATTTTTGGAAGTTCACAAATTTGCTTTCTTGCCAAGAGCATGACAAGGAGCAATACAACTCCTTATTCTATAAGTGAAGTGTGGTGCCTACAGACAGGAAGCCATTAACTTAGCGAAGCATAGGCCATTAGCTTAGCTGGGAAAACAGCTAGCCTGGCTCACACCAAACTTTACAAATATACATACAAATGTACCAAAAATGCCTTCTACTTAACAGATTGCATTCCATTTGTTTCATCCGCTTAAACATTCAATGTTTTTGGATTTACAGGGAGTTTTTCTTTGTAGATAACACCTAGGTCCTGTATTTTTTTTTATTTTTAGCTAAGCTATGCTAACTGCATCGTGACCCCACTGAAGAATCGTGTTGTCCAAAATGTTTTTGCATCACTATGAACATTTTCAGGAAAACATCCAGATAAGCATATAGACATAGAAGTATTTACCAATCCATAGCTACAAACCCTGATGACAGAACAGTGAACCAATGAAATATGCAAATTCCCTCAACTAAACCAGAATATGAGAGGATAACTGTAGAGCAAGTCTCATTGGCTTTAAGGGGAAAAGACAGTTATAGTGTGAAAGACAGATGTGTTAAAAGGATAACATAGAGAAAAGGAAAGGAAGATGGAGGTAGTAAGGTGAGACGTGTGGCTTGTTCTGTTATGTGGCCTTGTAGTCGAGGTTTGGCCCTGTGTGAGTCTCCTCTCTGTGACCTTGTCTACCATACTGAAAAGCCATTCAGGCTCTGCTTGGTAGAACAAATGTTGTGCAGAGCGGAACATGCTTGGCTTGTCTGACGGTGTAAAATCACACTCTTCCAACACACGTTCAAAGCACCACTGCTTTCCCCATTAAAAGTTTTCCATGGAAAACCAGCAGTCAAATTCCAGAAATCCCGGCTCAAGTGTCAAGCTCAGGCAGATAAAGGGCCAGTGTGTATGTGAGTGTTTGTGTGTGTGTATTTGAGTGTGTGAAAAAGGTGGAAGGAAAAAAAAAAAAAAAGAGAGATGAAAACAGAGGAAAACATGCCGTTGTCCCGTTTTCCTAAACCACACGTTCAGAGTAACAAGCCAGGCAAGCGAGACAGAGCAAGTCAAACAGTTAGAGAGGTATGAAGAGGTAGAAAGAGCACATGGATGTTTCAGGGTGGCCTGCCTCTTGCATGTACGGTAATTGCAAAGAAAACCTCATTTGATTTTTAATATTATGTGTCCGTCTGTGAAGAGACCTGCATTAGGACAAGACACGTCTGGGGACTTTCCACCTGAGCTGACCCGAAGAGAAACAGTACAAAACAATACCTGTTCTCAGTCAGTCTGCCCTACAACTGTACAGTAACAGCTCTGTCACTGAAGGTGTGATGTGTAGACATGTAGGATGTGAGGCACAGCTGACACCTCAGGGAGTTCATTGTACGTTGTTTAACGAGTTAATAAGCGTCTCTCTGGTCGTGTACGGAAAGGAAGCTGACTCCTCGCGGCTTATTTCACAAGTTTCCTCAACAGTCATCATGCCTGTGGTTCATTGAGTAAAACCTGAGGCATGCTGGGATGTTGAGAGCGTTTGTGTTGATGAACTTGCCATGGTAACAGGTTGGAAGAACTGAGGTTCTTATGTCATTAACCATTTTCACACAATGGCTATTTTCCTCTTAAGGCCACACAAGGGGTCACTGCTGCGAGAATGACTTACTGCTTCTTTCCAGGTTTGTATATTGAATAAATGTTGGTAATTTTACAAAAAGTTTTAATATCACTGGATCTCAAGATACTTAGCTACTAAAAAGACAACGTATAGCCAAAATCAGGAGGGAAATCGTTTCACATTTCAAAGCATTAAAGATCTTTGATAACCCATTAGCTACTGTTACACAACAGCTAACATTAGCATGTAAACACTCCCTGGCTAACATCACTATTTGGAGCACAAAGGGATAGGACGAGTATACACTCTTAGATAACGGTAACGCTAGCAAGCTAACAGTCATTTTAGCTTGGAATTGGTTGAATACTAAAAAAAAGATATTGTGACTTAGCTATAGTCAGTTAACAAATAACCTGTGATGTTTTTACCTTAAAATATGACCAAACTTCCCTCTGAATCTTTGCTTTCCATTTCTTCTAAGCTGCTAGTCAATCATAAAGCTGTGAAATGTTCACAGTTTCTCATATTCCCATTGATTTTTAACCTGGATCAAAGGAGCACGCATCTTTAGAGCATTTTACTTTCCCTCTCTGAGCGTAACATTGGAAGATAATGGCTGCCCCCATTGTGAATATGCATAAATTCTTGCTCCTAAAAAGCAGCAACAATGTGCCCTTAGGTAAATTTAAAGAGCATCTGCACTGTTCATCTTGGTGTAGACAGGAAGGGAGTGTAGGTCTGTAGTCACGGTCTCTGTTCCTGCCAGGTGAGCTTACCTTTGTGCTAAACAATAATTTGTGGCTAACCTCAGAGCCGTGTAAGCTGTCGTTCTTGGACTGCTAGTCTCTCACCTGCAGCCCTGATTTTAATGTCACGGTGTAAATTTCTGATAGGCCGTCAAATCACTGCCAGGACTCATTAAGTTTGAGAGAACCCTGTGAATGTTTCCCCCCACCTTTACATTTTCCACTCTGACTGTGTGTAAAAGAGAGAGACAAAGACATACAAATGGACACAGAGACATACACAGAGGAAAGCAGACCCCTAACAAAAGCCATATGTTGAGCTCGAGTTAGTCATCCAACTGGAGTCTGTTACAGTGCACTGGGGCTCAGAGGAAGACAGAGAATACATACAGAGGGGCTTTACACCTCTGCTGAAATACATACAATTTACAGGCTTTGTTCAAACATGCAACTGATTCCTCTACTTTGTTCCAAATGCTGCATCAGATCTGTGTGTTACATAACTTCAGGGGGAAAGATTTATGAAAACTTCTACTTTATCCATATATTTTGTGTAAATATTTAAAAAAAAAAAAAAAAAAAGTATTTTACCCATTTGTCAACACTCTCTAGGCTATATTCTTAACTAAATTATTAGACAACTCCTCTAGATTGCAGTCGTCTATCGTCGTGATTGCAGTTGTTTTTTGAATCGATTTTTTCTTTTTAATAAACAGTTATTCTCTCACTCTTAACCTCCTGACACCGGTTGTCCATCCTGGGGTATAGGTATGCCTACCCAGGCTGTATATCACTGCTTTTTTGTATCATTTTATAAACATAAACTGACCAAAAAGCCGTCATGCATTCACCAAATCCTAAACATGGACACATCCTTCAAACTTTCCATTGGACTTCAACTCCTTCTTGTTCCAGTCCTTTCTATTAGAATATATGTCCTGCATCTCCTTCCCTAGTCTCATTAATCAATCAAGTTGTGACTTCAGTAACATCTAAGACACTGGTAAGTCTGTGTTTCAATGCATGATCCCCATCCTCGTTTCTCTGATGACAAAAACTTCCCCCCTTCATCCCTCATGACATCCTTCCTGCCAACATTAAGACCCCTCTGAGCTGGATCCAGCAAACACAGATGGAAAAAATGGTGACGACAGCACAAACAAAGACAGAATGATGGAGAGAATTAAGGAGAGAAAGACAAGGGTCTCCACAGAGATCAGTGGGTTTGTGCACAAATACACACAGATACAAAAAAAGCATGACAACAGACACCATCCAACAGCACAGGGATTAGGAAATGGTGACAGTGACTCATGCAGACTTTCGTTTCTGGGATTTCCCTAATTTTTAAATTTGCAGATGGAAGCACTGTGCTCAATCAAAACATAGATTGGCATGTATTTGAGAAAAGTGACTTCCATTGAATTAGTAGGAATTTGGTTTCCCGAGTATTCAGAAGGTTTGGTGGAAGCTTCGCTGTTCTGTCTTACCTTCCTCCCTTCTTGGCCAGCCAGTCCAACCGGGCCAACAATCCCTGAGTCTCCCTTTAAGACAAAGCAAGAATGTCAAAAAAAAGCAGTAATGAAACAATGACTGGTTGCACAAATGGCTATCATAAATGTGCCATGAGCTTGCCAAACACAGCATTTTTAACAAACCAATGCAGCATGTAGGGAATTAAAGACATAATACCTTCACTCCTTTAGGTGCTGGTCCAGGTGAAATGCCAGGGTCTCCTTTTCTCCCCTAATACAAAGCAGAAAAACACAAAGGTGGACTTTGTAAGGGTGAAAAATACCCTGCTGCAATTGAGTGATTTCAATCTCTAAAAGTGTGTGACTAAGACCTGTAATAGCTCAAAAATGTAACGGCCAACACCTTTCATATGGAATAAGGAAAATGTTAATCCTACAAAAGATTGCCATATAAATCACATTCTAGATGTTAGGAAGTTACAAGTAATGGTTAGGATTGAGTTACCATGTGACTGATAAATTCAAAGCACAGATGGTTTTCTTAGCTGCCTTAATGTGGGCTCAGTCCCTATCCAGTCACACACACACACACACACACACACACACACACACACACACACACACGCACACACACACACAACAAGCTTCATTGTCATCAGGTAACAATAATGGAGCTCCGGCACATCAAAGCTATGAATCGGAAATTACACTGAGTGCTGACTCCTTCTCTCTCCATGGCCCCCTGCTATTTACAACTTTGTTTCATTTATTAACGATGAAAGAGGAAGGATAGCGGTGCACCCCGGAGACATCAAACACTTCAGAGTCATTCTCTCAACACACCTTCCAGGTCGAAAGAAGCCAGCTCTGAACAACTCTGCTTTAAAAAAGGGCTTTTCCTTCAATGAGACAACGTTTCAAATGTTTACCTGTTGACTGAAATGTTTACCTTTTGACCTGAGTGTTCTTAAATGTGGCATGTTTATTAACATATCTTAGACATACAGTATTTATAAACTACCTTTATTACCTTCATTTATATTTTTTTACATGATGGAGGGGTTATGACACAAACCAACAAATGTCCCTGGTCAATACAATAAGTGCCTTACAATAACAATTGTCCCTTTCAGACTTATGGCAACTAGTAAAATCCTCATCAAATGCACTTAAAAGTAAAACTACCTATAAATCTCAGTAGTTCAATTGTTGGCAGAGTATGGCGAATTCCTAGAGACTCCAAGAGGTCACTACTCCCAGACAAGAAATAGTCAGACTCCATAACCACACATCCCACATAAAACTACCATTTACCACTACTATCACTTGAACACTTAAAGGTTTTAGATATAAGTAATCCAACATAGGCTTCAGAAGTGATGTCAAGGGAATTTTGTTACTTTTAGACAAAGCCATGCCAGCTGCCTCCCTCTATAACATGTTTAGGTTAAACTACCAACATTTCTATCTAGTTCTCCAAAAAGAAAAATATGTGATTGCAGAAAATCAAACTAAACTAATCAAATACTCGCCCTATCAATAGTTTTTTACGAAAAGGTTGAAGCTGTTCATTATACAACAACTTGTGGTCATCTTCATAATAATTAAAAAAAACGAGACTATACAGACAAACTTTGTGAAAGGTTATTGACATGAACTCTACTTAATCTGCACGGCTTGGAAAGGTCACACTAACAGATCTATTTATTTTATTAGTGATGAATGGTGTTGAATTTAAAGGAAAGATTTAGAAATGTTGGGAAGATAGTTGTTTGAACTGCTTTTGTGGTAAGTCGTTTTTTTTTTTGCTGCTGGCTATAGCATCACACTTATATATCACACAGATATGAAAGTGATGCCAATACTACAATCTAAGTTAAAACATCAAAATATTCCTTTGAGCAAAAACAGATGAAGTATTGGGTACATAATAATTGGAAGGGGATTCTCAAATCTGCAGAGTGCAAGTATAGGAAGAATAAATTACTTTAGTGATACAAAGACAAACACTGTCTTTTTACTTGACCTGTAGAGGTCAGGGCTCTGGGGAGAGTGGAACACAGATGTCATGCATGGCATTTTTAAAATGTGCCCTAAATATAGGTAGTTCTTCTCACTATGTACTCTTAGCACACAGTGCCAGAGGTCAAGGGTGTTTGCTAGGGTACAAATCAGTCTAGAAAAAAGATGCAGAGAATTTGTCTTGAGCCGGGTCACCTCCTGTTCAAGCGTTAAAATTAGACAGATTTATTAGAAGTTCTCACTTTCCGACTCAATGTTTCCCTGGAGCTCTGATAAATCACTTCAAGCCTCCATGGTGTCCAACTACCCTTTACCCTCCCGCTTGAGTTGCAATGTGTAGCACAAAGACTTTTTCTTGACACAGAAACATCGTTAAAATTCATACACATAAAAGCAATTCTGGAGTTTAAATCCAATAGATCTGCAAGAATATGGAAAGCGTTCATGACATTTGAGTATAAAACAGATGACAGTCATTGTTTAAGCACACATGTTAAAGTGATGCAGTTATACGGTTCTTAAGTATGAACTGCAGAGGTGTCTGAGTGTCTGAAACTGCCAGGTGTGGCTACTCTGCCATGAACTTAAATGGCCCTGAATCTTCCGCCATAAAGCTCCATTACCCCCAATACTCTTTATGGAATCCAGCTGATTCCTCTTCATCCTCAAATGTTTGTTGGTCACATTAGAGGCTATACCAGGTCATAAAGGTGTTATTCAATTAGGCATAGAAACCGGTACATCATCAAATTATGTGGAAAAATACATGTTGTACCCGGGTGAAAAAAGAAAGGCTAACTTGAGTAATAGAGTGTGTAAGATACCTTGAGCCCGGATGGACCAGGTCGGCCAGGGTTTCCATGGGGACCAGGGGCGCCCTGTGGAAAAGCCAGAGAGAGAGGAAGACATAATCAAAAGGTGAGCAAGAACTCAATCAATCTTCATATTGGAATGGAGGTGAGGCAGACTGTGGCTTTGCTACTGTGAATGAGACCACAGAGGGGGATGGGGGGGGGGGGGGGGGGGTCGAGGGCAAAGACTGTCTGGAGAACCTCAGCCTTCGTGCTACTTTAACCTATTTTCCTATACATCAGCTGTGTGTGTGGTGAGGTATTTGGAGTTGGTGTTTGAGGTAGAAGCTTGTGGAAAATGGGGCTCTGTGGGGCTGCTTCACCATATGGAGGTGGTTTTCCTGCCCCCACCCCTTTAGCCCCACACTCAACAAGCCCCCCCAAACACACATATGCCAAACATCTTAATGAGTAATGCAGATCATCTTGTATCATAACATTTTGAATTCTTTCTCTGGTGGACGTTTTAGTTTGGGTTGGCTTTTGCTGGGGGAAATTAACACAACCTTGTGTGAAAGCAAACAAAGCAAGTTCTACAGTAGCAGCATATTGGTAACATGAACCATCTCCAGCAGCCCCCATGGGAAGCTTTGCAGAAAACCTTCAAAAAACAGAGAATAATTTTTCACAATTTTTTCCTAAGTTGAAACAGCAGCCATCAGACAAGCACAAAGGTTGTGTCTGTGTGTCTTTCGGCCTCCTCTTTCTCTGAATGACTTTTTCCTTTGGATCTCTGACCTCACTCCTGCACCTCCACGTGGTGCGGCACCCTTGGGCCCCTAACCTACCCTTGCTTTGGGTCAAGGGTCGAGCGAGTCAGAGAGGGCGGAAAAACTGCTTTATGAGCCGGGTTAGCAAGTTTGACTGAGGTGAGTCAAAACAAATCAGGGAATCAGGGGATCAACAAGGGCATAGAGCGCCATCCAGACAGGCGGCTCTCTATATAATCCCACAGGGAAGAAAAAGCTATCTGGAGGTTTGGGCTGGGTTATACAGCACAACAAAAAGCCCTTTGAGAAAAGTAGAAAAACAGACATACTGGTTGGATGCAGACATGACAACATAAATGCCTTTGACTGTAAGCGCTCTTCCTGTCAGAGGATGCTTTGATGACAGTCATGTCTGAATCACTTCAGACAGAACTTTTCATGACTGACCAGGACATTACTAAGCATTAGTAAAAGGTGTTGTTATAACTAATGGACAACCAAAGACTGATAAGACAAAATGCAAAACAATAAGAAAAGATAAGATAAGATAACAATGCGATGAAATTAGTCTTAGACTCGACAGTGTTAACAAGATGTGATATAATGTCTAGGATAGTGCCTTAAATCTTTTGACTCCACTGGTTACTAAAAGAAGTCTGATTGAATAAAACCAGATGGGACAATGACCCTTCATTTGGTTTCTATTTTTTCACCTCAGTAAACATTTTCAAAAGAAGCGAATGGTCTAAATCACGGATGAAAAGTCATTTTTCAAATACTGTTGGGTGTTTATTTTTGAAAATTGACCAATCTAGAATAATATAAGAGAGATAAATTGTCTTCACAGATGCCTGTCAATCAGAAGAGAAGTTGCAATCTGAATCGTTCCTGACATCCTGGTATGGTTTGCCTCTGGTAAAAAAAAAAAATAAAAAAAAAAATGGATTGGGACGACCAAGCTGCTGAAAAAAGGGGATCAGGAACCAATTGGAGACGTCACTGCGGTCAAGTCCACTTTTTTGTTAAGTGTATGTGGGAAGCACAAAAAAAAAAAAAAAAATCTGTGCAAGACTTAAACATGCCCATCTGTTTTTAGTTATGTTTTACAAATGAGATATTTTCATACCAAGGATTCTCAAGTTTTAAAGATGTAGCTTCTTTCCCTCCCACAATCTCTTTTATTCTTTTGGTTTCAGATGGTGCTCTCTCTCTCTCTCTCTCTCTCTCTCTCTCTCTCTCTCTCGACTTACTGTGTCCAGACAGTGCTGTAGTGCCCTGAATAACCTTGAACAAACTAGACATGTTTGAATTACATGCTTCAAAATTAACCCTGTGGTTTACCACAGCCTGGGCAGTACACTGGTGGGCACAGGCTGGCACCCACATTTGGTACCGGGCTCTCCCTTACATGTTGTGTCCCCCTTCTCGCACAACAGGTGTCTAATTAGAGAAGAGCAGGGTGGGGTGCACACAAGCTGAGCTATCAAATGAAAAACCACCAACCTCTGAACAGCAATGCAGGGCGTTACTGTGGTTCCTGTGGTAATAATCCTGCTAGCTGCTACAGATTTTAAGTTGGTACTAAATGGTCCAAAGCCAGACGAATGATAGCTCCAAATGTTTCATGTTCTGGAAACATGCATGCTGCCCACTCTGCGGCGTATAAATGTCTGTCCTTGAGTCTATACATTTTATATCACCACATGTGCAACTTAAAGCCAAAAAATGCATAGGCACTTATGGATCTTAAACGTGGATCCATGATGTCACTCTCAAGGTTACAGTCCCACACTGAATATTCTAGCAGGTCCTTTTAATGGGCTTTGCTGTAAACATAGTCCTACTTTCAACACTATCTTGTAAAAGGCAGTTTAAATGTATACACAGCCACCAAATTAAAGATAAAAGAGATGTTGTATGATGCTGTGCCAAATGAGAGCAGAAGGGGCAAATTCTGATAAAACTAACATTAGACCAAGAGCATGTGAAACCACTGGATGTCTTCATAATTAAAGAGCACAGTCTGAAGACACACACTGACTGACACGCACACAGAAGTTCTGCCTCTGAGGATTCAGGACAATATTTCAGTTTATTATAGCAGCAACAGCAGAATTTGCACTCTAATGCCACATAAATTACAGTAAAACTTCTTAATAACTAAAGCAGACAAGGCAAATGAATTAAGCGTCGCTGGGGAAAAAGCCAATAAATGACTTGGCTTCAAAAGCCAACATTTTAAGAGCTAAATAAATCATGCAGGGTCCAGATTATAAGAAAAAGGAAATAATAAGTAATCCAAAGTATTATTAGGGCAACAATAATCTATTTAGCTCATAATAACCCTGACAAGTTTCAAAATAATGATGTAAACTTGGAGTTACTTTTATGCCAAACATCTCAGACCTGGTTGTAAAAAAAAGGTATAAAACTGCCCAAACAGGTATTGCAAAAATAATGAACTGAGCTATGGTATGTGATTTTTATTGTCCCCGAGCTTATTACAGTAAAGTTCCAAAGGAGAGATCCATATACACAGTTTACTCTGAGGATTATACGGAGCCTTAAAAAGGCTGGTGTTACAAAAACAGACTAAGAAGAGCTCAACACCTTTACACATTTGAAAGTTCAATCTAGCTGAACGTTGCCAGGTTTCTTCATGCAATGTCCATCTGGAATCTGAATTAGCTTTAAGAAGGTGCAGCACGGTGGGGGAAAAAGGAGAGGAAGCATGAGGAAAGATGGGCGACAGAGGGTCCCCCCCCCCCTCAGACAAAGACCCTATTGACCCAGCAGGCTCCAGTTGAAGCAGCCAGTCTTCAGATAGATAAAGGCCTGTGTGCCCCTCGATACATCCACTGCACGTTTCCTCTCACACCCTTCTACCACCGTCCCAAAAAAAAAGAAAGAAGATCTCACCCGGACTATACACGGACACCTAGCAAAGGCTTCTGTACTGACAGTGGTTGCCATAGTGATGGCGTCTCACACTCACATGTGTGGGATCAGAGGTCAAGGTTCATGGGTGGTGCTACAGGGCTTCAATGGTGCTCTGTGTGTCATCATGCAGACTTCCAGTAATCCAAGGATACGGCGGGTCATGCAAAAAAAAAAAATGCAAACAGCTCTTTCCGGGACAGGACTTTTGTTTTCTCATAAAGAGATGACGCTAATGATCGAATCATGCTATGCTAACAGTGGAAATGCACCCTATGCAACTTGCAGCGAGGGTGCAGATTTGAGTTCATTATTTCAGTGATGAACAAGTGTTTTTCTTTGGCCAAATTGAAATCACATTCTTAGCAGGCTGGGTTTGGGAGAATTTAGACAACATGTGTTTCTGAGTATGTTTAAGTGTGTGTATATGGCGCTTAGTGTTTGCACACGCATGTCAACAAGCAATTAAACTTGATAAATGCTTTTGTTTACAGGAAAGCTCCATAATCTGTCTCAATCTTTATATAGGCAGGCCATAAACACAACCACATATGTCTGTGCGGCACGGCGTGGGATTTGCACTTTGGCGTGTGTACATGTTTTTGTGAGTCTGGATGTATGCGTTAAGCAGAATGCCTGTGAGGTCAGAGTCAGACACTGGCAGTATGTTTGCAACTGACCTCTTATTAAAGTGGCATCACAACCAAAGACCTTTGTTTTTTTTATATTTTTTTTTATTGAAGAGACTTGTTTTCATTGTGTGTGCTTTGCAAAGCAACCACTTCCACTGACAATGCCACAGGCAGTTCAACAGCTGCTCTGCTTCGGCTGACAAAGGACACGTCTGAGCTGCCAGGATGTGAATCAGTAGAAGGTGGTTGGTTGATACATAGTGCTGATGAATGGAGTGTGAGACAGAAGCGTGGCTTTACCAAGGACAAGGTTGAGTCCAACCTTTAATGTCCACCCTGCAGCTTACACTGCAGTGCATATAGGTAACTTTTTTCTTTCAATATCTAAGTGAATTTGAGTCGTTTCTTTCTTGTCAAACGAGAAATTCTTCACAGGAACATCAAGGTGAATTTGGTGCATATTTTCGATAAGCTGCTGCTTGGCCGCACAAAAATAGTTCCAGTCAGAGTGCCACTATAAAGTACTTGGCTTAGTCAAGCTCTGTGCGAAAAAAAATTAAGCCCAATTAAAGTTTTATTTCTAGTAAGATTGATTTGGATCATTAGAAATCCACCTAAGTGGAGCTGATTTTGTGGAACTGTTACTTGAGACGGGATAGGAGTTGCTGCTGGGGCTTAAATAGCTTTAATTAGAACCAGACAAAGACCTCCTTATATATTGTGGTGGGGGATCACAGAGAGTTTAGCTGAACAGCCTCTCAGACACAGAGTAGTATTTAAACGAAAAAAAGGTACACAAGCACAGGCATCTTAACATATTTGCATGTGGGAGCACATGAGATTTAACCATTTAATGTAAATTGCATTCAGTTGACCCAACTCTGCAACAACTGAGTAGTTATTAATCAAAGTGATAGAAAATGAACAAGAAACGTCTTTTGTGGTCAAATAAATGGTCATCAGGTGGTTTTTGAGATATTTCAGTGGGGATCAAAGAAGTGAAAGGACTAACTGCTGACTTCGAGCCACAATACTAACAGCTTAAATTTAAAAATGTACATCTGAGAAGGAAACGAGCCAGGAGTGAAACAGTGTCAATTTAACTGCCTTGGAGAAAGAGGCCTTTCATTAGTTCAGAATGGGATTCCTATGAAGTGTCGCTGCAGTCTGCTGCAAAAGCTCAATGAGGAGAAGAAAGTCCAGTGGAGCCATGTGTTCTCTGTATGTTTACAGTGCTTTTATTAGGCATCCTGTGGCACAGGCAGTCTTTTGAAAGGCCGTCTTTATAGGATCTTTCCTGTTTATGCTTAGGGGTGGGAGGTCAGCGCTCGCAGCCCTGTGCTGAATATGGTCAATTCCGCCTGCATAGGAAAACTTTGTGAGTCTGCACGTGTGTGTGTGTGTGTGTGTGTGTGCGCGTGCGTGTTTGTGTGTGAGTGTTTTGGTGTGTCAGCTGGGTGATGGGAGGCATTTAAAGTCATGTGGGAGTCTGGTTTGGCAGGTTATATTGTGACTGCAAAAAATGGAGTAGGACTATGCCTTCTGGGCTAGAACCCACAGATATAGTCCTCTCTGTCTGTCTGTCTGTCGGTTGGTCTGTCTGTTTGTTTCTTTTTTTTGAGTCACCTTCCTGCCAAAGGTTTATTTACTGCTTGTTGGTGTCTGAGCTCTTAGTCAACATGCATGGCAGCAGCAAAGCAAAAATCACAAACACACACAGACAGACAGAAAACTACCAGTAAAGCTAAATAAAGACAGCTCAATACATGATGCCATGTTAAACAAAATCATGGTTTGAACGCCAGATAAAGTTACTTCTCAATGAAACAGAGTGACAAAAAAGACTTACCCTAGGACCCCTCTTGCCTGGCAGGCCCGCCTTCCCTGGAGGTCCTGGCAGTCCCTGGAGAGAAAAAGAGAGAGCATTCATTCAGTGATGCATTCAGATCATGTCAATATCTCAGCAATCTCCTTTAATCTCACAATCTAGACCATCAGGTAGTTTACTCCTCAAGCAGGGGGCTACATAAAAAGTGACACCTTTTCACTCCAAAGTAAACCCATCGCAAGGTGATGAGAGTTCAGCCTTATCCACCAGGAAGTTCTGAGTTTGTGCAGCAGGAAACCGTAGAAACCGTAGAAATAACAGGTCATTTCCTTGCGCCACTCAATGCCTGCTGTGTGGCTCTATCAGCCTTGTGCTCATTCGTTTTCTTTTAATCAAAAAAGAGGGAAAGGAGAAGTGAAGAAAAACAGAGGGCCTGCAGAAAAAAAAAAGAGCTACCTGCAGAGCTCTGGATCCTGATGTATGTGTTATGACCTCCATATGTCATTTTTTGAATGCTTTCTGGTTCTGTAAATGCATTCAGTGAGTTTATTGTATTGTTAAATGTAATCCCCGAGGTAACATAGATATCAAAAAGGAGTAACATTGCAGCAGCATCTACCATAAAGTGAAGGGAAGGTTGTAGCCTTTGTGTAGTTTCACTTATCACAAGGCTATGAATTTAAAGACACAAAGCCCAAAACTACCTTCAAAACACCGCAAACCCTCTTAAATACACTAAAGACCTGAAGTCTAAAGGTTATAGGGATTATAGCAATTACTGGCATGTAACATACTGTCTGTGGTGGGTGTTTTTTTTTTTTCAAATCGCTGTGAGGATTATAATTGCCCCCCCCCCCTACCATCACATTGAGGAAGACCTACATGGTTGAGACCACCCCCCTTGTTACAGGTGGTGTGCCCTATGGTGGCATTCATTCAGGACTTGTCAATATCAACACACACTCCCGTCCATCCTCACACGTCCACCCCCTCTGCATGCCCAAGTCTTCCTTCCTTACACTTGTTTGTTTGTTTGTTTATTCCTAATGTCTTCCTCTCTTTGTAACTGTAACTTTAACCCATCTCTTTCAGTCAAAGAGAATTTGTTTGTTTGTTACCCAAGGATGGAGGAGTCTCACGAAATTTCCATATCAGTATGCATTTTTTCAACCACCACATTTCAAACACAGTCTGATGGCAAAGGCTGTTTTCACTTATGGGGGGGGGGGGGGGGGGGCAACTTTGGCCATGAGAAAGTCTGGGTATGTTTCATGGCACCTGACAACTGAATCTTCTAGGAGAGACTGAGCTGTGATCTCAGAAAGAAATGTTTCCAAGTTCAGAAATATAGTTAATTTTTATGTTTGATCTCTTCAAACAATTAAAAATGTACATAACATAGTCCTCAGTAGTCTTATTGTCATCATTTCCGATGAAAAAGCCATAAAAAGTTTTTGAAAGTTGGTGACTCAGTGATGAATTCAGTCATCTCTTAACTGTTAGGTTGGGGGTTTGATCCCCAGCTCCTTCAGGCACTTCTCAAAATGTCTTAAGACAAATTTGCTCCAGCTGCTTCGGCAGCAGTGTGTGAATGAGTGTGACTGGAATATTATTAATGAGCGTCTGGGCACTTTACGTGGCAGCCTCTGACATCAATATGTGAATGTGGTGTGAATGGGTGAATGTGACATGTAGTTTGAAAATGCCTAACGTAGTCTGGCGGACTAAAAGCCCTATACAAGAACATTCACCATTTCTACGACGTTAATGAAGGTCAGACAGCTTGTTGCAGGTCCAATTTAACTAAATACAGAAGCCTGGTCTTGAAAGGAATCAGTTCCAGTTGATATTTGAATTAAAATCACAGCCGTTACAGATCTAATTGAAACAATTCCAACTGTCAGCAATCATATCGAAATTCATAGTACTGTATATAATAATTTTCAGGTATGTAGGGAAACAGCAGCAGTGAGGAGCCAAACATGCTTCAGATCAGGAACTGTTGCCATATCTGCACATGCACAGGATGTTTCTCCTGGCAGCTAGAGTGCAGAGTCTGCACAGTGGAAACACAAGTCGAAATTGTGGTTTTATTTTGTTTCAGAATAAGAATCTTAATGCTTTACGCAGCAAGAGTGATGAATGACAAGGCTCATGGTTGAATTCTTAACTAATTCAATGCTTTTTCATTGATATCTAGCTTTTACATTTGTCAAAATGTGTGTGAATGTTCAAGAAAGAGTCTGAGTGTATAAAACTGTATTGGAAGGGGGAGCAAGGGATAGTATATGAATGGCATGTGTGTTTATGAAATTGGAACCTTGTTGACAAGGAAGCGTGACTGGGTTCATATGGGATCTCCTGAGGCACAACATAGCTACAAATAAATTTTCACATGAATCCAAGCATGCATGCAACAATGCAACATGAATGCATGATACTTTCACAGGAAACAGTTTTTTAATCTGATACAACCTCAGAGTATAGAATCGCCATGTGAATCTCAATACCTAATCCTGAGAAATTTCTGGGTTTAAGGTAAAATACACAAAAAAACACACACATTACAAACATGAGACATAAACTAGAACTTTTGATCCGCTTGAGTTCTTTCTTCCTGTACACTTAAGCACAGTTTGGAGTTTAAAGAACTACTCTCAGTTGGTTTATCTGGCCTTTCATGCATTTTAACATCGCAGAAGTCTTCTGGCCTTCATATATACCTGCTTTCATAGATGTGTCAGACAGTGCTCACATAAATGATCTCATAACCTCTATAAATCATCCTTCTAGCATTTTTTCCAGTCTTAGATTACAGCACTTCATATTGAGATTGCAGGTAGTGCTTCCTGGATGGCAGTAATTTGGCCCACTGTAATGGCAGTTAGGTCTGTTGGGGACATCAGTGTGGATGTAAATTAGCCAACCCTTAACACGCCACACTCTGCAATCTACAGTGGCAAATTACAGACTACTACAAAGAATAAGCAAGGCACACATCCCAAACAAACAGTCCCTTCTCACACATTAGACTGAAATGACTGAATCACAGGGGAAGCTTTGAATAAAGGAACAAACACACCCAGATTGGGATGAAGAGACATTTATGTCCGAGTCTGATTACCCAGGCCATATTTGGAGCTGAAGAACTGATTAGTTACCTAAAACAAGTGATTTGTCAATTCCAAACAACGTGGACACAATACTGAACTCCAAATTTGCTACCAAGAAGTTACACAGTTTAGTGGCTCATCAAGTTGTCCATCAAGATGCGATAAAAATGTACTCAGATGCTGAGTGTCAATGCCCTACTTGCTTGAGTGTTTCCGCTCTTAGAGATACACTATATACCTAGACTACCTTTGTGCCTGCATTGGGAAGATGAAGGATAATGTTTACTGACTGCTTTGACCCTTGACCTGTCTTTGAAAGAAGGCCATGAGACCTCCACTAGCCCTCCGTGACAGAGGAATCTTGTGTAGAGACGGCAAGGCGTCAGACCTGACACGTCACACCCAGCCTGGAGGGTTTAGTGCACAGATGAAGGAGAAATGGGTGGTAGAAAATGTAAGATTTCTAACCAGTGTGGGAACTGAGATAGTATTCAAGTTAACCTACATATCTCTGTGGGCTCTTATTTTCAGCCCAAGAGCTCTAGAATCAAACTCTGTCTTTCACAGGTGACAGCAATGACTGTGAACTCTGTATTGATGAAGTTAACTAACTCTAATAATATATACCATAAAATGAAGAACCCATTCCTGCCAACCAAAACAGCAGAGACAAAGACTGCAGGTTCTGTTCCTTTTGGTTTTGTAGAACTTTTAGTGGTGCAAGGTTTCTAAATGTTGTTTGCCATCATGTAGCATCAAATGCTAAAGCTTAGCTTCTGACCAGAGTCAGAGAGAAACCAGAAACCTCCATTATGAGCCCTTTTTAGATTTATATGCTTCTTATTTCACCAAGAGTTCATCAGGTACCTTACATTAATAGACCATGCAATCTGAGCTGTCCGAAAGACAAGACATGCTTACCGATGGGCCTGCCTCTCCTTTCTGTCCTATAGCTCCTTCCAGGAGGGAGAATTGAGTTGGTGGAACCTCCCAGCTCTGGAAGCCATCAGTGGCAGGTGGTGTTACTGGGTTGTCTGAAGGTCTACTTGGTCTTTGGGTGACTGGAGACTTGGTAGTTGTTGCTTGCTTTGTTGGATTGATGACCTGTTTTGAGACTGGCTTGGAGGTTTTTGCAGTTGTAGTTTTGGAGACTGTTGGTTTTGAAGGGTTAACTTTGGGTATTGTAGGTTTTGATGTGGAAACTTTGACAGAATTTACTTTGGGCTTGGACGGAGAAGCTTTGGATGGTGTAACTTTAGGCTTGGAAGGTGTTTTCTTGGCTGTGGTGGGTGGTGGTTTCTTAGGGACTGCACCTTGGTCTGATAAGGTAGGTCCAGGCTTTGTCTTGAAGGGTTTGGTGTCGGTAGTGGCTGGAAAGTTAGGTTTCTTCTTGTTGTCTGTTCCTGCAACTGTTTTTTTGGACGTGATATTAGGAATGGGCTTTGAGGGAGTGGGTTTAGAGGGTTTTGGATTTGAAGATTTAGAGGTGGAGGGTTTTGAGTTTGGTGGTTTTGTTGGGTGTACTCTTGTCCTGAGTGGTGCTGTGACAGTTTCCGTCCTGGTGTTGGGAGGTGGGGATGCTAAACCAAGCTGAACTGTGACTGGCATTACTGTTGCCAGTAAAGGTGTAGGAATGGTCCCAGAACTGGGCTTTATTGTTTGAGTAGGGGCTACATATCTAACAGCAGAGGCAGCAGCGGCAACACTCCTGGCGAGGCTTAACCCTGTGGGCTTTCTGGCTGTTACCGGACCACCATGTTTAGGCGTAGCGGCGGTAGCTGTGATGTTTTTTTCTCTTGGTAGGATAGGCAACAAGGGAGGAAGGTTGGGCCTGTATGTGTCTGCTTCCCTGCACTGTTTCTTAATGTACCTGCAGTAGTTGTGAGCTGCCTGTGCAGAAGGGACCAGGTCAAATTGGCAGATGGCTCCTTCAAAGTGTGCTGAAGCTTGCTGCTGGCTTGACTGTCCCAGTAAAAAGGAGCTATGGAGCTCTGGAGCCAGCCCTTCCTCACTGTCCCACCCAAAATCTGCATGAACACTCTGCTCTCCGCAGGAGGCATATAGAGTCACTCTCTGTCCATTAATTTCCACTGCCAGCTGGTGCCACTGACCATCATGGGGATCATAGGGCAGTGCCACCGAAGTGTTTGGTCCAGTGTGAAGGACCAGATTGCCCGGAGCAAGCTGCAGACCAAGAAGGAGCTTCTTGCGGCCTGAAAGCAGGGTGAAGAGGAAAGCACTGTTGACACGGTGTGAGCGCACACTCAGGACCAGTGCCAGATTGGGCCAGATGGCCAATGGGATGACAGAGCGCAATGGAGTTTCAATGTGCGCCCGCTGGTTGAGGATGATCCCTGATCTGAATGGAATGACCCCTGCTGGCACAGAGCGAGACAGCTTCTCTCCCTTGAGCCCCAACTTTTGGAGGATGTCCACATCTGTTAAAGAGAGAGTATTGTTAGAGATGCAATTGTGACACGCTTGTTTATGAGGGTTACACACCAGTGCTTTGAGACAATAGGGAAAATTGTAGCCTATTATTATATTTTCTTTTTAGTAACTACCAAGTGTATTTAAGATATATTTTTAGTTTGACTGGATCTGACATAGATTACTTCCTTCTCCTTACATCTGTTATGTTTGCTTTATCTGGGTGCTGTTACTTTTGCTTATGTCCAGACATTGTTGCCCCCAACTGTAGCACTCATTAAATCATTAGACTTACAGTCATAAGTTTTGTTGATGTGCTACCACCAACTGACATGGCCATTTGAGCAACTGTTCGCATTCATCCACATCAGATATGGAAGAAAGAGGACATTATGGATGAGTTTAAATTGTAAACAGGACATTCTGGACTCGTGAGAATTTGCTCTTCCTGAAGCGAATGAGGCGCAGCAAAGTATGACTTCTGTCTTTGCCACGGGCGCTTGGATTGAATATAATGCCTTTGAGCCAAATTTCCAATAACTCCCTGATCTTTAAGCCAAGCAAATGAGCTCAAGAACTGTGGGGTCAAGAGATGGGAATAAAGATAGTTATTGCAAAGAAAAATAGACTCACTTGGTTTTCTAGACCACAAAATGTTTTCTGTAAGCTTCCGACTGCAACTTTACGCCAAAACATTTTAGAGCCAGACAGACATAAGTATGTTAAGGGCTAGTATGAAGATGTTGGTTGGTCAGTTTATGGTCTTTGAGTGTTAAGATGCTGCACGTTTCTGTGGTTGTCTTTGTCTCAAAGGTCAGTGGATTACAGCCTGTTGTGGAATAATTTTGAATGTATGACTGTGGTGAAGCATAAAACAGTTTTAAACATGCCCACAACAAATGTCCCTTGAATGTAGAATGTTTATTGCTCATCAGGTCTGCAAATCTTAAAGGAACACGAACATAAAATATGCCCACTGTGGTTACATTTAAAAAGCTCCAAATGGTGACAAAAATTATTTGAGGGTTTAAAGCAAAACCAAAGCACCCTCGTTCCAGATGTACCATATGATCTCTGCCTTATTGTGCAATCCTGTCCTTGCCTTAGATTAATTCAAGCGTTTTCCAAGAAAGTGCCATGCTGCTAGAAAATAAATACAAGCACTAAAAACCTTGAATAATTTTTTTTGGTTCGAAATGGAGTAGAAAGCAATTAAATACATACGTCACAACTGTGGCTTATTATACAATATGATTCAACAGATATTTTGCTTGTACTTATAACCCTGCGTCATAAATTCATTTCCGCATGAAATTATGAAAAAAAAAGAAGACTGTTTTCATTTCCTTGATCACATCACTATATTCTTTGTAAAGGCTCCATTGCCAAGTCTGTCCACTTCATAACTAGAGTAATTTCAGGCATGGGGAAAGACCAGACTTTGGTGTCCCTGTTCAAACTGTGCTGGATGGAAACGTAATAGCTGGTGGAGGTAATTGTGAAGGGAGCTCAATCAAGGCCAAAGCAGCTGGTACCAGGAACTCACAATCAGACTAATCCTCTCTGGTAACAACCTCGCAGACAAACTCCTGTACAAGGGAAAGAAGGACTGACGGATACTTTATGGAGCGAACCATTTTTGAAGCCAAAGAGACAGAGGCTAGAATTTTTATTTTTTCCCAAAAATAGATAACTTCTATGCCAATAAGCACACTTGATTGTTTGCTGTATAGAGAAAAAATAATGACTTGTTATTGAGATTTTGCTGGTATTAAGTCATGGCCTCATAGTTTTTTAAGGCAAAAGGTCAAGGACATGATCAGACAACATCCTCTTCTTCCATTTTCTATCTGTCTTTCTCATCAATTGTCAGATTGTAAAATCCACAACATGACCACAGCAACCACAAGTGAGTAGAGCATCTCCGTGCCTGGTGGCAGAGTACAGTTTCCAGCCTTTCAGCCAGCTATGACTCTGTGTTCAGAGTTTCAGTCCCGATATGACCTGTGATCTCAGACCTGTGACCAGGCCCCTCATCATCCGTATTGTCTGTGGGCTCACTCTGACCTGTGGTCACCCAGCCTTGCCTAATGGGGACATGTGTATAGAGGCTCTGCTTGTGAAAAGACAAAAAAGTGGACAAGCAAAGTTGATGACATGACAGAAAGGGGGAAAGACGAGTGGAAAGAGAGACGGGGTGTCCTGACAGAAGCTGTCCTGGTAATCCACAGAGAGCAAGGATTTCAATGAGATGCTTGTCTTTCTATAATACAATGCTCCCACCCATCATTAGATGGCTAACGGGGGCTCAGACATGAGAAATATATAATTGCATGGAAAGTCAATAGCAGGAATTTGATCCCTAGTTGAACCAGTAGTTGTCAAGGAATTAGGGAGATTAGGGAGGAAGCAGCGTAACTGCAGATAAGTTTTCACATAAATAATAAAATAAAAACTTCACAAATCTTTCTAGTCAGAAGTCATTGAGTTTCATTCATGAAAAGCAGATTTATAAAGTAGACATGGCTCTCCTATACAGGCAGTTCTTTAAGGACTTTTTGTGCTCACTATAGGGATGTAAGACTCTAAAAACATTTGGGCTTTATAAAAAAAAAGTCAGAGGAAACAAGACCACCATGGGGTCTAGAGTGCATATACCCATCCATAGAGTGAGTCTTCTCTCTGTGTGGTCTCCTCTGCTGTAAAGGACTTCAGGACTTGGCAGTGAGGCAGGAGCTGCATTACATGTATCTGTTCTGTGCATAGACTCCTGTCTCCAAACTACCTTATTTAAATACCACTTGTATTATTACTGGTGCATACATTAACCATGTGGTTTTAGATACACAGCACACTGTATGGATGTGAATACACACCGATGAACTTGTGTTCAACACATGGCTGTAGTTCAGAGCCTTTCTCTGTGCCAAATCACTCAAGTAGGAAAGAGAGAAAGTCCAAAGCTTCACTCTCTGTAATGTTATCCCTTGTAGAGGATGAAGTCACTTGATTCGTTTGAAACTCACTCAAGGATTTCTCTTTGGCTGGCCAAGCTAGTCTACAGTGAGCCATTTAAGATAAGTCTAAGCGGAAAAAGTGTCCCAACAGCAATACATCCCATGAATTCCCACACTTTTAAATCCTGATTTATGATTGTATTACTCTAATGATGGACAAAACGTGTAATAAACTGTGTTTTATTCAATTTTACATCTGCTGGTGAGTATATTTTTTTTGATATTTTACCTTTATTTGGAAAAAAAGGGGAAATACAAAGTAGGAAGAGATTTGGAATTAACCTAAGACAAAAAAGGTTTCTGGTCAGATTCAAGCCGGGAACACTGTGGTGGTAGGTATTTAACTTAACCCCTACTGTGAAAAACTGACCATTTTCCCAAACAGAATTGTTATTATGTTTGATTATTAAGTTTGCACACCACAAGGCAATCTTAAGACAGCATTTGGTCATAACTGAAGCAGCTAATTTGCCAGATTGATCTTTTGACTTCTACTGTATCTTAACTGGGTAATCAGATCGAGCTAAAAGTACTGGAGCTCATAATACTTCCTGTTGGATGGTGCACAATGGAAAAGTATCAAAACAGCAGAAGCACATCCTCTTTTTTATTTCACACTCTGTTTCCTTGTCATAACCTGGCGCCTGCATTACCAAAACGCGACTCAATCCCCAAGAGTTAGGTCTACCAACTTACTAAGGGTGTTTTGGCTTTTTTTTGCTGGCTTTTTTTGCTGGCTAGTTGCAAGCTTTGTCTGTCTTCTTTTTGGCAATTATCAGCTTGTCTTTATGTGCTTTTTGGAGCTCCTTGACTGAAAAACAGCTGTTAACTGCTGTGAAAAATGACACTGTTAGAGCAGTGAGAGTGAACTGAGACAGTAAAAGAGCGGGTCAGACAGGTAAATAATAAGCCTGACAAACAAAGCTCTATAATTTTGAAAAGTGCAGTTTGAGGTGTTAATGTTCTGTAGGTTCATCACTCACAGCATTGTTTTGGGAGTACATTTTCTGGTTAGCCTCGGATCTACAATTTGAATCACTCCCTAGCTCGCTCAGCTGCTTTCTCAACACCTGTCGTCATGGCAACGGCTGGCCCAATTCTCATAGCAATGTGTTTACGTGCTCAGGCAATGACCAAACAGGCAAAAGAATAACTCATAAATCCCCTCCCAGTGCTGTGGTAAGTTTCACAGGTTTTTTTTTTTTTAAACATGTTCAATTTCAGTGAGGAAGAAAGAGGTGAGAGAAGTCTTACCTTCAGAGTGTACTTGTGTAAGTCCCAGGTAACACGTACAATATAAAACTGTACAGAGCAATAGGGCTCTCCTGAGGGAGAAGAAGAGAGAAGGTTAGAAGGAGGTAATACTTGACATTGTATAATTATACATATATATATTATATACCTTTTAATTGTAAAAATAATGGTTATGAGGAACCCTTTAAAAAACCGTTCATGAGTTTTTATTAACAGCTTTATTATGGAAAGATGTTAATAGGAGGGAATTTCCAGGTTTGTATCAATGCTATTGGCTAGTTTTTAACATTAAGTTCAATTAATTAATCAATTAATCAAGTTCATTGGTTACTCACTTTACAATGACCCATAAAGTATTTAGGACTATAGATTAATAAATCATTAGTTAAGGGCTTTTGTCCATAAATAACAGTTGTACAAAAACAGCATTGATCGTCTGTAGTTTTAGTTTTCGCATTACACCTAATACAAATAAACCCATATGCTTTGAATTTGAGCTTCTGATACCCCGTGAATAACAAATGGGAAAATGATTCTGCTAAAGCACTTACAACTCAGCAAGCGCTCCTCTCCAAAACACACACAGACACACACAAGCAGACAGCTTCAAGTTGTGGTTTTGTAAGACCGAAATACTACAGTAGACCTATCCATCAGCACTCCGCCCAAAACCAACATGTGTACAGCCACACACACACACACACACACACACACACACACACAGACACACACACAGACACACACTCTTGCTGCCTCCTTCACCACATCCAGGTGTGTCGCCGAGGTAAGTGACTGATTGGCATGTGGACTGAGAGCTCAGCGGGGGACCGAGATCTGGTGACAGGCAGAGCAGCCACTGTTTACAGCTGGAGGTCATCCAGACGTACACGGTCACACACACAGTTTGGAGGAGGAAATGTGTATAACAGCTGTGGCAAAGTGGAGGAGGCAGACGTTTGAGGGGGTCGTGGCCCGACAGCTCCAAATGCAAAAAATGTGGGAAAGACGTTACAGAAACCTGTTTACCTGCACTTTAACAGGCTAAAAGAGTCTGTCTCTTCTTCTTTTTCATATTTCCCCACATACCATCGGCTGCTGCGCCCACAAGTCTGTTTGATAGTAATCAAGATGTGTGTGTACATACAGTATCTAAGTGTGTGACCGAGTTATTTTGGTGTCTGCCTCTGCCTCTCAGTTCTGAGTTGCTATAAAGCTTCATTACAATCAACTCCACAATCAGCTGCTTGTGGTTTCCCAGGATGCTTTGTTTAAGTGTGTGTGGCAATGTTTGTGTGTGTGTGTGTGTGTGTGTGTGTGTCTGTCCCAAACTAACAGCTGGTTACACTCTCATTCATCGTCTTATCAGCTGAGGTGGGATCTGCTTTCTGAAACTGAGTCATGAATGCCAAGATTCTTTTAATGACTCTCATTCTGTCCCTCAGGCTGTTTACATCCGCGCAAACCAGAACAAGTTTCCTAGGCAACTGTGCTTGTTTTATCCGGATGTACACATCAAAAGTCCTCAGTAGGGTTGTTGAGATCTTCACTGCTTTTGAGGTGTAGTGAATCTTCTTCTGTGAAGCATTTCTGCATGATGTTTGCAGAGTGAGTATTTCAACCAATAAAGCTGACATTCTGGCACACACACACACTGACCCTGTCTGGTGTGGTTTTCGTATTGCAACAACGAGCTCTGACATGAATGCCTGAGGGAGGTTTGGCCAAGCTGAGTGGACAAAAAAAAAAAAAAGCCAGATGAACAATACCTCTTCTTGAGTCATCCACCAAACCAGACAGTCTAACCTATATGTCGGGCAGTGAGCCGCCAAACTCACATTTCGTCGACAGCAGAGGGAAGAAAGCAGCTCTGTGTGGCTGATAACATCTTACTCTGCTTATGATTGGCACTCAAAGAAATCTGGTGCCACCTTTAATAATCTGTAGGAGAAATCTACACATGAAAAGTGTCAGGTTTGTCTCATGTTTCTATAAAGCCAAAGCTCGGTCTCTGCTGAAATGTCTGGCATCTTTGCGTCTTTTCTTTATTGCTAAACTCTAATTCTAACCTCTCGACCCGCCAAAACCAACCCCCCCCCCCCCCCCGCTCCTCCCCACACACTCAAACAGCGGCCCGTCTGTATAGGCAAGCTTAACCAGTCAAAGGTTGACAAAAAAAAAAAAACCCTCTAAGAAGCCAGTACTGTTTCCGTTTCTTTTCACAAGGTTAGTCTTCTCAATGATTTCCTTAAAGGATTTCCCAAGGCTGATCCTGATCTTAACTACAACCTACACACATAGAGGAAAATTCCACTGCATTAGCTGACACTAACAGAGACTGATGAGGAGCTGACATGTCATTAGAACAGTTGCATGTCCACCAATTGTTCTCTCTGCTGTCAAAATACTCTCCTTTTCTGTCCAGTTCATCAAATAACCTGCCTTTTTTTTTTTTTACATCTCCCTGCAACTATCAATACACTGGAGTGCAGATATAAAATCAAATACAATTCTGTGACTCATTCTGACATCTTGCTATTTAGCCATTAATTAAACTAGTTTGAGCAAACATTTTACATTGTGAAAGTTTCTGTGTGGCTGTATATATATATTTTTTAATAGTAACTCTAAAGTCCTTTTTAGGAGAGGCACAATAGAAATGAAAATATTTATTGCCAAAGTTTAATTACAAGTGAAAAGCCAGGAGTGAGACATAAAGAGCGACGCCATGTGGACATGTGGGGAATGCTGCTGCACATCCCAACACCTCACAGGCACACTGTCTTTACCGTATCGCAGCTCAAGCGCATTTCATATGGAAAACGTATTATTCATTGCTGTAACATAGCTTCTATTCCATTTGTACAACGTCTTTTTTTTTTAAACTATTCTTCATAAAATCGTGGCATGTTTTAACATAAATCCTTAGAAGGAGAAACTTGGTGCCGGTGCGTCGAAGCTCCAAAGTTTCACTGCTGCATCATCCATTCACAAAACCAGGTGTTTACTGCACAATAAACCAAATAGTTATAGTTATAGAAAGAAAAAAAAAGGACATTTGCATTGTTTAAATGCATCCAGATTTCCTTCAGGATAAATAGTTTTACTTAAATGACTGAATAGATGAATGAATGCATGACCTTTTAACAGCTGGCAGCTGCAGACACGTCCCTGAAAACATCAACACTGCAGCGAAGTCGAGATCAAATATTTCGGTGCATTTAATAGCCTGATGTGTTTTTCACTGCCTGTGAAAATGTATGCAGTAAACACATGCATAAAACATCTGCAGTGTATGTCACAGAGCGGTGAAACAGATGTTTTTATAAATACATTTCTAAGTGGAAGCTCTCGAGGAAACTATTGCAATACGTTATGTAAGAGATTTAGCGAAGATGATTTAATAACATTTCCTGGATGTTGGAAACTGGTTTACTTACTTACTTACACACACACACACACACACACACACACACACACACACACAAAAAAAAAAAAAAAACAAATTTTCACCGTGGTGCGTAAATGTGGCTGTGCGTAAAGGAGGAAACATGGAAAGCATCCTCACAGAATCTAGCCAAAGCTGCAGTGGATGCTGATTAGCCTCTTATGAAACTTTATAGGTCTCAATAAATGCCTGTTTGGATGAGTCACAGTAAACACAATATTGCATTGTACCTGCATGCACCAGCTGTATATTTGAGATACAACGCAAACTAACTTGTAACTGTATTTTTTGCGTAAAAGTACAAACAAAGAAAAAGCTTTAAATGACGTTTTCAGGAATTCTTTTCGAATTAACTTACTCGATGTTTTTGTCCGGATACAAATCAAAATGAAATGGGGGAATAAACATTTGGCAAAACATTTTCAAGTCAGCCAAATGATAAATGACCCCCTTGATCCAAACAGACCCCATACAGAGCCTCTTCAGTCCCAGGTGAACAGCACTCCTGCATGGAGAGCTGGATCACAGCCAGCCGGCACATCACAGGTACTCACATGGACGCACGCAGCTCCGTGAATTGTAACTACAGTGACCGCTCTCACCTCACGCCTTTTCTACATCCTCTCTCGTTTTGAGAAACACTCAGGTAAAATAAAATAAAAGTAACTTACTTTGTGTCTAGATGAGAGGTTCTGCAATCTCTCCTTCGGGTGCCTAAATTCATTTGTATTCATTTGTCCTGGCAGTCAAAAACCTGACCGTTAATCACAGCGTGACTCCTTCGTAAGGGGGGCAGACGACACCGGTCGCCGTTTTACACATTTGACAAGCTTGAGATGAAGTTCCAGAGGGGAAAACTCATGTTGATTTGCTTGTCAAGCCCGACATAAATTCCTCCTGGCAGACTGCTGCTGTGACAGAGAGTTTTCCTGTGCGGTTGTCTGTCGATATTCCCCTGTGTTTCATTCATTTATGCCGATCCAGAGTGAGGGACGCGCAGCCCGGACAGAAAGCTGAGGTTCCTTTTTGGAGGGGGGTTACGGAGTCAGGAGCGCTGGACTCATCCCTTTCCGTTTTAAATAGGCTTTCTGTGGGTAAAGCGATGGCAAACGCACCGCACGGCCAGGTGTCAAGTTACAAACCCAGCGGTTGCATGGAGCAACTACACGCCTTTCTCCAGGGGGGTTGGCCACATGGATCCAACCCAAAGGCCCATGAGCCGGTAAACCGTCTGAATGAAGCACGGTGAGGCAGAGTGGGCAGGCTGAATGTGCAAAACTGGGACGCCTACACCAGAGACTCTCGTTTGTGTGCATCCAAAATATTATCCAATCAATGTTAGGAATATTTTGGGTGATTGCAAACCAATAAAAAGTAATTCAAGCAACTTCTTTGTACGATAACGAATTCATTTATTTGAAAGGGACGATGCAATCCAGCATAGTTCCAATGCAGAGCATGAAACTGATAGGTTGCACAGAAGGTCCACTCTTGTCCCCAATGTGACTAAACAACAACTTTCAATGAACAGATAGAATATTTGATTAGAAAAACACATGGTCAAATCAGTGTAAAAAGACAAGACAGAAAATAATGCAGACAATAGCAGACAAATATCAAGATTAAAACACAGAATAATGCAGATAAGAACAACAAATATGTAAAAGATAAGAGTGAAACAAAAACTGTTCAGATATTTTGCAACATTTCCTGTGTGAGATGTCAGCAGTGACACCAGTCGCCCCGTGGTGTTAGAGAAGTGTTAATGGAGACGGAGCAGCACCTGGATAAGCTCCCGTTACGGTAAGAGGGGTCACGGCCTGCTGCAGGTTAAGGCCCACCTAAGACCTCTGCTCAGCCACATGAGCCAGTAATTACCCCCTGACATCTGTTTGAGATGTTAAATGATGTGTGTGCTTAACAGGGTGATAAATACAATTTGCGTTCGTTCAAAATAAGTGCTGAGTGAGAAAAGGCAACAGTTTAAAATAGGAAACAGTTTAAAATAGGAAACATCGCTTTGGTTTTTATGTCGCTCGGATGAAAAAGTTCTCACAGAGAGGTCTGTTGCGGTTCTGTTCTGTCCATATTGAGGTTGAATCAAATGCTACAAAGACCTTTCTGTTCAAAGTGGGTCAGAGGCAGACAAAAAACTCAAAGTCTCAAAAGAAATTACATAAAATTAAGTCATAAGTGAGAACAAATGTATTTCTATTTATACATCTTTTTAATTTGGGAGGACATATTCTATAAAGGTCAAATGAATACACAGCACAACAGTTCCCACTTCAGTTAAACTTAGACCCTTTGGCTTTTCTTACGCCGATCAACGTATGCACTCGTGAACATTTCTAGAACATTTCAGGTGTGTAGTTTGACACATTCATAATGCTAACAAAAGAGCAGAGAAGAACATCCTGGTGAACAGAAAACATAATGACACATCATCATCACATGCATGTAGATCGCACCAGTCGTGTGCAAACACTCTATGGCACGATGTAATAGCCACCACTCCTTCCCACTCGCTGGAGGTGACGTTTCCTGTGTCTTTTCTGCTGCTTTCTCACATCAGTTTACCGCGATCTCATGCAGAAAATGTTCTTGGGGTGAAGTCGGAGTGAAAAATTTCACTGTTTGCATTCGTACACGCAGCTCACCCTAGAAATTTCAGGACAGTTTCCTGGAGTTCTGTGCAAGTGTAAAAGCACCGTGAGATAAGCACATGCACACACCTGCTTGGGCCTCAGCCCATCATCTCTTAAATAACTCTCCAAATAAGAGCAGCTAATTCCAGCAATTTTGCTTAAATTGTTATTAAGTCAATCTGAAGTTGTTGATTCAGAAATAGAGGGATCTTATCAGACAAACACCGACTGAAACCGCAGTAGACACGTCTAAATGAATATAGTCAACCATTCTATGAATATTTATCACAGAAAACTGCTTGATCGCATGAATACAGCACTCAGCGACATCAGTGAACTCACAGAAGCTTAGGAGGCCTCAGAATAAGGATCTTAGTGACTGGGGTCCATTAACAGTGGGCTTTGAGCTGACCGGCCAAAGGCCTGAAGCCCTGAAAGGTCGACTTGAATGACACTTTGTTAGGGTGGGACCGAGTGCGTGTGTCAGTTACGTTGATCTTTCTGCAATGCACCCTGGGGCTGCTGGTCAGCCAGCCCTCAGGGGTGGGTGCTAATGGTTGCGAGTCATTAACATCCTCTTTACAATCCCCTTCACACACTCTGTCCCTTGTGTTTCAGCGTTCAGTGCCACCCAACCCTCCCATGTGCTCCCAATGAGCCACAGCGACTCTGCCCCCTGCATCCAAATTACAAACTCTGCTCCTGCTTGCGCGCTCACTGCCACCCCTTAAAGCTGCTTAATTATGGTCATTGGCACCAAGTCTGAAAGCTCCCTTTATCCCCCCCACGCTCCAGAAATAGGCCCTGCTGAAGCACACACGCAGCCCAGATCAAACGCTCCCCATAGGGAAGGGGTCATTACTGGTGCGCAGGGCGGACACAGCCCGATGGGTGCCGAGCCACGCCTTGAGCCTAAATTGCAGCCTGGGCCTGGTGAGGACACAAGACTGCTCTTTGATGCACGGCAAGAGAAACAGCAACACAGGCTGTTTGGATATCAGTGTTTACAGTGAGATGTGTACTGTACATACACACAAACAGCCAATACAGTGTTTCGAGGACTAAAAGCTGGGGAAATTTCGTGCTGGGCTTGGTTGGGTGTTCACATGTTTCTCATGGTTTATATTTATCTGGATGTCAGTGCTGTTTTATATAAGTAGCATGTGGTGAATTGTTTCCAGGTGACTTTAAAGCTACTGTTAGGAAACTTATTTTGTGTTGTTTTTGGCGACCCCTGTGGACAAAGATGTATAGTATTCTCTATAAAAGAAATACTAAACGTCTTATCTTTGAAATTCTGCCATGGACATCTTTAACAAAGGCTCTGTCAGAAGAGTGCCATTAACCACTTTGTCGAACACCAACCCAGTGCAGCAACTGCAGGAAAGAGAAATAAAAGATTTTGTTCCACATTTTAGGCTTTCTGTCTAATTTTGAAAACGTACAACCCCCCCTAAAGAAAGATTCTAGTAAACAGTGGCGTATTTTTGAGCACATGCGGAAATAAAACCACCTCATGTCACCCAACAAATAAATAGTTAGTAAAGACAGTCACCTCTGTGTAGGTGTGTTTTCACGCTGGGCAGTGGCAGAGGTTACGGAGGTGGTGACGCTGAAGCAGACAGTGCTGTCTCTCACAGCTCTACTGCACACAGAAAGACTGTTCATACACATGCAGTGTGTGTCTGTGGTTTGTGTTTTTCCGTTCACAGGTGGTTCTGTCCTCTTGTTTGTGTTGCTGGTTGTGTCTCCTTCCTGAGTGGGGATGGTTTGAAGATGCACAAGGAGGCGGGAAACAGTCAAAAAACTACTCGCCCGTCTCCTGTGATCTTTTGGTTGAGGTCTTTCTTCTTTTTCTATCTCTTTGTCTTTTCCCCTTTTATCTGTCACACCCTGCTCTGCGCCGCCTCCTCAGTCTTGTTCACTATTGTCTGCTAAATCCTCTCCATCTCTCCCCCGTTTCCTCCGCTCTCTTCCATCCCTCTCTCTCCCTGTCATTCCCTCACCACAAGCATTTCCAATGCTGGCACACAAGAGTCGACAGCCACCCCGAAAGCGGTGCCACAACCATAATGAGCATGTTGAGTTCTCATAATAACACCAGAATAACCTGCTGGGGGAGACAAGCTCTTTAGGGGGCCAGCCTCTCAGACCTGGCTGCCCTGGATTGAAAGTGTCAACAACACACAGACCTCTTTTCGTGGAAGTGTGAGATATGGAGTTGAGTTCCCCACTATGTGCTGTTTTTAGATAGATTTTTGCATTGTTTGTCATTTTTTTACTGTATTTTGTTTGGTTGAAATGTTTTTACATGATGCACAGGAACTCTTATTGGAAGAAAAAAAACATTCAAACCGTGTTCTAAAAAGCAGAGGGTTGGGAAGATTATTTTTTCATACTATTATTGACATGGTCGATCTCAGGATTTCCCTGAATCAATATTGAATTGGGAAAATAATAATTGCAATGCACTGATGAATTGATATTTTTATCCAGTGCTAGTCAAGGAGTGATTACAGGAAGTAACAGTCCTGTATTTGGATTCAACTACACGTGATATAAAAAGGGCGTCAAATGTATTTCCTACCTTATGCCTAAGTTTTTGATAGGCGTGTGCCAATTTAACCTGCAACAACATATCTTTGGGTCACTTATTTAAAGTCATGTAATGCCACGTGAATTGAATTCCAATATTCAGCCTTTTGGCTCTGTTTTTGTTCTCTGCCAACTTTTGAGAGAAAATCCTGGCTCTTAGGATGCTGCTTGCAGGAAAATTCAAATATCTCGCTCTTTCCAAAAGTCAGGTATCACTAAGAAAACCTCCTGGATGAGAGGTGCAAACGTCTTCAACCAAGTCCAGTTGCCTTTTGGATTTAATTGCAATTGAACTACAATTGATTTCAATGATTCAGACACTTAAAAAAAAAAAAAAAGAATTCTGAAATACATAGTTGAAGTTTTTCTTTTGGGTGAAGAAAGGGTCAAAATAAACGTTAATAAAAAAGGTGGGTCACCCAATGATTTAACAACTGCCTTACCCAATTCTTTTCTATGCAGTCCATTCCACTTTAAGGACAGATGTTGTGATACATCCAAGTGGCAAATATGGCTTGTTAACCTTGAGAAGAAGAATCTTGAAATATGTGTAGCAGGAGGGTCCTGGGCAGTATAGCTTCATTCCTAACACATTTTTTGGCATTCAGATAGAATATTGACACAGGACCGACTTGGCACCATCAGAAAGGCGCAACACAGTAGGAAGTTAGTCCACACCTGTGTGTGTATAACCATAGAAGATGTACTGTATATACATACTGTAAATGATTTCACAGGTATGCAAGGTCTTAGATGTGTCTGTGT